TAGTGTTTCAAACAAAACACTTAGGAAATGCCACTGGCCAGAATGTGTTTTTGTTATGCACAGACTGACTTTTGTATGTTTTGTGTTATTTCATTCAGCGTGGTCACTGTAAATGAAGCGGCAGTGTATTCATAATTGGCTCAGATGTGGCACTTTTGCCGCTGTGCCCCCAAAAACTTAAAATCCAATCAAAAGTGAAAGGGGGTCCCTGGTGAAGTGATGTTGATTGGATCAGGGGTTGGGTTAGGGGTCAGTGCTAGGGCTCGTGACTGGTTGGCCAGGTGGTTGTGGTTGGCTGGGTATTCGTGGCTGATTGGCTAGTTTGTTTTTTGCCAGCGTTACTGTTAGAGCAAGTGCGAGTCACTGAATGTTCAGTTCGCTCGCTTTTGGTTGTCGATTAATATCCGATTGGCCACTTATTTTTCCGCAAGGGTCACTGTTAGGGACAATGCTCGTGGCTGGTTGGCCAGTCGGTTGGGGAGTGGGGCCACAGCGTTCCGTTGGCACCGCATTCAGACCGTCTGCGTCCCCCTGCACTTTGTCGCGTCTTCGTTTCTGGAGTGTGCTGCACCGGTTTCCGTACCCACCGCTCCAATCGGTGCAATGCAAAAGGCCTCTTAAACACACGCGGACTCGCGCATGAGCATCAGCAGCGGACGCGTCACGCCCTATGAATAGCCCTGCCCAGCTGCCCATGCCGGTGCGGTGTACGTACAGAGCGCGTAACGTGGCCGATTTAAGCCGCCGCATTCCACGCCGCGTAGCGTTCACCATAAACACGCGCCTGGGCTAGCTCGCGAGTAGCACATGCAAGGATCAGCAGAAACTGAGTTTAAAGGTCAAACTTTTATTTGGGGCATAATTTATTTTGTAATCTGATGGAGGTCAAATGTCAACTGCCTTCGCTACAGCTCGGCAGGCACAGTCCGCTCTGCGTCTTGGCCCGAAACTATTTTCCCATCTTGAATTTAGCACACGAACACACTCTTATGGGAGTTCTGGCTTCCAATTAAGCAACTGCTCACCACTTTAAAAAATTCCACTTACCCATACACGAGTCACCGTCTGACACATGTAGACCATTGTGACCGAACGATTGACGTACGTACTAAAAATGTTCTAGAAGGGCTCGAGAGTTGACATTTGACACAACTAAAGTCGGGCCTATGCATGTTCGTCATGATCATCAACAACCATTATCCACTGTTGGATGAAGGCTTCCCCTCACTATGCCTCACAGTCCAACGCTGCCACCATTTCCACTCCTGAATCCTCGATCCATCTCCACGGAGAGTGACTTCTTGGTAGCGTACTCGCCTTTCGCTGCCATTCCGTGTCGATGCTTTAAGCTAGAAAATTTGAAAAGCTAGATATTTGATTTTGAGAAAATCACAACCACGGAGGTATGTTGATTTCACGAATAGGACAGAGACAGCCTGAACTTCTAAACTGTGTTCAAGTCTCTCGTGCTAAACAGCTAGGAGTGCACGATTCTCATCACCAGCTCGAGTGAGGGGAGTGAGCAGACCAAGTTCGCTGGCGCAAGTCGCAATTGCTCTTCACGGCATATTTATTTCAAGTCAACTTTAACCACAAGTGACAATAACTTTACCAACAACTGCGCCCATCCATGACCAAATGGACTCTTGAAGGTCGCTTACAATGCCCAACTGCAGCGTCCACGCAGAGAGCGACGCGTGAAGAAGCAAGCGCATCGCCAGCCCACGCGGTGCTAATTTTACATCGCGCTCGGATCCGGTGTCATCGGGCCACGGCTGCCCACTCAAGACACACGCGGCACGCGCAAACAGCGCGCGCCGCCTCTCGGGAATTCTCGATCGCCTGCTGGCCCAAATGCATCCAGCCCGCTTGCGCTATCGGCCTCACGCCACGAGACGGAGGACAAATCCGAAAATCTCGCGCAAGGAGCGGAGCTCACCGGCGTGGGGCGCTTCGCCAAATTCGGTGCAGGACCGAACGTGGCGCGGTGGGGTTATCTGCGCGATATATTTTTGGAGATGTTAAATTATTTCACCTTGACAAATGCTCTGAGGAGGAAGACCTCGTTGTGCAAGGGTGTCCGGGGGAAAATGGATGACCGCGCTGATACCATCAACTGAGTTTCGACCCGAGAAGCCGGTTATCATCATGATCATCATGATGAGCGCGCCGGCACACACGCAGGGCCACGAGGCGTGCGCGTGCCACGCTCCTCGACCCGCGCGTCTCACAATTCACCGCTCACGGGGACTGCCACGATTGTTGGGGTCACCAAATAACAAATTCTGGAATCTACCATTGGTGTTTGGGCTGTGTTGCGTCCGTGATCACCGTCTCGACTGTTTGTGCTGTGTGGTTCCGTTGTCTGTCCTGTCTCATGTTCTGTTTTGTACTCTCGTCTGTACCTTTTGTCGTCGGTATTATTTTTTCGCGTCTGTTTCGTTTTTTTCTCGATGCCTCTCACTGGTCTCGTCAGTCCTGTCTGTAGTCTTGTTGTCTCATTTGAACTCCCTCTCTCTCTCTCTGTCCCACCGTCTACACTGCTTCGCCTGTACCATCTCAATCCTTGCACTGAGCCAACAGCTGCATCAGCACACAGCGCGCACAGCTAATGACCATCCCGCGGCGCGCGGCGATGCTGATGCTGTACAACAATATCGCGATGGGCAGCTGAATCGATGTTTCTCCACAATTCGTTGCGGAATGATGATCATAATGCTGCTGCTGCTGCTGTAGCTGCCGAGGCAAACTCCCGCGGCTCAGCAGCAGCAGCAGGGGGTGCGGCGGGGGTCGGCTAAACCGGGCGGCGGGGTCTGGCCCCAGAGCCTCGCCGCCCCCCGCCGCACCGCGCAGCCTCAAAAATAGCGCCGAGCTGACAGCGCGGCAGGTGCGGGGTGCCGGCCCTCCGTGGTGACATCGGGGCCCTGCGCGCACCAACATCAACAGCCCTTCAAGGGGCGGCCAATCACCTTTGGAAAGTTCCCTCCCTCCCTCCGAAGCCCGCTCCCAGCGATGGGAAATGACGCACGATCGGCTGCGGGCAAGATACGAACAATCGCGACGTTTAATTGTGGGCGCGCAAGTGGCACAAAGCGTGGTTCTAGTGGGCGCTGGGAACCAAAGGGGGCGCCCTTCCCACGACCCCCCCCCCCCCCCACGTGGCCCGGCGCCTGCTGGCCCCCTCTGGGTCTGTGGGCCCCGGTACAGTGTCGCAGTTGCACCGCCTGCACACTCGAGAGCCACGCCTCAGGTCTCCTCAATCACCCCGGTGTCACACGTGGACGCTGCTCCCGAGCACACTCATTGTGCACAGTGCTGTAGCTTCGCGTGATTTGCTTAAATGGTTAGGCCTATTGTTGTTGTCTTTATGAACCATGTTTACCCATCGAAAACCTCACTGGATGCTCGCTATGCATAATACCCTTTCTGGCGGGTGCGAGACATGGGCAGGTTTTATTTTTAGAAGGTAAATAATTGAAAACAAATTGAAGCAGGGGCACGTAAGTTACAACTGCTTTGTTTCACCAAACCCTCTTTATGTATTAACATTATACATTTGTTTAGCGATCGAGAACCAGTGGGTAAAACCAAGCGTGCTGCTGCTGCTGAATGTGGATGTTTGTCCAACAGCGGTGCGCGAAGTTGGGTTCGCGGTGCGAGGACCGCCACCTCCAAGTCGCACCTCGAACCCCAGCGGTGGTGCCCCCAATATCCCTCGCCCCCCTTTCCCCCCTGCTCAACCCAAACCCCGCCCCCGCCACTCGAGATGCGACAAACATCAGACGACATCAAACACACACGTTAGATTCGCCAGGGGCCTCCCGTTCGCCCACCCCCTTTTCACTTTTAATAAATCACTGCAAATCAAGAACTCGGCGAATAATAATAATCATCATCATCAGAGAGGTTCCGCGCTGGGCTTTTTTTACATTCCACGGTCGCGTCGCAGACTCCCAAGCAGGCGACGTTCCACCCCCCCCCCACCCCGGGATTTGCCGTTCGAGCGTGGCAGGGTCAGAGGAGCCGCCACCGCGGCCACGAGGCCACACGACGCTCGCTCCACCTGCGACAAACACTCGACGCCGCCGTACGTGGCCCTTGCTGGTGACACTGCGGTGGATGCGGGGTTGGCCCTGCACCCACCACCACCCCCGGCCACAAGCGACGTGCGCGTTGCAGAACGAGTACAATGCACAGCGACGCCTCGGTGGTCAGCTGCTGCTGCGTTGGGGCTGTTTGGCCATTAACTTGACTCGTGCCGGGTTGGCGATAGGGGACTGGGAGAGAAGGAGTAAGCGGGCAGCACCGGTTGAGAGTGTGGGGGGGAGGCATGGTTATCGATCGTGTGTGGGGGGTGGTGGGCATGGTTGTTATCGATCCCTCCTCCCCTGCATGCATTCCTCCTCGCATTCGCGTGCGCGTGTTACGACTGTAACGACTAAACAATGAGTGGATCGCGAGTCGGGCGATTCATCGAGATGCCGTCCTAGAGCCGTTGCTGGCCCAGGCCGGTCCCCCCCCCCCAATTCGAGCGCAACAGTCGCCAGCAACCGTCGCCAGCAAAGAAATTCAACTCGGGCGACTCGTTCGGGCGGGAGCATTCGCTAAACGTCCGCGCCAGGTTGCTGGCGACAATCGCCCGATTGTGGATGGGGGGGTCGTGTCAACCTTAACACGCAGTCGCATTTCGCGATCATTATAATCAACAATATGGGGGGGGGGGGTGGTTTGCTTTGGGTTAGATCGCGTAATTACAACGAGCAGGATGCGAGTTGTAATTACTGGCGAAACGTCGTACTCAACATTGTAAGTGTCGTGCATTTGCCCTCCCAACACGCCCGTGTGCCGTGCTCGCAACGACATCGGCACCCCGCGTGCTCTTAACGCGACAAAACATTTCGCCGATTGACATTCGCGTTCGGGTGTCGTGGCGGCTGTAACGGCACGACGCTGATGTTAGCCGCCAGTGTTGGGGGTACTTAGCGTGAGCCGCTCTCTACCTTGCGGTGCAATGACCGTAAGTCGGGCAGTCGTTCGCGCCGCGCCGGCGGAGTTGCTTGCAACGCAGGTGTAGCTGCCCGAGTCGCCCGGTTGACAGTCGCGTATCCAGAGGCAACCGTACTCCTCCTCCTCCTCCTGGCTCGCCCCGTGGCCACCGCCGCCCACGGGCGCGTTGTCTTTGTGCCACGCGAGTTGCGGCCGCGGGTTGCCGGTGACGGTCACCCGCAACTTAATGTCGCAGCCGGCGCCGATGGCCGAGCTGCGCAGGCTGCGGAGGAACGAGGGTGGCTGGGGCCGTTCCTCTGGCGGGATTAGGTTCGACTCCCCCACCACCTGATGCTGCTGCTGCTGTTGTTGCATGGAACCCTGGGCGCCGTTGCTGGTCGGTCCCAGCTGATCTTGCTCGGGGTACGCCTGCTGCTGCTGCTGTTGCTGCTGCTGTTGCTGCTGTACCCATGGTCGCTTCGCAGGGAGGCTTGGGCTAGCGGAGGAGCCGGGACGCTCCAGGGGAGCTCCTCCCGCCTCGCACCCCAGTCTCGACGCGAGTGAGGAGGAGGAGGATTCTTCTTGCATCTCGCCGGCTCTTCTTGTAAGTTGCCGCTACGTCTCGCTAACACGAACTCTTCTCTCTCGTGTGTGTGTGTGGACAGTCGCAGGCCCTGGATGTCGCGTTTTCATGGACTCGTTCAGAGGCGATAACCAACTGCAGTTTACGACAAACAAACAGCGACCTCGGGGTAACGCAGGCCCGTTGCTTTCAATAACTCCGCGTGATTTTTTTTCTTTCTGGGTACAAAATAATTAGAACAATAAAAATTTATTACAGATTTACGATTTGCTACCCGGGCTACACAGAACACCGCAACAAAATCACGTGACGCACAACGCAAATCTGCACCATGGAAAAAAACAACAAAACGGCGACGCCACTTCTACGACTCGCGCGGAGGCTTTTCCATGGCGAAGCCTCCGCCGCTGCCCAAGCGAGTGCCGCTGGTGGCCCGCTACTCGCTGGGCGGAGGCTCGGGCTGCCCGCTATTTTTAGCCGAGCCTAGTAAGCCCCGGCCAGTGTCAAATTGCAGCGTGATCGTCTTCCCGACTGTTCCGCTGACGCCCGACGAGCTGCGCCGCCCTCCGCCGTGGGACACCCACGTGTGCATCTCCGAGAGGTGAGTCGAACCTCCTGCTCCTCCTTCCTCCGCCGCCGCCGCCTCCGAGATGAGGAGCGGCTCGGGCCGACTGCCGGCGTCGCGTGCGGCGAGGCGGCCGCCGGCGGGCGCCCCGACCGCCGCTGTTGTCACGAGCGCCGGCGGCCGCTCCTCGGGCTCGCTGCTCGCGTGGGCCAGGTCCTGCAGGCTGCTCGACTTGTCCACGTTCACCTTGTGCAGCTGGTCGGTCGACTTGGAGCGCCGCTTCTGGCGGTCCGAGGACGAGAGCTTCTTTGAGCCCTTCGCTCGGGGAGTCTTCTTCACCCTGACCTCGATGACCTCTTCCACCTCGAACCAGTTTTCTTTCTGCGCGTCGCTCGCCTCCTGCCGCGCCGGGCCCTGCCCGGACGCGACCTCCGCCGATTCGGTCACCGTCTGCAGCGGCGGCGACGCCGCCGCCGGCGTTTCCGCCACCCGCTTTGGCCGGAGGGCCTCTGCTTGGGCCGCGGTCGCCGCCGCGGCCACCGGCGGGCACGTCGCTTCTTCCTCTGCCTCGAGGGCTCCCTCCGTGGGCCGACACTGGCCGAGCCGTGCCCCCTCGGGGCCGCCTCCCTGGCCTCCGTCGGGCGCTGTCCGAGGCTGCGGGGCTGCCAGCGCCACCAGCGGAGAGGGCGTCCTCGCTGCCGGTGCCGGGCGCCGCTTGAGCCTGGGGCTCTTGACGATGGTCGTGATGGTCTCCTCGCTGTCAGTGCACATGGGGGAACCGGACCAGTGACGTTCGTCGCATCGTCGTTTTATTCAAGGCACGCGATTATAAAACAGCTCCCTTCCCAAACTCTGATCCTCCAGAATCACCACGGTCTTGTGTATTGTGCAATGACTTAAACGCAGCCCACACCACGAAATGGCGCTAGTAGAGATGTACATTGGCTCTGTTTTCTGGGATTTCTGACACGAGTTCAAAGCTTTGTTTAAAATAACACACAAAGTCAGGGGTAGGTGCGCCACAATAGCCCTCCGGTGATGTCAACGCAGAGTCTGACCATCATAACTCGTGAATTAAAGTCTTAATTTTCTTTGGTTCTTTCGGTAAAGTCACGTAGAATGAGAATAAAATAATAAATTGATAAAGTTTTAATTATTAAACAAGTTTAAAACTAGTTGTCCGATAGTCAGGGACACGCAGCCAAAGCTAGCCACTGCCTCCCTGTGACGTCGCCATCCCTCGTGACCTTGCGATGCCACAGTCGGCTCGCTCCTACACACACAGCTGACTCAAGCAGTGCTGGCAGTGATTGTATGTTGTATTCCATCAGCAGTGTAATCGTCCATCTGTCATCATCCCTTATAGCAATGTGTCCTGCCCAAGTCATGAGGCACAGTGAGTGCTGTTCGGGAAGTTCAAATTCAGAGAAATCCCAAGTGTGCAATCGAACGAATGCCTGTCACTTCGTGGCATTCTACCCAAATACATGATCAAATCAAATCGCGAAGCATTCAAGCAAGTGACACCACGTGCTGTGCCTTTGAATATTCCATCAGCAGAGCTCCCGAACGCGAGCGGTGATTGCTTGCGAACTTTGTGTTGTGATGGGAAATGCTCGCCAGTGCGAGAACAAAATCAACTCACATGATCACCGTCTTCTTGGGCAACCTGGTCTCCTGTTCGGTTACTGTGGGAAAACAGCAGAGGGCACGATTTGCCATTTGTTCACAAGAGAGCACAATTAGTGAAATACCATCTTTAAGAGTGAGTCTTCACAACTGAGCACTCATTGTACAGGGTGCTTCAAAGAATGTGAACATATATATGGGACTATCGTTTTTCATGAAAAAAGAACAAGCAATACACTGTAACATGATAACAAATGTTTGTTAATAGCTTCCACTTAGGCAGAATTGTCAACACGTTGCCTGGAATCTTCTCCAAGTGGTCTCCAGAGCCCCGGAGGTAGCACATGTCACGTGGTGTTGTTGCAAATGCTAAGAAGTGTTACCATTTAAAAAAAAATATCTTGTATAATAATAAGAGCTAGAAGCTACAGCATCTGTATAGACGTATTCCTTCACTGAGTCTCAAGCTACCTTTTTTTTGGAGAGTCCTGCTTGTGGTGTTTGACTCATGCCTCTGTTGAGAATGAGGAACCGGCAGTATCCAAGAAAACCAATTCTTACTTGAAGAGAAACCTCACATTTTTGTTTATTAAGCAGCTAGCAATGCATTAAATATGATTTTACTTGCGAGATGTGCATTGGTTCGCGTGATTGCAATTTCTGTAAATTATTTGCAAATTACATTGAAGCTTATACAATAGGAATCACTACAAGGACATGGGGACAATGAGGCGAGGAGAATCAACGATTGTGACAATTCATTGATTTGCAGGCAGAGGAGAGTGAAAATAAAGTTGTGACTTCCCCAGCGTGATCCCGATTGTGCTCTCGCTACCGACTCACGAATCGAGTAATCGAGAATGGCCCGCAGAAGCGGATATCACAGAACTAATCTTGATTCGAAGCTTTCGTGACTGCAGGAATCCATACTCTCTGGTTCTTTCGGTAAAGTCACGTAGGTAGAAAGAATAATAAAAGAAAACGACGTTTCGGTCGCAACGCAAGCGCCCATCTTCATCTACGTGACTTTACCGAAAGAACCAGAGAGTATCACAGAACTACTTCTGAGAGCCCTTGGAGTGGCTTCTAATCCACACACTCGGAGTCATCGCTTTCTGTGTGGATTCGGAAGTGACCGCTGAACGGCCCCAATGACGCCGCGTGCTCAACACTCAGCGAGCGGCCCCCGTGTGCGTTGAGCCTTCGGGGACGGAGGGGGGGGGGGGGGAGGGAGGTGGCCTCACCCTCCACCAGCACGGCCTGGCTGGCACCGGGAGCCCGCACGGGCACGGGCACGTACAGCTCCGCCGAGTCCCTTGCCTCGCCCGCCGCGTTCACCAGCTGGGGGCAACGGAGAGAACACCACCACCACGACGACAACCTCGTTCACTTCGCTCGTTCTTATTGACCAACGGCAACGGGGAACGTGGCCAAGCCACTCGGCCTGAGCGGTTCCCTCTGTTGGAGACGGCACAGCAGCTAAATTGTTATCGAGTCCCATAAATGATGGAGAATTGTAAAATTGCAGTATCTAAGCTTGACGTGCTAATGCTGCGCTCGTGTTGGCCTTCAACCTCACAAACTTTTTACAAAACAATTAATGTGTCAATTGGTGACATCTACCCTTAATGAACCATCGCATGCTATTCCACACCCACAAAGCATTCAACACGACCTTTGTCATCGGCCAGGGAAACGGTAGACAAAGATGGGCAGGCAGCATTGTAAATGTAACTGGGAAGTCATTGTGCCAGTCAATGCTACAGCGGAGCTCAGAATCGCAGAGAGTGGACGAGCTTCACCGTTCTCGGCGATGAGCAGAACAACAAACGACAGAGCGAGAGCCGTGAGCACAAATGCTCTCACTGGAATCCTCGGCTCGAACTCAGCTTACGAACTCTGGGAAGGCGAAGGGGAGATTACACTCCTGTGGGTGAGCACGCCACCGCCAGGAGCTCACCAGGCAGCTGTATTTGCCCGCGTCGGCCTTGCTCGCCCGCTGCACGGTGAGGCTGAGGCGGCCGCGCTCCTCATCGCTCTGGGTTCGTAGCCGCTCGTCGCCAGCGCACACCTCCTCGCCATCCTTGAGCCACCTGCGCGCCAACCCCCCCCACCCCCGCGGCGTCCGAAGACACAAAGGGGCCGCTCGTTAGTCGGGGCGGGCGCAATGTTTACACGAAGATTAATTTATCCGCCGCTGAATTAAGGCCTTTCAATGCCGTTCCAGTCACGCTGGTTGTTTGACCGTACTTCACCACACTGGTTCAGTACGAGTCGGCGAAGGAGCGGGTTTCGGACATCGCTCATTGCCGAAGGGCGAGATGCTTGCGTGCAGTTAGATGAGGCGTAACTACGGATTCGTACGTTTGAGAATGCACTCTCGCGCACACAATTGGTGAAGCATTGCTATTCTGTTATCTCAGCGTAGCGGGGGAAACTATTCAAGTCACCTGGCGAGCGGGAAGGGCTCCCCCGTGACCTGGCAGCTAAAGCTGACGTCCTCGCCCTCTTCCAGCGCAGCACTGCTCAGCGGCGTCTTGAAACGGGGAGGCACTGTCGGGACGGCAGGGAGCGGCGGGGAGAGACGGCGCGGTCACAGCGAGCGAGCGCGCGAACGCACCGCGTCTGCGCGTCTGGCGTACGTGAATCCAGGAGCGATGGGAGTGTGGGCCTGGGAAGTGTTCGGGTGCACGTGGGTCGGTGCGCGTGGGTCAGAGCGCGTGGGTCGGAGCGCGTGTGGATAAGGGCATATCGAGGTCTGACGTCATTTTGAGGTCAGGCGGTTCATCTCATCTCGCAGCCATCTGCCAGTGAGCCTTTCCACACTTCACGCGGCCTCAAAGTACACCCAGCCCGGCGAAGCGCTATATGGCGACGTCACCGCCACTTTGGTGGGGAACGGCGGTTGTCGTCGTTCTGAATCGAGCATCTGCTGGCCACCGAGGGGCGTTCCCGGCTCACCGAGCACGTTCAGGCGGGCGGTGGAGCGCGCCGTGCCGGCGGGGCTGTTGGCGACGCAGCTGTAGTGACCGGCGTCGGAGGCACACACGCGGATCACGAGCAGCCGGCAGCCACGCCGCTCGTCCTCGTTCAGCGAGATGCGGTCCTCCATCTCCAGTGGCCGCTCGTCTGTGCAGTGCACGCACGCGCACACGTACGTACACGCGCACGCACGCGCACACAAGCATGCACACGGTGGGGGGTGGGGGGCCAAGGTGGCCGGTCAGCGACGGATGCAACAACTTGGAGGGTCCCTCTCTGTCAACACGACCCGTTCGATCGCTACGCCGGTTCACGTGATTCTCGTGTCACCTCCGAATGGGTGAAACGTCACGAGATTTGGCCGGCAGTGAGCAGCAGCGGTGCATACGCTCTCGTTCGTTCCCTCTCTCTCGCTCGGTTGCTCAGCGATTTGAAGGAGATGCAGTCGGCGCGGCGAGGAGTTGACGGGAGTTGTTGGGGCTGTGCGTTACCTCGATACCAGGTGATGACCGGTCTGGGCGAGCCTGACACGCGGCACCGCAGGGTGGCGATGTCGCCCGCCCGCACCGTGCAGTCCGACAGCGGCTCCACGAACTCGGGCGGCGCTGCGCACATCACCCACACAGCACACGCGTCGCTCGTTCTCACGAGTCGCTCGTTCTCACGAGTCACTCGTTCTCACGAGTCGCTCGTTCTCACGAGTCACTCGTTCTCACGAGTCGCTCGTTCTCACGAGTCGCTCGTTCTCACGAGTCGCTCGTTCTCACGAGTCACTCGTTCTCACGCGTCGCTCGCTCTCACGCGTCGCTCGTTTTCACGAGTCGCTCGTTCTCACGAGTTGCTCGTTCTCACGAGTCGTTCGTTCTCACGCGTCGCTCCTTCTCACGAGTCGCTCGTTCTCACGAGTCGTTCGTTCTCACGCGTCGCTCGTTCTCACGAGTCGCTCGTTCTCACGAGTCGCTCGCTCTCATGCGTCACTCGTTCTCACGAGTTGCTCGTTCTCACGAGTCGCTCGTTCTCACGAGTCGTTCTCACGAGTCGCTCGTTCTCACGAGTCGCTCCTTCTCACGAGTCGCTCGCTCTCACGAGTCGCTCGTTCTCACGAGTCGCTCCTTCTCACGAGTCGCTCGTTCTCACGAGTCGCTCGCTCTCACGAGTCGCTCGTTCTCACGAGTCGTTCTCACGCGTCGCTCCTTCTCACGAGTCGCTCGTTCTCACGAGTCGCTCCTTCTCACGAGTCGCTCGCTCTCACGAGTCGCTCGTTCTCACGAGTCGTTCTCACGCGTCGCTCCTTCTCACGAGTCGCTCGTTGTCACGAGTCGCTCGTTCTCACGAGTCGCTCCTTCTCACGAGTCGCTCGTTCTCACGAGTCGTTCTCATGAGTCGCTCCTTCTCACGAGTCGCTCGTTCTCACGAATCGCTCGCTCTCGTGCGGATTCTCTCAGGGCCTTCGTTTCCAGAGCTCAGCCTGGATTTTCCTATCTATCGATACGACAGCTTCATAGAGATGGATCTCTTTGTCGTTTGTAAGGAATGATGTCTTCGTTTGTAATTATGTCCGTTATTTAATTAATATATTGTCAGAAAATCTAATCAATTTAAAATTAAAAGGAGGAACGTTGATGAAAATATTTTTGCGGAATCTGACAGAACGATTCTCGGCCGCTTGCGTTGTGGCCGAAACATCGTGAGAATTTTATTGTGTTATTTTATTATTTTATTCTCATTCTACGTGACTTTACCGAAATAACCAAAGAAGAAGAAGAACGATTCTCACGTACGATACACGCCGTGGCTTGGCCGTGTCACGGTGACCCCGGCACGGGCACGTGCGTGGCGTGTGGGGGTACGTGTGCATGCGATGCGTACTCCAGGCCTCCGGCGTCTCCTGCACGTGCCGCTCGATTCCGCGCTGGAGGTGCCGCAGCTCCAGCAGCCAGGCCTGCTTCTGCGCGGGGCTTCGGGCCCGTAGCGTCAGCTTCTCGAGGCCGCTCTCGCGCTCGTCCCACAGCTCCAGGGTCCGCTCGTCCGTCTCCGCCGCGCCGCTCACCTCCACGTCGCTCAGCTGCGGGCCGCGGGGGGGGGGAATGAGTACATCCCTGTGCTGCGCAGGAAGTTTGACCATACTTCACCACTCTGGTCAGTGTGGGTTGGTGAAGGCGGAAAGGACAGATGTCGGATCATAGTAAATACAGGAATGGATTTGCTGAACGTAGTCCCGCAGCAGCCTGTAGCACCTGGCTCATGCACGGTGGTGGTCGCCCATCCAAGCACTATCCAGGCTCCACCATGCTTAGCTTCCGAGGTCTTGACGAGACCAGGATCATCCCGGAGGATTTGGTCACGGTCATTAAAAAGCACACAACTGTAAATCGCGCAAAAGTAAATCCCAGGCCGCCACATCATGCCGAGCCGTGGGACGCCTCACCGGCAGGTTGTGGCGGCACAGGAAGACGATGGAGTCCGCGCCGCTGCCGCGCTGCGGCTTGCAGATGAGCAGGTGCGTAGGGAAGAGGAAGAGGTGTCGCACTCGACCCCTCCAGGAGGCGCGCGCGCTCGGCCGCCCCTCCCACACCACAAACGTGTCCTGCGGGCGCGACCGCGCGCACACAGAGACAAAGAGCCTCGTATAGCCTTGCACGGACTGTTGGGCGATAAGGACGCTGTTAGCGAGCACCTCGTACAGAGATGCGCGCGACCGCGTGCACACGGCGATACGGACCGGCCCGCAATATACAAACACGAGGGGAATCGCAGCGGAGCCACCAGTTGCCCCGACACCTGTGGCTTCTAAGGCGTCACTAAAGAGTTTCTGGAATTTGTAAAACGTCCCTTAAGCTGGGGGCGTGCAGCTGAAAATAGCGTGCTCAGCTGACCTTCTTGAGGGTGCTCATTAAGGCGCCAACGCTAAAGGGCAACCGCGAGCTTCTAAGCGCACGCACCGTGTGGACGTTACTCCGGACTTGGCCACCCCCTAACCCCTGACAAGTGGTCTCACTCACAGCTCTGCCTCCCCGCTTCATTATTATTATTTACAGCCTTTGTCAAAACACTGTTCGACAGCGGCCTCCTCGCCCTGTGTTGGTGATGAGCGTTGCTTGACCATTCTTCTCCACGCTGTCACGGCGAGTTGACGAAAGGGCTGGGGGTTGCATGGTGGGGGAGCGGGGGGCAAGGCCGCAAGCCCAGTTCCGATACCACTCGCCACTGATGTTAGCCGTGGCTAGGAATCGAACTCAAGTCGTGTGCTAGCCAGTGACGCCGCACCGGTTAAAATCCAAACATTAAACTGTATAATTTATCCCGAGCGTACCAATAATGACGTTGTTTATCAACAAATAAACTTTTCACAATTTTGACATCCTGCTGTCGCTGTGCATGGGCCACGTGCCTGCCGGACGAGCGCCCCCAGGTCCGGCAGGTCGCTGGGCGCCCCCTCCATCATGGAGAGATGCACCTGGTCCTCGGCACGGCGCGGCACCGCGGCCACCAGCGCGTAGGCCTCCTGGAGCTGCGCGCAGTCGCCCCCCCGGTCGGCTCTCCGCCTGATCAGCTCCTGTGGCACATGGGCGTTACGTGACCTCCTCCGCTCGTCGTACGTTATTGCGTCTGTGTTTTTGTTGGGTTTTCCAAGTACATTGCGGTGGTGGCGACGGGGGACGCTGCCGTGTTTTTTGTCAAAAAATAATCCAAACTGTGCGTGTACTGTGAATACGTGTGCGCGTGTGTGTGTGTTGATCTGTGTGCGTGTGTCTGTGTGTTGACCTGTGTGCGTGTGTGCTGCGTGTGTTGACCCGTGTGCGTGCGTGCTCGCCAGTGGTGGAACATTTTGTGGATGGCTCTTCGCCCCCAGCGTAGGGACGCGCAACGCTTCCTCTACCGGCTCAGGGCTCTTAAAGGCGATGAGCACAACTATCAATGCTCATTTGAGCAGGAAATAACTTTTATCCTTATTTTTACCCATGACACACCGGCAGTAGACGCGTCCCCGGTGCACCCCAGGGGCACAGACGGAGGGCCGTGCTGCTCTCCAACCTCACCCTGAGCGATGACTGGTAGGCCCTGAGCCGGCCCAGCGGCAGGTCCAGGTACTCCTGCACGGAGCGGTGCGGCCGCGCCGGGCTCGGCCCCTCCTGCAGGGCCTCCTCATACCTCTGCGCGGGGGCAGTCGGTTGCGCACAAAGTGCCGTCGACATCACTTGGGTGTTTTTAAATAAGCGGTCGAAAGGGCACTCGTCAACTCTGAGCGGGGGTTCAAAGCGAACGCTGTCGGCAACATTGCTACCGTGGCACACGCAGCGTCGCTCTGCTCTCGCTTGTGTTTGATAATAAAACGAGACTCCCGCCTGCAAATCTGTGGATGGACTTAAATAATGAGATGATTCAACGCGGGGAAGGTATGACCGTACGCTCTTTGTATTTCAAATGTTATCGTCGGCGTTTCGCAATTTACAAGCGCACACAGTTATTCAGACACGATGATGCATTGCAGTAGCCGCGCGCACTTCCTTTCCAGCTACGTTATTTGGAAGTTAAGAATTATCGCTCAAGGATACATTTGCACCGCCTCATCCGTGCCATCGCAAGCCAGCAGGCAACCGTACACAATTCTGAAACTTTACCTCGTGCCTCGTAAAACGATCAACTGCACACCCCAGTCAAAACAAGGATAAGCGCAGTTTGACCGAGTCAAGGCCCGAGTCTCCCGGAAGGATTTAAAACGATTTGTCGATTGACCCGTCCGCTCAGAATAGACGCATCGCGCGATGTGAGGTAGACTCAGTTGTAAATTGTTTTTTTCTTCTAAATAATACACAAATGTACGTGAATGTATTTCATTGCAAAAATAACAAATGAGACGCAGCAAACGAGACAGAATGTAACAGATCGAACAGAACAGACGACACAAACGATATCGTACAAACGAGACTAAAATAGAAAACTGATCTTTGGATCATAACAATTTATTGTATTTCCGTGGGGGTTGGCGGTCCTGCGGATGGATCGTCACGTGTCCCTCACCTCGAACGCTGCCTGCGTGGGGCCGCTCATGAGCAGGACATCAGCCCTGGGCTTTCCGTACAGGAACTGCACGTGGCGGTCAAACTCGTGGCGGCTCTGCAGCACGGCACGTGCCACGTCCACGTCGTCCTGGCACGAGCGCAGGCGCGGGAGCAGCACCCTGGCCGGCGGCGATCCGGGCAGCACGGGAGGGGGAGGAGAGGAGAGGAGGCCGAGGGGCAGGCAGACAGTGGTGGTTACCATCCGTGCGTCGAATAATGAGAACGGGGTTGGGGGGAGCGAACCTACGGATACGGCCCACGAATTCATTTCAAAACGGCAACGGCCATGTGATACTTAGTAGACATCGCGACATCTTCACAGCATCAACCGAGCACCAGGGGGGAATACATACAGTGAGGGGAAAAAGTATTTTATCCTCTGCTGATTTTGTACGTTTGCCCACTGACAAAGAAATGATCAGTCTATTATTTTAATGGTAGGTTTATTTGAACAGTGAGAGACAGAATAACTACAAAAAATCCAGAAATACGCATGTCAAAAATGTTATAAATTGATTTGCATTTTAATGAGGGAAATAAGTATTTGACCCCTCTCAATCAGAAAGATTTCTTAAAGGGAGTGCTCCTAATCTCAGCTTGTCACCTGTATAAAAGACACCTGTCTACAGAAGCAATCAATCAATCAGATTCCAAACTCTCCACCATGGCCAAGACCAAAGAGCTCTCCAAGGATGTCAGGGACAAGATTGTAGACCTACACAAGGCTGGAATGGGCTACAAGACCATTGCCAAGCAGCTTGGTGAGAAGGTGACAACAGTTGGTGCGATTATTCGCAAATGGAAGAAACACAAAAGAACTGTCAATCTCCCTCGGTCTGGGGTTCCATGCAAGATCTCACCTCGTGGAGTTGCAATGATCATGAGAACGGTGAGGAATCAGCCCAGAATTACACGGGAGGATCTTGTCAATGATCTCAAGGCAGCTGGGACCATAGTCACCAAGAAAACAATTGGTAACACTACGCCATGAAGGACTGAAACCTGCAGCGCCCGCAAGGTCCTCCTGCTCAAGAAAGCACATATACATGCCTGTCTGAAGTTTGCCAATGAACGTCTGAATGATTCAGAGGACAACTCGGTAAAAGTGTTGTGGTCAGGTGAGACCAAAATGGAGCTCTTTGGCATCAACTCAACTCGCCGTGTTTGGAGGAGGAGGAATGCTGCCTATGACCGCAAGAACACCATCCCCACCGTCAAACATGGAGGTGGAAACATTAAGCTTTGGGGGTGTTTTTCTGCTAAGGGGACAGGACAACTTCACCGCATCAAAGGGACGATGGACAGGGCCATGTACCGTCAAATATTGGGTGAGAACCTCCTTCCCTCAGCCAGGGCATTGAAAATGGGTCGTGGATGGGTATTCCAGCATGACAATGACCCAATACACACGGCCAAGGCAACGAATGAGTGGCTCAAGAAGAATCACATTAAGGTCCTGGACTGGCCTAGCCAGTCTCCAGACCTTAATCCCATAGACAATCTGTGGAGGGAGCTGAAGGTTCGAGTTGCCAAACGTCAGCCTCGAAACCTTAATGAATTGGAGAAGATCTGTAAAGAGGAGTGGGACAAAATCCCTCCTGAGATGTGTGCAAACCTGGTGGCCAACTACAAGAAACGTCTGACCTCTGTGACTGCCAACAAGGGTTTTTCCACCAAGTACTAAGTCATGTTTTGCAGAGGGGTCAAATACTTATTTCCCTCATTAAAATGCAAATCAGTTTATAACATTTTTGACATGCGTTTTTCTGGATTTTGTTGTTGTTATTCTGTCTCTCACTGTTCAAATATACCTACCATTAAAATTATAGACTGATCATTTCTTTGTCAGTGGGCAAACGTACAAAATCAGCAGGGGATCAAATACTTTTTTCCCTCACTGTAGTTACCCTGACAACACCGCTCTGAGTGTAATGATAGCGCCGCTCAGTCTTTTATTGTCAGCCGCAAGGGGCTCTTTAAGCTCAGAGGTCGACGCGTGCGCATTATTTAATTTTCTGAGTTGTTATTGGTTAACACTCATTTGCGCATTAACACTGTGGTTGCTGCCTAAGGTACTGAAAATCTTATTTGGCCCCGAGTAGGGAAATGGTTTCCCCCGCCCCCTGCATTAGAGAGTCACCGTGCGGGTGAGCGTGGCCGCGAGATGCCCTCACCGGCTGTGAAAGTGCAGCAGGTCCGGCACGTTGCGGAAGATGACGTCTCTCTGCGAGTCGACGATCGGCGGGAGGCCGGGCGCCGTCTCCACGTGGCGCGCGTGGTGCGAAGTCACAAACTCCAGGTCGTGCACGAACGCCTCCTCCGACGCCACCAGCTCGCCCAACAGCGCCCTGTCGCACGGAAAACCTGCTACAGGAAGCGACCTCAGGAGCAGGATTTATTTGTTTGTGTGCCGCAAGCTCACCTTTGCGAATGTGGCTACGTTTGCACGTTGGTCTTACAGGGTCATTTCCATCTCTAGGTGGAATCTAGATTGGAGTGGATTGGATGTATGCTACATTGGCATTTGGAAGTGTACTTCTCGTGGTAAAATTAGCAGGTGTATTCGTATCGTATACATTTAGTCAGACGTGACAGTTGAGGCTCTACCCTAATTTGTTTGTTCGGCTGTCGTGTGATTTATTGCCTTTTCACCGCAGTACATTATGGGATCACGCTTTTTGTGGAAATTTTTTCTATCAAATTATTTTACAAAACAAGAGTATGTACACATACCTGTCAACCCCTTATCAGTGCTCTACCTTATTACCGACCAATTCAGACCTTATTGGTCACCCCGTGGCCCTTATAAATCTCAACGTTCATCCTACAAAGTCCCATCACAAGGGAGAAACACAAATAAATAGGCAATTTGTTTTAGCCCCGTATTGAAACGGCTGAACGCCGTATGGACCTGAAAACTCATTTCCCTGTACAAGAATACGGGGCAAACCGTATGGGTTGACAGGTATGTGTACATGTGAGTGTGAGTTTGGGAGTGGGGAATGCACAAAGCAGTGGCCTTTTCAAGTTTAAAAACACACTGAAAGTGCCTCTGGTCCTCTTCTGGTGACAACGCCTTCACCAATTCATCTTCTCTCTGCCGTTGTGCATCCATAGGGAAGTCCTAGGGGAAACAAAGTGTGTAGGTATTCAACTCATTTATTCCTGAAAACTAATTAATTTAGAAGTGCTTTAGGTGTGTTTTAGTTTGTTGTCTTTCTCCTCGCACCTCTGATTAGCACGGTTGGCTATGTACGGCACGAAAGAAGTTAAACGTACATTCATACGTTCACACTTAAATTCAAAGAACACACAAACGCGAGTGTTTCAAATTGACTTTGTGCTTTTACACATAGCGGCTGATAAAACCTGCAAAAGTTGCCGTGGCATCTTTGAAGATGAATGCAGCAACGTGCACCAAACTCAATTTAGCATAAGCCCTATTTCGAGGCCTCATATTTATGTTCTAATGGCTTAACACAGCAAGCGCCTTTGGGAGTCAGCAAATTATTTTAATATCTCCATCTGCGAGGCTCTCCCATGTCTGGCTGGATTAAGTTTGAGGGGGGCCCAGGGATGTTATCGTTTTGGGGGGGGTGGGCGGGAGGGGGGGGGGGCTCTTTTTCTTAATTCAGTTCCTCGCCTTGACTGGTCCACCACCACCACCACCCATACCTCACGCCAAACTCTCCATCGTCATTCCTCTCAGTTATTTGAGATCCGGGTTTTTAAATGCGACGTACGGATTATAAAGCTACAGCAAAGTTAAAATGAAGGAAACTCTTTAATGTCAGCACATAACTGGTATAATTAACGCAGTGATGCTGTGGTCTTAAATGTACTCGAATGAGCGACTGTAGCACTAGAATAAACCTGTGCTAGAGTATTGGGCTTGGTCCATCATGAAGCTCGACTCGCAGGGCACATCTTGGAGGTAGCTGCGTGCAGACTGCAGCAGCTGTGGGGTCTGGCGCAGGGGAGAGAGCGTTGGCGTGGTGCACTGGCGGTGGTGGCATCGACGGCTTTGGCCATGATGACCCCTTGACCTCGGTCTTCAATATGAAGCTGTCCAGCTCCGATATTAGGAACCCTTCCGATATCAGGAAACCACTGGAGCTATGCACTAGATTGAAAACTCATTTATCTTAGAACTGCTTTTTTTGTGCTTAGTTTGTTGTCCTTCCACCGCACCTCCGATTAGTGCGGTTGGCTACGTACGGTGCAAAAGAAGTTCAACATACACAAATACATGGCGTCTCACCGGCGGACGCTTCTCCAGGAAGGCTGACGAGGCCCAGCCCTGGCAGAAGTCTTCTGTGACGCTGGGTCTGGTCCTCACGAGCCAGCGCAGGGGGTGAGCGCAGTCCAGGACCTCCACGTGCTGCCCCCTGCGCAGTGGCACCCACTCGGGCTCGTCGCCGCTCGGGACGACGTCCGAGGTCGCGACAAACTCATCCATGCCCTGGGGCAGAGTGGACAGAGGACGACTTGTGTGTGTGTGTGTACGTAGGTTCAACTTATTTCGCACGGTACGTAGCCGACCGTGCCAATTGGAGGTGCTGGACTTTCTACCCCACCCAGTTTATTCTTATGAGAAGGCTTTGAGAACATATGGACGTAATTTTTTGAAGAAGCTCCTAGCATCTGTAGCGAAACGTCGGACATCGTGCCAATGAACGTACTGTACAACGCGAACACGCATATGAGAGCCATCGATTGGACTGTAAGAAAACTAAATGGCCTTGAACAGCACACGAGGCTAGAAGGGATTGACGGCCGACCGTCAAGAGTAACAACCAAACAGCAGCCAAAGGAGAAAGCCCACTCGAGATGACTACCGTGGAGATGGAACGATGAAAATCAGATCGTCCATTGGACCTGGATGGATTGCTGCATCGCGAGACCGTGAGAGATGGCGACGGCCTGGTGAGGCCTTCATCCAGCAGTGGATAGATCGTTGCTGATGTTGAAATTCCACGATGGGGATTCGGCGGCTAAATTCGACGCGTGTAACATCGCATCGATTCACCGATTCAAATGCATGTAGGGATAGGGTATTATGATTCACATGTGCTGGATACCGCTGGTTCACGTGATCCATGCGGACACGATAGGCGCTACGCTCACCAAGATGTAAAAATAACCATCGCTTCTTGAATGAAAATTCAAGCCCAAGTCGTGACTAATCATCAAATCGCCACCCGGACGAACCATCACGGGGCTAACAGATTCGGTCTGCGGGAGGAAGGAATTCTCTGGTAGTGTCAACTCGCGACTCCTCGCCCCGACAGCAGCTTTGTCCGCGAGGTGGGAGAGCCGTGACACTCCGCCCCTGTTTTATTTCAGGAAAACCGCCGCATGAAAGGGCGCAGATATAATTTTGCGTCGAGCCACGCGAAGGTTGCATGCAACAGCGTGGCTGCAGAACGTCGCACAGGGTAGCGGGCACGATTGCACTCCGAACGTCAAGCGGGTGTTTGGTAACGAAGAAAACGCACGACGCGCACATTCAAGAAGAACACGTGGAGTAAGAGAACAGCATGTGCGTCCGAGAGAGGTAATTTTGACCAGTAAAGAAAAGTGGGCTTGGGCAGAACGCGTCGCCGCGGCGGTTGAGGCGAGAGAATAACCACGTCGGGGACGTGACAACCACGTCACGTCGGCGCCGGCATCACAGGACGGTGAGCTTTGGAGCCACGGCTCGGGGAGGCCTTCATCCAGCACGGCTGAAGATTGTGATGATGACGATGTCAGCGCACAATTCCCAAGTTAGTCCGGTTTCCCTATATCGGAAATGAACCCCAAGAGAAAGCGTCGTGGAGCACGTACCGACGCTGCCGGGGGGGGGGGGTGTGGGGGGGGGGTGTGGGGGGGGGGGGTGGGAGGCATGGTACCTCCATGGCCGCGTCTCCCTCGTCCGACTCGATGGGCGACTCCAGGATGCCGGAGGTGGGACGCGAGCGTCCGCGGCGCGGCGTTGTCAGCGGAGTTCGCTGATCGTCATCGCTGCCTTCGCTGCCAGGGACGCGCAGCGACACTGCTCGTGGCAAGCGGGGGGGGGGGGGGGGGGGCGGGGGCACGGGCGGGGGGGGGGGACGAGGGGGGCCGGCCCGTGGATGGGGGGCCGGCATGCAGTACTCGGCTAAGTTTGGATTTGGCTTGGCCTGAACATTGGTGGCAGTGCGATAATGTACCGCAAAACAGGTGGTGCACCAGGACCTATCATTCCGTGAGCCTATAAATACGTCTGCTCCATGGCGATTAGTGAACTGCTTTCCTCACGTTTGCTTGAAAAGGGAATTGTTCTGCTTTGGTAAGAACACAACAGCACCGGTGTGTGCTGCAGTGAACCCTTTCCCGTTCCGAGACGTCTGCAAGTTGCAGGGTGGGGTCCCCTTCACCGCTGAATTTCGGAACGTGCAAGAGGTTGAGCTTTAATTTTATTTAAGAGAGGCATGGTGCTGTTTTTTTTTATTAAACACATTGTACTCACCGCAGAGAACGAGCGACACGACCGCACTTTACGGTTTAGCTGGCGCCAAACTGTGCCACAAGCCCTCCCGCATGGCATTGTGGGAGCCTCGGTACCGATAAAGTGATTTTATTTTACACGTACGTCATTGGAATGGATCCGGAAGAAAAACTGATAACGTACACGAATGTCATTGGAATGGGAAAGAGTAAAGCGCTACAAAACTGGGGACCATGCTTAGCCAAGGTGAATATCGGAACCGTTTTCAGGCCTTCCATACATCAACTCAGCCTTAAATGAGGTCCTGGCACATGGTGTGTAAACATCGGCACTTGGGAGACAAAGGTGGCCGGGCACAGTGCTGGCCAGACCACCTCTTCATGCACTGTCCAAGATTTCAAAAGTGCTTACTAACAGCACTTGCCCCGGCATTCTATGTGGGCTACACGGGAACATTTGACGTGGGATCTGGGACTCCGTGGTGAAGGCCCCCACTCCCCACTGGTGCCGCCCCAACTGTCCTGGCGGTCCCCGGGCCTCGTGGTTATCGCCATTGCCAGGCCCCGATGCCTTGTCCCTAACAGTGTGTGCAGGCCACACACAGGGGGCGCAGGGGGGGATATTTGTGGTTGTCAGATAGAGCGGCCATCCAACCTTTGGAGAAGCGCGTGCAGACCATGTCGGAGATCTGTGCCGTGAGCCGGTGGATGAGCTCCTCGGTGAGCGACACGGTGCTGCCGCGCGACTCGCGCCCGTCCCTCTCGGGCGCGGGCAGCTCGTCCCGGCTCAGCGTGCCGTCCGCCTCCAGGACTGCGGAGCGAAGTGCATGGTTAGTTGGATATCGGTGGATATTCAAATTCAACTTTGTGTCACCAAAGTTGCCAGCCCATGGGGCCGGCTCATGACTCGCACCTCCGATTAGCATGGTTGGCTACATACGGTGCAAACAAAGTTGAACATACATTTATACATTGCCAAGATTGCTGGAAAGGTAAAGGCGCAGCCCAGCAATTTCTTGCTCATGCAAATGCTGGCGGAAGGACCTCCATTTAAAAGGGCTCCCTTTAGAGTCCCTTTCGAGAGTGTTAAGCCTACTCTTCCACGCTGGCCAAACGTCTTGGGAGGGGTGGCAGCATCCACACTCCACCTCACCGCACGTCACCTGCCGATGGACTAACCCAGGGTGTAGCCGTTCATACTGCTGGGTCCACAGAGGATTTGACAAACCTGCCAATTGTTTTCAACTGCCGCACCGGGAGGTCGAACCGGCGACCTCTGGGTTGTAAGTCCGATGACCTCACCCTGATGCATGGCAGCATACCGTGAGCTCTCTTAATTCAGATACAAATTAAATTATTATTATTATACACCGCGCGGATCAGAGCGGCGGAGATAACGGGCCATGTTGTGCTGCTAGGGTTCGAAAGTGCGAGGCCTCGAACTCGGAGGTCAAACCCTCGCGCCACAGCCACGAAACGGGTTCATTAATTCCAGAATCGGCAACCGCAGTTGACTCGGTAACGTCGTGAAAGAGGGTCGTGTCGTGGGCCAAAGCTGGGGCTCGGCTGTCGGCTCCTCACGGTAGTCGTGTTCAGGCTCTGGCGGCTGCACCGAAATGTCCTCAAAGAACGGCCTGGGGAAAACAGGGGCGGGCAAAATGGAGTAAACACCCCCGTCATGTATTCTGCGCTTGCACGTGTTCATAAAACACGAAATGTTCCGATAGCAGCAGACGTTCAGTTATTGAGGCATGTAATTCAATACCTTTTCTCTCCTTCTGCGTGCTCTCTGGCAATGTCTTCTGGCAGGCTGAAAGAACGACACAAGATTGTTAGTCATGTCTCATATGGCAACACAGTGCATGACATCTTTTTTTAAACGGTGAAGAAAGCAAACATCATGGATGGAGGCAGGGGGGTTTAAGAAACCTGCCCATTATATGTATTAATCTATATTTACCTGCATATATATTGGTTTTATAAGTATGTTGGTTCACGCACGCACGCACGCATGTATTTATACGTTGGTGCTGAACCTTCACCTATGCAGGTAGGAGCTGAGTCTTTCCTCCTGGGTTGTCGCCAGATCTTCGCTCTCCCCTTCGGCTCCACGTGCTGGAACAGCATGGGAGGAGTGGTTTTGAGTGCAATGAGCGCCACTTGTGGCTGTTGGTGGTGTTGGCGGTGGCAGTGACATTGACGGCGGTGGTGGTGGCGGTGGTGGCGATGGTGGCGGTGGTGGTGGCGGTGGTGGCGGTGGCGGCGGTGACGGTGGCGGCGGTGGTGACGATGGTGGCGGTGGTGGCGGTGGTGACGGGAGTGGCGGTGGTGGCGGCTGGAGGAGAGGAAGCAAGCGGACTCACGCCGCCGGACGTCCACGTAGGCCGTGCAGATGGCCTGCCCCACGGGGTTGGTGGCGATGACGGTGTAGTGGCCGGCGTGCTGCGGCACCACCGCATCCAGGGTGAGGCTGTGGCGGGCGCCCGTGCTCTCCAGGCGGAACCCTTCGCTCGTCTCCTTGATCCACGTCACGTCCTCCGCGGAGTCCTCCTTGAGCCACGTGACGTCGGGCGTTGGGGAGCCTGCTCGCACAGCACGACGATCGTACGGCGCGCATGATGATCGCACGACGCGTACGACGATCGCACAATGTGTACGCGAGGGCATCGTTACTTCACGTGACGCGCGTGAACTGCAGCAGTGTTGGCATCAGAGCCACACAGTTATTTCCCTAATTGTTAATTATAATCTAAATAACTTTAATACGGTAGTAATGATTCCACGGTGGCTACATCGCAGGACCGTGGGAGATGGTGATGACATGGGGAGGCCTTCATCCAGCAGCGGTTGAGGATGAATATGAACAACTTCTACGTACGGTGCGAAATGAAGTTCAACATACATATATAAATGTTATGATTTTAGATACATAAATGTACATTGTTGTCATAAAAATTCCATCAGTGGGATTCTTGCGCAGAGAAAGCAATTTGTTAAATTCAGGCGGATGCGCGTGTTGATCGGCGTGAGCGGCGAAGCGGGATTGGCTGGCGCTCATCTCACCCTCTAGCGTGATGGCCAGCGTCACGCTGCCTCCATGCGGCACGCGCTTGTTGCTGAATCTCTCCACGAACCGCGGCGGTGTCAACTTCTTTTGCTCACCTGCAGACACGCACACGCACAAAGGCAGACAGACCGGTAAACAGACAAGAGTGCTCCCTGACGCACAGGCGGACTTACAGAGACCACGGTGACAGAAACTACAGCCCAGGCAGGCCCGCCGCACAGCTGGCGCGCTTCAGAACCTTGCAGCACGAGGAGCGCCGACGTGTAGACGCATCCGGCGGGGTTGCTGGCGCAGACGGTGTACTCTCCGCCGTCGTCCGCCGTCGGGAGGGCGATGGCGAGCGTGTGATGTTCCCCATCGCTGCGCAGCTGCAGCCGCTCGGAGCCCGGCAGCGGCTGCCCGTCCTTGAACCAGTAGACGCGCGGGGCCGGCGAGCCTGCAGACGGGACACGTAACCGTCTCGCTGTGCTCGCTCGTGCGAGCCGGCGCCACCGCTACCACTGCTACCTCCGCTACTGCCACTGCTGACGCCACTGCTGATTCACCACGGCACGCGGGAGCCCCACAGGTGGCAGTCTGCTATTAAATATCCTGCAAGTCATTCTGCAGGATTGTGAGTGATGGTGATAGCTTGTGGAGGCCTACATCCAGCTGTCGATCGATTATGGCTGACAATAATGATTTGTTTTTATAGAGCGCTCAGAGGACTTAACGGGTAAATTAAATGATGCCTCTAAAATACGAGGCATACTTTTGAGTGACTCTTCTAAGATGTATCACTAAGCTTCCTCTTTAAGGGGGGTGCTTCATTGCGACGTTTGACCGGTTCATCTCTCATCGGCGTGCTGCATTCAGGCCTTTGTATAGTAGGCGAAAGCGCTCTCGTCACAAACACTTCCTCCACTGGCACATGCATCCTGAGTTTCACAGCAATGGAATACAATAAAATGCAATTCGGATAGAAATATGAATTCATTTAATGGCCGGCAACTGTCAGACGGAAATACATAAAAGGTAATATTTAGTAATAAACTGATAAAAAAAGTCCATCCATTTGTTCGAGTCCAGACATACAGTAAGACCCTCCTCTTCGCCTCCGGCTATCACTGAATGTTTATTTTTTTTTACGAATTCAGTTCACAAGTCCTCTTCCCTGGATCCCTCCTCTCCCTCCTCCCCTTCGTGCTAAAAATAAATCTCTCTGCTTTCCCACGGTCTCACAATGCGCTTGTCTCTCTCCTTGCACAGAGACTTGCGACGTGGTCACATACAGCCTCTCTACGAAGTCGAATTGCATCGTATCGCCTTGTAGATCGTGTGGAGTCACCTTTGACCCCAACGGACAGCAGCGTGCTCTCTGCCCCGGCCGCCACTTGGAGGTCGTGCAGCTCGCGCGTGAACTCGGGGGGCTCCTCCGGGGCCGGCGTCTCCACCGCATCCTCAGCCTGGTCCCTGAGTTCACGAGTGCCGCGTGCGTGGACGTCAGAGGCGTGGCACCGCGCGCTCGCCTCGGCGATCTCGGCCGTGCGCGGATGAATGCGTCGTCTATGTGCGGGGTGCGGCTCTCACCTGGGAATAGTTGCTTTCCGCGTGTCGCAGTCGGGGCTCAACACTGTGACGATAAAAGCAAGGATTATTAATATGAATACCGTAAAGCGAGACGCGAGGCAGACCAACACAAACGCACACACGCAGGCGCAGGACAGCATCGCTCGTGGGCTACGGGTTCGCGGAATGAGCTCTCGACGTGGTGCGTGTGGAGCCCGACGGGTGCAGGCTGACATCCTATCTTCACGAGTCACATATATGACAAATTTAACTCTGTTATTTTAGTTTCGTGCACAAACGCAGCAAGCGCACGGACGGTTCACGTCAAGTCCACCGTGCCACGAGCACCGCAATAGTTACTCTCAGTGCATTATCCTTTCTCAATACTGTCGGGCACGGGCTGTAAACAATATATGGCGAGTGAAAGATCGTTAGCAGATCGAGGCGTACACGGAGCTCGGTGCGGCTGTAATTTCATGCACGTGAAAATGATTTGCATCCCATTTGGGGGTTCACCTCCGGGATGAGGAAGACAAGTCCCCTCTGAAGTTAGATTCTGTTTTGTCAGCAAGACGGTGAACTTCCTGTAAACTCTGGCTCAGGATTAACATCCACCCCATAATTCTTGTATGAGTTAAATAACTCACGAAACTAACCTCGCTCCTAAAAATACGCACAACAATCACGTTCTCGCATCTAACATTGACCGCCAACGGTAACACATCATTTATACGTAAAAAAATAAACATACTTGGAATGCACAAATCGCACGACCTGTCCCGACATTGAAACGGGCGCCGTCACGCACGAGCGAGCGTAGCGCTCACGTGACGGAAGCAGCGGCCGCCCCCTGCTCTCCTTGGCCCGTGCTGTCTCACCGTCGACGACGAGGAGCTCGGCGTGGCTCGACGCCACGCCGAGCTCATTCTCCGCCACGCAGCGGTAAACGCCAGCGTCCCCGGCGCCGGTCGTGGTGAGCACCAGCTGCTGGCTGCCGTCGTCGCCGTCGTTGATCATGTGGCGGTCGTCCTCTCGCAGCGGCCGGTCGCCCTTGTACCAGGCGACGGAGGGCGCGGGCGAGGCCGTCACCACGCAGTCGAAGGACGCCGGGTACCCCTCCTCCACCGTGAGCCCCAGCAGGTGCTGCACGAACCGCGGCGCTGCGGCAAGGGCACGGGACAGGGAGCGGAGTAGAGACGCGAACGCAACAACACGGGCAGTGTGACGAGTGTGGGGTGGTGGGGTGGTCGGGGGAAGCACAGAGTAGAAACCAATTAGATATTCGTTTAGTAAAACACATTCTTCTATCAACAATACACATGTAAAATTGTGCATGTGTGACAATGGGTTTTGACGATTTGTGAAAGAAAACGATAAGCTCACGTGACGTTAAAGACAATAAAGTGACCAAAACGTATTGGGGAAAATATCTGATTCTTGAATTGAACCTCGGCCCTGAATCTTGCTGGGTGGGCACGAAAGGTTGCGCGCGTGATAGTCACCGTCGCCGAGTACACATACGAGTAAAAGTCTGGGAGAAACATCCTGAATGCTTATAATTGGTGCTGCACAGCGCCCGTGCACGTCAGCAGAGCCAGAGACAACCAAACCGGCGCGAAGGCACGGAGTGCACGGGCGTTGCGGCGCTGCGAGGAAACCGCGTGGCCGCGTGCGGCGGTGCGCGGGCATCGCGGGAGGGGGAAGCGGCCTCACCGCTCCGGCCCGACTCCTCCTCTGCGACGGCGGCGCTGCCGAGCGGCGCCACCGCCGCCGCCGCGTGGAACTTCTTGACGCGCACGACGGCCGCTCGTCCGTTCTCCGTGGCGTCCTCCAGCAGCAGAACCTCCACCGGCTGCCCCTGCGGAGACGCAAAACCGAGCCGGGGTCGTCGCGTTCCCCTCTCCCGGCACTCACGGCGCAGGGCGGCGGTGGACACAACCGGAACGTATTTACGCCGAGTTTCTTTTGCGCCGTACGCAGGCAACCGTGCTGATCGGAGGTGCGGGGGGAAGGACAACAAACAACGCGCAAAAAGCTGAAGAAATTAGTTTTCAATCTCGATAGCTTCCAGTGGCTTCCTATTATCGGAAGGAAGAGCGTTCCAAATCGCCGCAGACGCGCATCTGCAGCGGTTCTGTTTCAGCGATTATAATTGCCGACGATCGATAATCGAAATCAATAATCGAAAATAATATAATCGCCCCTGCGGCCCCCGCGACCCTCGTGAGCCCCGCGACCCTCGCAACCTTCGTGACCCTCGTGACCCTCGTGACCCTCGCGACTTTCGCGACTTGCAACCCTCGCGACCCTTGTGATCCCCGCGACCCTCGTGACCTTCGTGACCCCCGCAACCCTCGCGACCCTCGTGACCCCCGCGACCCTCGTGACCTTCGCGACCCTCGCACCTGCAGCGCGAAGAGCTGGCGGAAGCTGTCGGCCGCCGACTGCGCTTCGGCCGCGTCGCAGAACGAGATGTAGATGTGGTCGCCGTCCTCCCGGAACGTCGGCTCCGCCGGCGCCGGCCACTGCGCCGGACCTCCTCGCTGAGGCTCGGGGGCTGCAGCGGTCGCCTGACGAGGAGCGGGGGGTCAAGAGAAGCCGCGATGAGGTGACGAGGTCGGGGCGGCCACCCGCATGACGTCGTCAATAATGAAAATGTGAAACGACACGATGGGTATTCATGGGTTGCGGTGTTTTTGTTGTTCTTGAAAAGTCATGCCGGGCCTTTCCTGATCACCGTGGCACAGAGCAGAAGTGAAGCCTGAGACCGACCCCTAAGGGAGGACACAGGGACGTGTCCTCGTGCACATTTGACCACAGTTTCTCGTTAAGTAATGTACAGTATTTTTTGTTTTATCAAAAAATTACGATTTACCATTAAATGTGCATTCTTAAGTCTGATTTCATGATTATGTCTTGGAGCCGAATGATATTTTTTTCTGTAGGAATGCATCTCCAATCGCATAACGGAAATTAATGGGTTCGATATCTGGATGCCTCTAATTTACAGAAACCTTACCGAGGGATACGTGTCATGATGACGACAATGAAAGCCATGCATCATGACGAGAAGGTCACGTGTTGTAACCACGATCAAAATCGTCAAAGCCTGCACCCTGCACCTCATCTCCGTCAAACGATTCCTCCTCCGCCGACTGCCGGATGAGGAAGCTGCGTAGGCTGCTCTGAGTGGGCTGCAGGGGAGGGTGTGCTCCCCGCTCCAGCTCCTTGCGCGTCTTGAATCCGCGAAATGCAGCCTGGAGGAGGCCAAGCGGAACCACGAGTGAGGGAAAGACAGGAGGAGGAGGGGCGGGGTGACTACGCAGAGGTACAAATATGGCGTCCACCCGGACAGCGTGGAACGGCTTTCAAAACTCGACGCGCAGCCAGAATCTCGGCCCGCAGCTTTTCGAGCGCCAGCGTGAGGGTAGACCTGGATCTTGGTGGCCGCTCGGTCGAGTGCGGCCGCCTCCACCTCGGCGCCCTCGGCCTCCTCGGGCTCCTCATGGATGGAGCCGAGCGTGGGCTCGCAGCTCATGCGCCGCCTCCGGCTCGCCGCATCCCACGGCTGCCGCGGCCGGGCCTCCCCGTCCGACTCCGGGGGCCCGCCGGGCCGCCCGTGTTCGCCGCGCCCCTCGCCCTCTTCCTCTGATCGCGCGCACGGAGGCACGGTGGGGGGGGGGGGGGGGGGGTCCCCGTCAGCACCGGCAGGAGGAGAATCGGACGCGGCGCGAATCGGCTACCGGAGGCGGGGGGATATTTCGAGCGCGGGATCTCGGCCGCGCGTCGGCGGTCCGTACCGCGCACGGCGAGCCGAGCGGCGCAGGCGACGTCGCGGACGACGCACTCGACGTCTCCGCCGTGCCGCCGGTGGGCGCGGCGCAGGATGAGCGAGCAGGTGGCGCCTTCCTGCTCCGTCTCCCACTCGTCCGTGCCCTCGCCCGCTCCTCCCGCCACGGCGGTGGCGATCTCCTCGCCGTTCAGGTACCAGTGGACGTCCGAGGGCGGCACCGCCTGGCTCAGCTCGACGGTGAAGCGCGCCTCACCGCCCCGCGCCACTGCCTGGTCCGCGAGCGGCCGCACCATCTCCGTGTGCCAGGCTGCACGACCAAGGGGGGCGACGAGGGCATCGCGGCAATGCGTGCTTATTGGAGATGCCCGCGAGAAGTTTGGTAGGTTAATTGTTCGTCAAATAATTTCTCCACAATGATGATGCAATTTGGTTTGCTCATGACGATGTGTTTCATGAGAATGTAACTCCCCTGGAATGCATGTCAGGGCGTTGTAGCTTGTGAAGTATCAGGTTATGCTCGACTGGGCACAAGGGGACACTTGCAGGGACCGAAGTGACAGAGCGGCGCCAATGTTACAAACACGGTGATGCTGCCAGATCGAAAAACAGTCCTCTCCAGTACCCGATTAGCGCGGCCAAGATGCTTGCAGTGAGGGGTAATTATCGTTTGCGGCCCACTTCGAAGCGGTGAGCCTTATGTGGCCATGGGCCTGAGTGCCACCTCTGTTCAGCAGGCCGTGGATTCCTCGTCCCGTGACGCGTCGTCCCTCACGTACCGGTCACCCCGAGGACGGTGGACGTGACGGCGTCCACGCCGGCTTGGCACGCGTAGACTCCACCGTCGTCCAGCATGACGTCGCGCACCGTGAGGCGGACGCGAGCCCCGTCGTGCTCCACGGCGATCCTCCCGCCGGCCTCCAGCGCCACGCCGTCCTTGGTCCACGTGAGGCGGTCGGCCGGCTCGGCGGGCCGCGACAGCTCGCACACCAGGCTGGCCGTCGAGCGTTCCTCCGCCACCACCGCGGACAGCGGCGTGGCCACGCGCAGCGGCAGTCCTGGGGGCGGCAAACGGCGATCGGTTCAAATAAATAAATAAATAGATAAATAAGGCGCCGCCGATGCGGTCCCTTAGGACGTGCCTCCGATTGGCACAGTTGGCAACGTATGGTGCGAAAGAAGTTCGACGTACATTAATGCACGTAAAACAAAGTTAAGGTACAGCCCTGCAATTTCTTGTGCGTGCCACAAGAAGCAGCTCTCGAGCAAAGAGTAAACAGTAATGCATGGGTGGTGAGCTGTGGCAAGACCAGTTGCCTGGGGAAGGTGCATGGATTTCATTCAATCGTTAAGCTCACAATACATGTGTCAAATTGTCTAGGAATCTATGCTTTTCATTTGTATATGTTATATATAATGGGTTCACATGACTTATTGCAAAAATAAATAAAAGTTATTGAATTGACTTGCGACCCCGGATCCAATCGCCACCACCGTCAGATTTCACGCGACGAAATTTATGCAACCGGCGCCGGTGCTCACTCTTCACGACGAGGCGGGCCGATGCTTGGGCCCGCGCGGCGCGGAAAGTGACGAGGCCGTTGTCGTGGGGCGCGAGGTCGCGCAGCAGCAGGGCGTGCGTCGCGCCGCTCGCCGCCACCTCGTTGATCTCGTTGCTGCCGAGCGGCTGCTCCCCGAGCCACCAGCCGGCGTCCTCCACGTCGGCGCGCGACAGCTCGCACGAGAAGCGCGCCGCTTCGCCCTCCCACGCCTCCACGTCCGCGGGGGGGCGCGTGATCTCGACGGCGAACTCTGCGCGACGGAGGAGGTGGAGGAGGTGGAGGAGAGGCGTGTCACGTTGTGTCGGGCAGCTTGTTAGGGGCGTAACTGTGCATCGATTCTCCTACGTGCGTTGTAACAAATCATCCCCCTAGAGATTCAACGCATTGTCATGATTAGGGGGTCGCGATTCAAATCGTAGAGTTATGTTCTCTTCGTGAGCCTACATGTAACATTGGCAAATTATTAATTGCTATATAATGCACACACCAAAAAATCGATGTGCCCACGTATTTTTCGACGGGTGTAGCGTGAACGTAAAAATCGACTTTTATCGACGAATCAATAAGTCGGTCCTTGTCGACGAATCGAGCCGTGAGGGAGGTCGCCACGCGGCCCCCCAGTCGGCCGGCGTACCCGTGACGACGAGCACGGCGGCCGTGCGGTCGTGCCGCGTGCGGCACGAGTACTCCCCGGCGTCGTCCGTCCGCACGGCGGCGATTGCGAGGGCGGCGCGGGCGCCGTCGCGGCTCGCCGAGGCCCGCGGCGACGCCTCCAGCTCCACGTCGCCCCGGAGCCAGACGACGTCGACGTCGGGACGCGACAGCTCGCAGGACAGCACGGCGCGCGAGCGCTCCTCCACCCACACGTCCTCCAGCGGCGCAATGAACACAGCCACCTTCTCTGTGGTGCGGTGGAACGAGGGGACTACAAATAAAAAACTAAACCGTTTTTTTTTTATTTTACCAGGTCAGGCCCCGCTGAGCTGTGTAGCTCTTTTTCAGAAGCGACCTGAAAGAAGTGGCTCATCGTGTGGAAATATCGAGCATTTCCAGAGAATAATCCACGTGCCCATGTGGAGAGAGAACATGCGAACTTCAAATATGCAGCCGTCAGGTTCGGGATCGAACCCACGACTTCCTGTAAACCAGGCGAGGTAGTTAACATCTCGCCACTCTGGCACCCATGACGCTGGGTTTAACAGAAATTGTAAATTACAATTTTAATAATGCCCTTTTGTATACCCAAGAAAGCCTCATTGAGTCTCAAGGCTCTCTTTCAAGAAGGCCCTGGATCGGGATGTTTGATGAGTAATTTTTTTGAGGATTTTTCTGCACTCACGGCTTCCTGATCACGGTCAATTGCTCTATCCCTACAAAGTCAATCTGAAGGTCTGTGCCTCTGTGTCATCACATTTAAACTGTTTTTGCCAACCGAATGAATGATGACCCAAAGGAAACCCACACGCAGGATAAGATAGCAAAGCTCCGCACACAGAGAGAGAGAGAGATTCAATGCCCGCCTGCCCTTCCACCCGCGGTACCTGAGACGGTCAGCCGTGCGGACGAGCTGTCGTCGAGCGTGGCGCAGGTGTACACGCCCGAGTCCCCCAGCGCCGCCCGCTGGATCTCCAGGACGGCCGAGCTGCCCTCGAGAGACAGGCGGATCCGATCGCTCGCCCCGAGCTCTCCGCCATCCTTGCTCCACGTGACGGGAGCCGGCTCCGACAGCGCGCACGACAGATGCAGCGGCTCGCCCTCCTCCACGGCCGTCTCCGCCAGGGGCGAGGTTACCGTCACGGGGCGCCCTGCGGGAATGCCGCGCCGGGATTAGGGGGGGGACGTTCACCACCATAACGGAACTAAAAGCAGCAGCCACTGTAAATGTAAGTCAATGGTGCAGCCGATATTAAACACTGAAAACGATCAAAACATTTTCGCAAACTACCACAACGCGCGTGGGTTTTTTCTCCGGGAGCTCCAGTTTCCTCCCACTTGTATAAGCATTCATTAATTGGCTTGTCTGGATAGATAAAGAAAGTTGACAAAAATGTAACTATTCTAAACATCAGCATTTACAACCTTTGCAGGGACCAAGCCATTCACGAACGCGATCGCCCGCTGACGGCGAACGCCCGCGGCTCGCTTACGCGTCACGGTGAGCGTCGCGCTGGACGAGATGTCGCCGGCACAGAAGGCGACACGGCCGCTGTCGTCCGGCGCGAGCCGGCGCAGCGTGAGCGTGTGCGTGCGCCCGTCCCGCACGCCCAGCGCGTTCAGCTCGTTGTCCAGCAGCCTCGTGTCCCCGAGCCACCAGCGAGCGTCCGTCACGGCGCCGCGCGACAGCTCGCAGGAGAACGTCGCCGCCTCGCCTGCGACGGCATTCCGGAGCGAACGCGGCGTGGGGTCACGCGACGGGAGCAGTTCGCGCATCCGAATGATGTGGCCTTTGTCGCGCGCGGGATGTACGCCGATGGTATCGTGCGCCGTACCTGACATCACCTCCACATCCTCGAGTGGAGTCACGACCCTCAGTGGCAGCTCTGGAAGAGACAAGAGTGCACGTTGAGTCTTCACGGTGCATGTGTATGCCACTTTCGTGGCAGTGTGGTAGGGTAGCCCTTAGATCAACCACACCACGCCCACTTGTTATTATTAATCTCAAATACGTTAGATAACTCACAAGTCTGTGAAGCTGTCTACATTCATCCCACACACCGCCCGTACTCACTCTTGTATCCTATTCACAATCCTCTCTTCTGCAGATAGCCAGAACATTGTTTGTGCCCGTTAAACAATCGTTCAGCACTTTTTCTTTAAACGAGTGACAGCTGCAAGTGTCGATTTGTTACCGGTGATCGTAGCCGGTGCTGCACGAGCAACGGCCGCTGTCCGTGTAACAAATCTGAGTAAACTAAATTAAATTTATTCTTGTGTTGTACTATTATCCTCAAATATTATATTTTGTTGAACTTATTTAGCGCTGGATGTAGCCAACCGTACTAATTGGAGGAGCGGGGGAAGGACAACAAACTAAACACAAAAAGCTTTTCTAAATAAATGATTTTTAATCGAGATGTAAACGTTTTCAATCTAGATCCTATATTCCCAGCCGTCGCCAACCTCACTGGCCAGCAAGGTGAAGTATGGTTAAATAGCCCCCACAATGAGCTGTACACAAACACACAGACAATCACCGGTGACGGTGAGCGTGGCGGCGGTGACGTCGTGGCCGGTGCCGCACGAGTAGCGGCCGCTGTCCTGCAGGCTCAGGCCGTGCAGGACGAACCGGGCCGTGCGTCCCTCCTGGCTCATCTCGTGCCTCCCGTCGGGGCCCAGGGCCCGGCCGTCCTTCAGCCAGCTGACGGGGGCGCCCTCTTTGGACAGCTCACACAGCAGCACGGCATCGCCCCTCTCCTCCACGCTCACGTCCTCCAGACCCTTGGTGAACACCGCGGGCTTCTCTGTGGCGGAAGAAAAAAACACTGGCATTTACATATGGGCACTTGGTCAAGGCAAGATGATGATTTTAAATTCCTCCAGATGTTCTACAGCTATGTTGTGTAACTTTTAAAAACTTTAAAGATGGACGTAAATTTATTATTACGTTTACGATCTTTGTCACTTTCAAGCATTGCTATAGTGCAGCTGCTTTATGGTACAGCTTGTACGGCCCGAGGACTCCAACTCAGGTACCCGTGGTTTCAGGCCCGCGTCCCCGTGGGCGCGGGAGGGGGAGTGACGCACCCAGGACGAAGAGCCGCGCGGCGCTCTCCTGCTCCCCGGCCCGGCACGTGTATGTCCCCGCGTCGTCGGGCCCCACGTCTCTGATGACGAGGACGGCCGTGTGACCGTCCGCGCGGGGCTCGAACTTGTCACCGTCGCGGAGGGGCTGGGAGCCCCTGCTCCAGGCGACGCTCGCGTGCGGTTTGGACAGCCGGCAGCTGAGCCGAGCCGATTCACCCTCCGTGGCCTCCTGGTCTATCAACGGCTCCAGAATTTGCAGCGGCAGCTCTGGAGGACACAATGGCCACGTTCCACTTTGCTCGCTACACCAAGTTGGAGTTTAATAGGACATTGCATCGGAAAACTGAATCGATGTATTCGCTCGTGTATATTGTTTCGGTTTGTAGAGATCTGCAGGGGATGCCTCCACTATGTTGATGATTGTATATCTATCACGAGTTACAGTTCCGTCTCTCTACCTTAGAGCTACCAATTGTGAAACGACAAAAATCCACATCCTTTCTGCTGCCCAGTGTGAAGTATGGTCAAACACCCGCCAGAGCTGGTGCAGCGTGGGGAGGCACTCAGATGCAAATTATTGTTGCTTCATAAAATGCTGTTGTAATTATTCTTACAACAACGACACGCACCTCTGACGTGCACCGTGGCGGAGGAGCTCGCCGCGCCGGCCTCACAGCTGTACACGCCGCTGTCCTGCGGCCGGGCTGCCCGGACGATGAGTGTCACGAGGTTCCCGTCGCGCCCCGCGGCCACGCGGCCCCCGGCCTCCAGCTCGCGGCCGTCCTTCCTCCACGCGACGTCGGCGGCCTCCTCCGAGAGCTCGCACTCCAGGATCACGGCCTGCTCCTCCTCCACCTCCACGTCCTGCAGCGGCTGCACCACCCGCACCGGCAGCTCTGCGAGGGGGCCACCGCAAACACGCAACGTTGCCATGGAGATTAACTCGTTTCCGGGGGGAGTGGCGATGATCGAATTTAACGAAGCAACTTGGAGTTGGGGTGACACTCACTGAGAAGCGAGGTGCCTACAGGAGGCAACGAAGCAAGGAAGACTCTCCGCGATTACTTCCTAGATAAATAACTGCCCTCAACAGGTAAAATGCCTGTCATACCACACATTGGCATGTGTCACACAGTATTAATAATGGTCCAAATAATTGTGTGCACACAATTTCATGAAGAGTAAGTGTGAGCGGAGTCATCAACTCGTGCAATACTCGAGAAAACGACTCTTACTGTTGACTCTGAGCGTGGCACAGGAGGTGGCGGCCCGGGCCTGGAATCTGACCGCGCCTCCGTCCTGCAGCGTGAGGTTGCGCAGGGTCAGGGTGTGCTCCCTCCCGCTCACGGAGATCTCATTGAGCTCGTTGTTCCGGAGAGGCGACTCGCCGAGCCACCACTCGACGTGCAGCACGTCGGGGTGCGAGATCTCCACAGTGAACGTCGCCGTCTGCGTCTCCTGCACCTCGCAGTCTTCGAGGCCCCTCACGATCGAGATGTCCGGTTCTGCGCGGACAACGAGGAAGCGACACGAAAGTAGATCGACTACCACCACCTCTCCTCCTGTCTTCTGAGGCCAAATATTGGCATTTAATGATAATAGTATCAATGTAACAAATTTTGAAATGTAATAATAATATTTGCGATGCGGTGGTTGGCACAGTGGCTCATGTGGTAAATTCCCGTCCACAGATAATAAATCAGTGGTGAGCAATATCTGAACGGCTCCTGGTTCCTTCACCAACCCACACTCACCACTATGACGAAGAATGCCCAAACAAATCCCACAACTGACATGGTGTGGGAAGGCCTTCATCAAATCGTAGTTTTACGAAGGATTGTCAATTATTATCGACAATAATCTTTTAAACAAAAAGGTTAAGCAAACCAGACTCCTACAAATTACTGCGGTTAAGTGAGAGTATTTTACGCCTCACAGTGGCGTACACACTCACGGATTGTCATGCCAACGGAGGACGCGTCGATTTGTTACCGGTGACGGTGAGCGTGGCGGCGGTGACGTCGTGGCCGGTGCCGCACGAGTAGCGGCCGCTGTCCTGCAGGCTCAGGCCGTGCAGGACGAGCCGGGCCGTGCGTCCCTCCTGGCTCATCTCGTGCCTCCCGTCGGGGCCCAGGGCCCGGCCGTCCTTCAGCCAGCTGACGGGGGCGCCCTCTTTTGACAGCTCACACAGCAGCACGGCATCGCCCCTCTCCTCCACGCTCACGTCCTCCAGACCCTTGGTGAACACCGCGGGCTTCTCTGTGAAGAGTAAAAAGGGGAATTCAACATCAGTGACATTTAATTTACGTGCCCTCAAATAATACCCGTGCTAAATAACCAAACGAAAATAATACCCGTGCTAAATAACCAAACGAAAATAATACAATGAAGAAATACCCTGAAGCCTTCCTACAATTATAACATTTTATTTTTTAAAGAAAGGCATTATAATACAACAAAATGTAATCGTTTATATGATGGACCTAATAAAAGCTTTGGCACATAGTAGTCATTATTAATAGTATTATATAACACAAATTATTTAAGAGCCTAATCTTAAAAGTAACTTTCAAGGTTGTTTCATTTTGTCATCCACATAGCGTTTCAAGCAATTGTTTTAATTCGTAACCTTTTTGGTTTAACTGTTTAACTGTTCTGCAAAGATTGTTGCAGTTGTGTTGGACAGCTCTCCAGTGTTTTATGGTTGCAGCACATATTGTTCAGTACAGCACGTGGTGCAAAACGTCGGGCTTCATGCCGTACACCACGCGGCACAGCTCAAAAACGCACCGGAGAGCTTTTAATCACTTTGCACAATTTGTTGATGTTGAGCTTGAAACCAAGAAAAACTCAGCAATTTTTTTTATTTGACTAGGTGAGGCCCACTGAGCTATATAGTTCTATTTTATAAATGACCTGGCCACCAATGATCGCTCAACGAAGTGGCTTATCACATGGAAATGTATATCAGCCAAATAATCTCAACGCATGTTGATTCTGAAGCGGAGGGAAAACCCGCAGTACCTGGTGAAAAAATCCACACAACCACGGGGAGAGAGAGAGATGCAGACTCCAAAAATACAACAGTCGTCAGGGTCGGCATCAAACCAACGACCTCCTGCACACCAGGCACGGTAGTTAACATCTCCTGGCCACCAATATGGTTCCAGTGAAGGCGAAACAAAGAGCGAGAGAGAGACCGCAGTGGCACAGAGCCTGAGATGGCCAACCTTGCACGGTGAGGATTGCTGTGGTCTGCAGGTCCCCCACGTGGCACACGTACGACCCCGCGTCGTCGAGACGCAGCGCTCTGACGGCGAGCCACACGGAAAGACCCTCAGAGCCCACGTCGTACTTTTCGCCAGGCCGCACGGGCCGCGAGTCCTTCGTCCACGCGACCTCGGTACCCGGTTTGGACAGGGAGCAGCGGAGAGACGCCTCGCCGCCTTCCGTCGCTGTCACGTCACTCAGCGGCTCCAGCACCTGCACCGGCAGATCTGCAGGGGAACGTCGCCATGAGTTCCCCTGAGAACATTCAGATGTTTATCCTTGGACCTCCGCTTTAGCGTTCACTGGTTATATGGAGACATTTTAAACATTTTGGAGTTCGTTTTTCAAAATGGTTACCCTAGAGAGGCAAGAAATAATAGGCCCTGAAGCAACATATTAAAGTTATTTAAATATAGTAATAATATTTTATATATTTTTTATGAAAGGAGACCATTTTGATGATCATAATATGTTATTAATGGGTATAAAAGATATGTATTATTGACTTAAGGCTTTCGTGACTGCAGGAATTCATTTTAAAAAAGGTGGTTACCCTGCGTGAGGAACCAGACAACCTAAGTTTGAGTCCCTGTCTACCATGGTTAACAGCAGTGGTGAGTGAGAAGTTCTGACAAACAACTGCCAGGACTGACACACAGCCTGGGAAGGCCCTTAGACAGCAGTGGATTGACAACGGGCTGCAAATTATAATTACTACATGAAAATTATTCTTATAACTACGACACGCACCTCTGACGTGCACCGTGGCGGAGGAGCTCGCCGCGCCGGCCTCACAGCTGTACACGCCGCTGTCCTGCGGCCGGGCTGCCCGGACGACGAGTGTCACGAGGTTCCCGTCGCGCCCCGCGGCCACGCAGCCCCCGGCCTCCAGCTCGTGGCCGTCCTTCCTCCACGCGACGTCGGCGGCCTCCTCCGAGAGCTCGCACTCCAGGATCACGGCCTGCTCCTCCTCCACCTCCACGTCCTGCAGCGGCCGCACCACCCGCACCGGCAGCTCTGCAGAACGCAACCATATCATCATGATCGTCATCATCATCATCGTCATTATCGTCACAGCCATGATCAATCCACTGCTCGATTAAGACCTCCCCAAGCCATCGTTATCTCTCTTTGATGTAGTCGCCGTACCACACATGAGAAATACCGGGACCGGACCGATTCGAGAAACAAGGAACGATTTTATTAATGACCGTCATCGTCCCTTCTAGCGACGTGCCCTGCCCGAGCCCACTCGTATCTTTCTTAGCGGTTTGATGTTGTTTGTATCTTCTTAAACACACACAAATACAAACGAGGTGTTTTTTTTGCGCCCGTGCGCACGACAGAAAGTGCTCCGTACTCGTCACTGTCAGCGTTGCCGTTGAGATGGCATTTCCAGCCTGGAACCTGATGGTGCCACTATCCTGGAGAGTGAGGTTGTTTAAAATGAGAGTGTGCTCTCTGCCATCGACGAACAGCTCGTTGAGCTCGTTGTTCCGGACAGGCGACTCGCCAAGCCACCACTCGACGCGCAGCACGTCGGGGTGCGAGATCTCCACAGTGAACGTCGCCGTCTGCGTCTCCTGCACCTCGCAGTCCTCGAGACCTCTCACGATCGAGATGTCCGGTTCTGCGCGGATAATGCAGAGGTGGGAAACCAGATTAATTTGCTTGTTAGTCGTGCGATATTCCCTAAGGACACTGTACTCATTCTCTGCTGCTGCTGCTGTGCACACACACCACGCGTCACATGCGTAGAATAGCCAGACAGCTGACTAAATGGGATCATCCGTGGAACAAATCTAAGTGAACTAAATTAATATTCTATGGGTCTTTCGGTAAAGCCACGTAGATAGAAAAATATCACGACGTTTCGATCGCAACACAAGCAATCGTCTTCAGGTGAGAGAGAGGGAAAGCTGCTGAGATCAGGTCTTATATAGGCCTGAGATGCGTGGAGCTAGAGATGGTCCAACCACAGAGGCTGCAGCAGTGGCCTTTGTATTGTGAGAGATTAGCCTGTAGGGCGCCACCAAACGAAATTAAATTAACTTATTCTTGTATTGTACTATTATGCTCACACAATTCATGTATGTTGCAATGGATGTAGCAAACCGTATTAATTGGAGGTGCGGGGGAAGGACTAAACTAAACGCAAAAAGTTTTTCTAAGGAAATTAATTTTCAATCGAGATTTAATCGTTTTCATTCTAGATCCTATATTCGCAGCTGTCGCCAACCTCACTGGCCAGCAAGGTGAAGTATGGTTAAATAGCCCCCACAATGAGCTGTACACAAACACACAGACAATCACCGGTGACGGTGAGCGTGGCGGCGGTGACGTCGTGGCCGGTGCCGCACGAGTAGCGGCCGCTGTCCTGCAGGCTCAGGCCGTGCAGGACGAACCGGGCCGTGCGTCCCTCCTGGCTCATCTCGTGCCTCCCGTCGGGGCCCAGGGCCCGGCCGTCCTTCAGCCAGCTGACGGGGGCGCCCTCTTTGGACAGCTCACACAGCAGCACGGCATCGCCCCTCTCCTCCACGCTCACGTCCTCCAGACCCTTGGTGAACACCGCGGGCTTCTCTGTGGCCAAAGGAGGAAGATGGAGTGGATTGGTCAGGAGGGGTTTTGACGTGAAACTCAACAGGTGATTCTACGACCATATTGAACTGCATTATGCTCTCCCGTATGCAATCACTGATCAAAGTAGCCAGTTATCACCTTGCATGAAATTATTATCCCCTCTCTATACTTTCTATAAATCGTCATGTTCTGGGCCACAATATGAATCAAGTACCCATTCTTATTCTCACATTAAACACTGTAAAGCATATTTACTTTCCACATTACTTTGTCAAGAATTAAATATCTGAAAATGTCCAGGATGTACCAATTCAATAGTCCATGATATAAGCATCTACATATTGAACATACACTATATTCTTCATGTATAACACTGCCAAACCACATTAGGTTTTCTTCGAGCATACTTCTCCACGCTGGTGAATCAGAGCTGGTGAAGGGCGGAACCACGGTCAGATATCACTTTGCTTCTGTTGATAACTCTGCCAGGGAATCCAACTCAAGTCACCGACTTCGCAGCACAGTTAGCTAGCAAATGTTCCACTGCTCTGCCGCCACTGTACTGTTTACACATAAAAAAAAAACAAATACCTTTCACATTCAATGTAGCACTTGCACAGTCATCCCCCGTGTCACATTCATAGTTCCCAGCATCTTCAACTTGCAGGTCGTGAACAATGAGCTTCGCAACAGCCCCCGCGTACTCCATCTCGTACTTCTCTCCGGGCTGCAGCGCCACAGATCCCTTACGCCAGGCGACCTCGCGAGCCGGTTTGGAAAGCCGACAGCTGAGCACAGCGCTGCCAAACTCCTCGGCTTCTTCATCCCTCGGAGGTTCACTGATGAGCACCGGTGCTTCTGTGAAGATTGCAAAGAGAACGCACAATATCTTAACCGATGTTAAATAAATACTACGCAGTCATTTTGTGCATTGGATAAAATGGTTAAGAATCATTTAATTCATTTTACAGATAAGAGATTACAGAAAAGAAGTCTATTTCTACAGGAGTTCTGGAATGAATGTTAAACACACGTTGCCAGGACGAGAAAAGTGCCGAAGTATATTTGGAGCAAAACCGTCAATTTGTGAAAATACAACAAAACTAAAATACCTGATAATGAATTAAAGCTTTCGTGACTGCAGGAATTCATATTCTTTTTTTCTCTCCGCCTGATGAAGACTGCTTGTGTTGCGATCGAAACGTCGTGGGTTTTGTTACATTTTATTTTCTATCTACGTGACTTTACCGAAAGAACCAAGAATATGAATACCTGATAATGATTAAATGTTTCAACATTTACGAAATCTGCATCAATTGAATTCAATGAATCGAGTGGAATGAGTCAAAATCAGACCGCTCGTTACCTTTGACAGTGAGGGACGCGAATGTGTTCTCGTCGCCCGTGTCACACCGGTACTCTCCCGCGTCGTCCATCTGTACGTCGTGGACAATAAGCATTGCCACGTTTCCTTCATGCCCCATCTCATACTTATCGCTGGGTCGCAGGACAGTGCAGTCCTTCTCCCACACTAATTCCTTTGGCGTTTTAGAAAGCTGGCACGTGAGGATGGCGCTCTCACATTCGTTGACCTCCTGGTCCATTAAACCATCGCGAATCAGCACTGGGGCTTCTGCAAACCACAGAGGCCATCTCAAAGTGAATCAATTGCTCGTCATCGTCACAAGCCGCTTTGAATTGATTAGTAAAGCCATGAACATTCAACTTCCTTGAGATGAAAATAAATTAAATGGATAATTCTTGTACCTTTCACGGTAATCGTAGCTATGGTTCTGTCATCCCCAGTGTCGCATTCATAATCGCCCGCGTCGCTCATCTGCAGGTTGTATATTGTGAGCTTGGCAACGTCACCCTCCTGGACCAAACTGTACTTCTCGCCAGACCGCAGGATGCTGGATCCCATTTGCCAAGCCAAGGGAGCATTTGGCTTGGAAAGTCGACAGATGAGAGTGAGGGTCTCGAATTCCAAAGCCTCTTGGTCACGCAGCGCCTCTCGGATCAGAACTGGTGCCTCTGCAGCAAGGATGTCATCAGTGTAAGTCAGGAACCATTTCAAAGTGCCCCCAACACTCAAACCAAGGTTTATGCCACGTTGGAAGTCCTGAGCCAATGTTCTAAATCTCACATTTAGAGTGGGACTCTGCCAACTATGATGCCCACCCAAACAAGTTATTTTTTTATTCAAGGAAATAATATACTGTATTCTGCAGTTAGGTACGCATCATAATTAGGTTTCTGTGTTTAAAGTTTACTGATTAGTGGATGAGGATCTTGCATATGTTGTACGAAAAATATGCAATGGTACATTTTAACGAACACCAACGGCACGTGAACAATCAAAGTGTCTTAAGTCATAAAAAGTGCACGTAAATACTTATAGAGCAATAATAATCTCAAACCACCTCGCATAAAAATGTCATGAATGTAAGCGGACGACGATTTTCGTTCTCTACGAAAATGCATAGCGAGAAAAGCGAATTCGAAGCCGTTTCGGCGACACGGGCGACATGGCAGCCATTGATGTGGATTACATCATCAGTCCGGCTCGACCACCAACGAATCGCCTAGCAAGGGATAATTTGGCGCCAATTTCCGTCGACGTGACTTCTAAACTAAAACTACGTTTTTTATATTACCAGGTAAGGCCCACTGACAATAAAGTTATTTTTCAGAAGTGACCTGGCCAAAAGGGATGGCTTCAATGAAGCGGCATGTCACGTATAAATGTATTACAGCAGCAAACTATAACAAGCCGCTTGTTTCTAAATGAGGAGAAGAACACTGGAAGACGCAGATAAAAATGTACGGGATAACGACGAGGGAGATAGAGACATGCAAACACCAAATACACAGGAGTCAGGGTCAGGATCGAAATCCTGTATAGAAGGCGAGGGAGTTAACATCTCGCCACCGCAGCAGCAGCAGAGGAGTGAACTTCACGTCTGCTGAGGTAGACGCCCTCGTTTAAAACATATTCACTGCTAGGAACTAAATTGTGAAATGAAAAATTGCAAATCAATAATATTTATTTATTATTACCATTGACTTTGAGAATTGCACAAGTGTGGTCATCTCTAGTGTCACAACCATATTTCCCTGCATCTCCAGGTTCCACATCATGAATGATGGGCTTCACTATTTTCCCTTCCTGCTTTATCTCATATGTATCACTGGGATGGATTAAAGTGGAGTCCTTTTTCCAAACGACGTCCACAGCAGGTTTGGAAAGCTGACAAATAAGAGTGGCACTTCCAAACTCATCAGCTTCCTGATCTTCTAGGTGTTCTTTAATAAGTACTGGAGCTTCTGTAGGTCAGATATCACCTCGTAAATATAATTATTACAAATAATAGCTACGAAATGAAAGTCACTGGGAATACCCATGGGGTTCCATTCCAAAAGATGTATATCATTTCGTTGAAATAAACCAAAATAATATCTAGCAACCTACATCATTAGACCTCCTTTGCCAGTAACAAAATGGCATCATCTGGTCGAGAACCAATTGGGTCGAGGCTCAAAAGAAAGCCTTCCCTTGGTGTGGACCAATCAGTTTCAAGGACAATGCATATATTATCATAGTATGTTTTTTGTTTGCATTTTGACTGCAGGTATTGTGGTTAATGCAGACATGAATCCTTGTAAAAAGGTTTCAGTTTTGTTGCCAGAAAAAATGGGAAAAACCCGATTACTACATCTAGCAACCTGTTAGGTTTTCTAAACATTTACAGTGGAATAAAGAGGTAATATAAAGCGTAAAAGTATGAATGGGTATCAATGGATGGATACATTGTTTAAAAACGAATACAATCATATATTAATTATACGCATGGAACGCTGATGCATGAATGTTCAAAAAGGCAATTCATTAAAATAGGTAATTTTATATTTTCAACACCTCCATTCGCTTCACCTTACCTTTGACAATGAGAACTGCAGAGGTGTGGTCATCTCCAGTGTCACAGTCATATTTCCCTGCATCTCCAGGTTCCGTATCATGAATGATGAGTGTCGCTATTTTTCCTTCCTGCTTTATCTCATATTTATCGCTGGGATGGAGTAAAGTGGAGTCCTTTTTCCAAGCGACTTCCACAGCCGGTTTGGAAAGCTGACAAGTAAGAGTGGCACTTCCAAACTCATGAGCTTCCTGATCTTTTAGGTGTTCTTTAATAAGTACTGGAGCTTCTGTAGGTCAGATATCACCTAGTAAATATCCTTATTACAAATAATAGCTACTAAATTAAAGTCAGTGCGAATACCCATGGGGTTCCATTCCGACAGATTTCTATCATTTCGTTGAAGTAAACCAAGATAATATCTAGCAACCTGTTAGCTTTTCTAAACATTTACAGTGGAATAAAAATTAATGTACACCGTAAAAGTATGAATGGGTATTAATGGATGTATACATTGTTTACAAACATATACAATCATATACTAATTATACGCATGGAACGCTGATGCGTGAATGTTTACAAACGACAATTCATTAAAATGGGAAATTTTATATTTTCAACATCTCCATTCGCTTCACCCTACCTTTGACATTGAGAACTGCAGAGGTGTGGTCATCTCCAGTGTCACAGTCATATTTCCCTGCATCTCCAGGTTCCACATCATGAATGATGAGTTTTGCTATTATTCCTTCCTGCTTTATCTGATATTTATCGCTGGGATGGAGTAAAGTGGAGTCCTTTTTCCAAGCGACTTCCACAGCAGGTTTGGAAAGCTGACAAGTAAGAGTGGCACTTCCAAACTCATCGGCTTCCTGGTCCACCAGGCCTTCTGATATTTTAACAGGGGCTTCTGTTGGTTTACATTTGAAAGAGTAAATTGTTTAATTATTTCAAAATGAAACTTCACGTATTTGTGGTTTGTATATGGATGAAAAAATATATCCATGTTTACTTTGACTTTGAGAACTGCACAAGTGTGGTCATCTCTAGTGTCACAACCATATTTCCCTGCATCTCCAGGTTCCACATCATGAATGATGAGCTTCACTATTTTTCCTTCCTGCTTTATCTCATATTTATCGCTGGGATGGAGTAAAGTGGAGTCCTTTTTCCAAACGACTTCCACAGCAGGTTTGGAAAGCTGACAAGTAAGAGTGGCACTTCCAAACTCATTAGCTTCCTGATCTTCTAGGTGTTCTTTAATAAGTACTGGAGCTTCTGTAGGTCAGATATCACCTAGTAAATATCCTTATTACAAATAATAGCTACTAAATGAAAGTCAGTGCGAATACCCATGGGGTTCCATTCCGACAGATTTATATCATTTCGTTAAAGTAAACCAAAATAATATATCTAGCAACCTATAGGAATACGTTTTACCCTTTTAACTGGCACAAAAAACTGACACCTTTATTCAAGGCATTATGTTTGCAATAACCACAACACAAGCAGTCAAAATGCAAACAAAAGAGACAACTCTGATAATATGCACTGTCCTTGAATTTGATTGGTCCACACCCGAGACAGCTTTTCTTAGAGCCAACATCGACCAGGGTTGGAGTAACTTAGGCGATGTACCCATGGGCACCTGTCGACAGTGCAACCAGGCCTTGTCACCAGACGCCTATTCAAACAGAGAAGCACGCACTCCCTTAAGCCGTTCGTTTGCCAATTGTCGCGACTCGGAATTAACCCTGGAAGCTTCCCGTGCCTCGGAAATCTTTTGAACAGTGAAGCGAACGGAGTCCGAAATCCTGGATTTAGACATTTTGGGCGTGGCTTGTAACTGCACATCGATGGGGGGATCGTATTCCCTTCCATATATTAAAAAAAAAACGGTGAGTAGCCGGTGGATGCGTGCGGGGCCATCCTGTAAGCGGTGAGGACCATAGGGATGTGTAAGTCCCAATCGAGTTGTGACGCACTGACCTGGTGGCTTAACATGGAGGTCAGAGTCCTATGTAGCCGTTCGACCATGCCATCCGTCTACGGGTGGTACGGTGACGTGCGCAACTTCTTCATCCCCAACAAATCGCAGACCTCACGCAACATTTAGAAGATAAATTATTGCCCTGATCGATCAAAAGGAGTTCTAGAGCACCCTTGTCGATAACATAGCCATTGACGAATGCCTCAGTAATAGTCACAGCCGATTGATTAGGGAGCGGCCAGGCGACAGGCCATCGTGAAAAATACTCGACCCCCACAAGCCGCGACCTAAGTCAGTCCGTGACTGACTGTATTAGAAGGTGCCAAAAACATTCCGTCCTTCGTAGCCTCCAAGTCGAGCGGCTTCCGCAAGCGGAGGGGAACTAACATCTGCGCGCCGGGAGGAAATTTCACCATCCGGCGCACAAGCGCTTGCACCATAGCATTGGCCGTGCACAACCGGGTGGGGGAAGGTAAAATTGCCATACGACGGCCGGATGGCAAATCCAAGCAGCCACAGTCAATACGGATTTTTAAGGGCATCCTACCCAGGAAATCGGTTCCAAGTAAACATGGAACAGCCAGGGATGTAGAAACAAGAAAATGTCCCGACAATTAACATCACCGATGCGCACCTCGGCCGTTATCCGACCAATAATACCCAAAGAGCTGCCATTAGCGGCGAAACTCGGTGCATCAACGGGGTCGAGTGCCTGATACTTAGGGGGCAAAATATTGTAGATTAATTCCGAGATGATGGTCGCCGACGCACCCGTGTCGACTAGCATCCTTATTTCTACACCCTTGATAAATCCAAGCACGGCAGACGAACCCACGGGCGCTGCCACCACACGATGGACCAGCTCCGACCACTGATCCGGTCGGAGCGGACGAACATCACGATCACTTATAGGACCCCCCCGTACCGATGCACAACAGGGACGCGAGCCGAGCCGCCTAGATGGGTGAGGTCAAGCCAGGGGTCGAGTGTGGAGTGTTTTTCACGATGGCCTGTCGCCTGGCCGCTCCCTAATCAATCGGCTGTGACTATTACTGAGGCATTCGTCAATGGCTATGTTATCGACAAGGGTGCTCTAGAACTCCTTTTGATCGATCAGGGCAATAATTTATCTTCTAAATGTTGCGTGAGGTCTGCGATTTGTTGGGGACGAAGAAGTTGCGCACGTCACCGTACCACCCGTAGACGGATGGCATGGTCGAACGGCTACATAGGACTCTTAAGCCACCAGGTCAGTGCGTCACAACTCGATTGGGACTTACACATCCCTATGGTCCTCACCGCTTACAGGATGGCCCCGCACGCATCCACCGGCTACTCACCGTTTTTTTTTTATATATGGAAGGGAATACGATCCCCCCATCGATGTGCAGTTACAAGCCACGCCCAAAATGTCTAAATCCAGGATTTCGGACTCCGTTCGCTTCACTCTTCAAAAGATTTCCGAGGCACGGGAAGCTTCCAGGGTTAATTCCGAGTCGCGACAATTGGCAAACGAACGGCTTAAGGGAGTGCGTGCTTCTCTGTTTGAATAGGCGTCTGGTGACAAGGCCTGGTTGCACTGTCGACAGGTGCCCATTGGTACATCGCCTAAGTTACTCCAACCCTGGTCGATGTTGGCTCTAAGAAAAGCTGTCTCGGGTGTGGACCAATCAAATTCAAGGACAGTGCATATTATCAGAGTTGTCTCTTTTGTTTGCATTTTGACTGCTTGTGTTGTGGTTATTGCAAACATAATGCCTTGAATAAAGGTGTCAGTTTTCGTGCCAGTTAAAAGGGTAAAACCTATTCCTATATCTTGTTTCTGGCAAAGGAGGTCTCATAATGTAAATATCTAGCAACCTGTTAGGTTTTCTAAACATTTACAGTGGTTTAAAAATTAAGACACAGCGTAAAAGTATGGATGGGTATTAATGGATGGATACATTGTTTACAAACGAATACAATCATATAGTAATTATACGCATGGAACGCTGATGTGTTAATGTTCAAAAAGACAATTCATGAAAATGGGTAATTTTATATTTTCAACATCTCCATATGCTTCACCCTACCTTTGACATTGAGAACTGCAGAGGTGTGGTCATCTCTAGTGTCACAGTCATATTTCCCTGCATCTCCAGGTTCCACATCATGAATGATGAGCTTCGCTATTTTTCCTTCCTGCTTGATCTCATATTTATCGCTGGGCTGGAGTAAAGTGGAGTCCTTTTTCCAAGCGACTTCCACAGCAGGTTTGGAAAGCTGACAAGTAAGAGTGGCACTTCCAAACTCATCGGCTTCCTGGTCCACCAGGCCTTCTGATATTTTAACAGGGGCTTCTGTTGGAATACATTTGAAAAGTAAATTGTTTAATTATTTCAAAATGAAACTTCACGTATTTGTGGTTTGTATATGGATGAAAAAATATATCCATGTTTACCTTTGACTTTGAGAACTGCACAAGTGTGGTCATCTCCAGTGTCACAACCATATTCCCCTGCATCTCCAGGTTCCACATCATGAATGATGAGCGTCGCTATTTTTCCTTCCTGCTTTATCTCATATTTATCGCTGGGATGGAGTAAAGTGGAGTCCTTTTTCCAAACGACTTCCACAGCCGGTTTGGAAAGCTGACAAGTAAGAGCGGCACTTTCAAACTCATTAGCTTCCTGATCTTCTAGGTGTTCTTTAATAAATACTGGAGCTTCTGTAGGTCAGATATCACCTCGTAAATATCCTCATTCCAAATAATAGCTACCAAATCAAAGTCACTTGGGAATTCCCAAGGGGATCCATTCCGAAATATTTATATCATTTCGTTGAAGTAAACCAAAATAATATCGAGTACCCTGTTAGGTTTTCTAATCATTTACAGTGGAATAAAAATGTATATACAGCATAAAAGTATGATTGGGTATTAATGGATGTATACATTGCTTACAAGCGAATACAATCATATAGTAATTATACGCATGGAACGCTGATGTGTTAATGTTCAAAAAGACAATTCATGAAAATGGGTAATTTCATATTTTCAACATCTCCATACGCTTCACCCTACCTTTGACATTGAGAACTGCAGAGGTGTGGTCATCTCTAGTGTCACAGTCATATTTCCCTGCATCTCCAGGTTCCACATCATGAATGATGAGCTTCGCTATTTTTCCTTCCTGCAATATCTCATATTTATCGCTGGGCTGGAGTAAAGTGGAGTCCTTTTTCCAAGCGACTTCCACAGCAGGTTTGGAAAGCTGACAAGTAAGAGTGGCACTTCCAAACTCATCGGCTTCCTGGTCCACCAGGCCTTCTATTTTAACAGGGGCTTCTGTTGGTTGGTATACATTTGAAAAGTAAAATTTTTAATTATTTCTAAATGAAACTTCACGAATTTGTGGTTTGTATAAGGATGAAAAAATATATCCATGTTTACCTTTGACTTTGAGAACTGCACAAGTGTGGTCATCTCTCGTGTCACAACCATATCCCCCGGAATCTCCAGGGTGAACATCATGAATGATGAGCGTCGCTATTTTTCCTTCCTGCTTTATCTCATATTTATCGCTGGGATGGAGTAAAGTGGAGTCCTTTTTCCAAACGACTTCCACAGCCGGTTTGGAAAGCTGACAGGTAAGAGTGGCACTTCCAAACTCATCGGCTTCATGATCTTCTAGGTGTTCTTTAATAAGTACTGGAGCCTCTGTAGGTCAGATATCACCTTGTAAATATCCTCATTCCAAATAATAGCTACCAATTCAAAGTCACTTGGGAATTCCCAAGGGGTTCAATTCCGAAATATTTCTATCATTTCGTTGAAGTAAACCAATATAATATCGAGTACCCTGTCAGGTCTTCTAAACATTTACAATGGAATAAAAATGTATATACAGCGTAAAAGAATGAATGGGTATTAATGGATGTATACATTGCTTACAAAAGAATGCAATCATATAGTAATTATACGCATGAAACGCTGATGCGTTAATGTTCAAAAAGACAATTCATGAAAATGGGTAATTTTATATTTTCAACATCTCCATTCGCTTCACCCTACCTTTGACATTGAGAACTGCAGAGGTGTGGTCATCTCCAGTGTCACAGTCATATTTTCCTGCATCTCCAGGTTCCACATCATGAATGATGAGCTTCGCTATTTTTCCTTCCTGCTTTATCTCATATTTATCGCTGGGATGGAGTAGATTCGAGTCCTTTTTCCACACGACTTCCACAGCAGGTTTGGAAAGCTGACAAGTAAGAGTGGCACTTCCAAACTCATCGGCTTCCTGGTCCACCAGGCCTTCTGATATTTTAACAGGGGCTTCTGTTGGTATACATTTGAAAAGTAAAGTGTTTCATTATTTCAAAATGAAACTTCACATATTTGTGGTTTGTACATGGATGAAAAAATATATCCATGTTGTTTACCTTTGACTTTGAGAACTGCACAAGTGTGGTCATCTCCAGTGTCACAAACATATCCCCCTGCATCTCCAGGTTCCACATCATGAATGATGAGCTTCGCTATTTTTCCTTCCTGCTTTATCTCATATTTATCGCTGGGATGGAGTAAAGTGGAGTCCTTTTTCCAAGCGACTTCCACAGCCGATTTGGAAAGCTGACAAGTAAGAGTGGCACTTTCAAACTCATGAGCTTCCTGATCTTCTAGGTCAGTGGTTCTTAACCTGGGTTCGATCGAACCCCAGGGGTTCGGTGAGTCGATCTCAGGGGTTCGGCAGAGCCCCCGCCACGGAGGTCCGGACACACTTGAATTATTGTGTAAATTTGTGATGACACACACGGCCCGCTTGGCCATCACTGGCTGCAGATGATCATGCTACACTGCTTGGCCAATCAGCGCTGCGGGGAATTTAGTGCGTACTCAGTAGTCAACGTGTGACTGTTGTTGTCGTACGTCGTGTGATTTCTTTAATATTTTATCCATACTAACTATGTCGGGAAAAAGAAGAAAGTGGTCGGACGAATATGTACAACATGGATTCTCATGTATCACGGAACGTGATGGGAGTGAGCGTCCTATCTGCATGATTTGCAACGCCAAGTTGAGCAACTCTAGTCTTGCACCGGCAAAACTAAAGGAACACTTCTTGAAGCTGCATGGAGACGGGGAATACAAGAACACAACACTTGCTGAATTCAGGGTGAAGAGAGCCAGATTCGATGAAAGGGCCACTCTGCCTGCTCTTGGATTTGTACCTGTTAACAAACCGATCCTGACAGCATCGTACGAAGTTGCTTACCTGATCGCAAAGCAGGGCAAGCCACACACCATTGGTGAAACACTTGTGAAACCAGCTGCATTAAAGATGGCGAATCTGATACTCGGAACAGCGGCCGAAGGTAAATTATCCCAAATTCCCCTTTCAAATGACACCGTCAGTGACAGAATAGAAGACATGAGTAAAGACATCTTGGCTCAAGTAGTCGCGGATCTGATTTTAAGCCCGGCAAAATTCAGCCTTCAACTCGACAAAACCACAGACGTTTCTGATCTAAGCCAGCTTGCTGTTTTTGTACGCTATGTGAAAGACGACATGATAAAAGAAGAGTTTTTATTTTGTAAGCCTCTTACAACAACGAAGGCAGCCGATGTGAAGAAGCTTGTGGATGACTTCTTCAGAGACAACAATCTTTCATGGGATATGGTTTCTGCCATTTGTACGGACGGAGCTCCAGTCATGCTGGGAAGAAAGTCTGGTTTTGGTGCGCTAGTAAAGGCCGATGCACCACACATCATTGTGACGCATTGTATTCTGCACAGGCATGCGTTGGCAACAAAAACCTTACCTCCAAAAATGGCAGAAGTATTAAAAACTGTGGTGGAATGTGTGAACTATGTGCGAAAAAGTGCTCTGAGGCACCGCATCTTCAGTGAGCTGTGTAAAGAAATGGGCTCTGAATTTGAGGTACTTCTGCTCCATTCTAATATTCGGTGGTTATCCCGGGGACAGGTGCTGAATCGTGTTTTTGCCATGCGTGTGGAATTAGCCCTGTTTTTGCAAGAGCACCAACACTGCCATGCAGATTGCTTCAAAAATCTGAGTTCATTCTCATTTTAGCGTACATGGCTGATATATTCGCAGCTCTCAATCATCTCAATCAGCAGATGCAGGGTGGTGGAGTCAATATCATGGAAGCGGAAGAACACCTGAAGGCTTTTCAAAAAAAGCTACCGTTATGGAAACGACGAACAGAGAACAATAACTTCGCAAACTTCCCGCTTCTAGACGACTGTGCAAGTAAGATCGAAGATGTGTCTGGAATCGGAGATATTTCTGTATCCACGGAACTGAAGCAAACAATTGCCACGCATATTCTTAGTTTTTTCGGTAAAGTCACGTTGAAGAGAAACAACAAAATAACAAAATATATATAAAACAATAAAAAATTCTCACGACGTTTCGACCATAACTCAAACGGTCATCATCAGGTGTGTCGGTTTGCATAAATTTATTTTGAAAACGGCATATTTATTTATATATATATAAATAACGTTTGCGGCACGCGCAACGATTGGCTGTTTGCCAGAACTAGTCCATCTATTTTTTGAAAAGAGGAGGGGGGAGACGAAATTTGTTTTTATGTATGCTGTCTGAAAGGCACTGTAAGCGTGAACAATCAATCAAGAACTGAAATGATTTATCAAATCTTTCCAATGATTGCTAAGATAGAATCCATCTATCTTAGCAATTTACCATGGAAGTCGAAATAGATGGCAAGATACCTTTTTTGGATGTCCTAATTAAAAAGAGACCTGATGGTTCAATGAGCCACTCTGTCTACAGGAAAGCTACCCATACGGATGCTTATCTGAAACCGGATTCCCACCACCATCCATCACAGAAGAATTCTCTCATCAAGACTCTGTATCATAGAGCCCAATGCATATCCGACCAGGAACACATAAGCAGTGAACTCAAGCACGTACACCAGGCTCTTAGGGCTAATGGTTACTCCGACTATACAATCCGCAAAGCTATCACTCAAACCATGAAGAAGAACCCTCTTGAGGAGCCTTTCAAAACCATCACTTTACCCTACATTGCTGGGATCACAAAAAAGATCTCCAAAATCTTGAATAAACACAAGATCCAGGTCCGTTTCAACACATTACATAAAATCCGTGATCTGGTTCCGTCTGTAAAAGATGTGATTCCGGACATACAATACCCTGGTGTCTACAAACTAAGTTGCCTCTGTGGTAGTAGTTACATTGGAGAAACCAAACGCCATATCTCGGACCGCATTCGTGAACATAAAGCAGACCTTAAACATGGTAGGACCAACACCTCGGCCGTAGCAGATCATTGTTCTAATTCAGTAGGCTCACATGCCATTGACTTTTCCAAGACGGAGGTTCTTTGTAAGCCATCTGGCTTCCATGAGAGATTCGTTCATGAGGCTATCCACATATACAAACACAGAGACAATTTCAACCGAGAAGATGGATTCTATCTTAGCAATCATTGGAAAGATTTGATAAATCATTTCAGTTCTTGATTGATTGTTCACGCTTACAGTGCCTTTCAGACAGCATACATAAAAACAAATTTCGTCTCCCCCCTCCTCTTTTCAAAAAATAGATGGACTAGTCCTGGCAAACAGCCAATCGTTGCGCGTGCCGCAAACGTTATTTATATATATAAATAAATATGCCGTTTTCGAAATAAATTTATGCAAACCGACACACCTGATGATGACCGTTTGAGTTATGGTCGAAACGTCGTGAGAATTTTTTATTGTTTTATATATATTTTGTTATTTTGTTGTTTCTCTTCAACGTGACTTTACCGAAAAAAACTAAGAATATGAATTACTGCAGTCACGAAAGCTTTAAATCAAAATTTAATTGCCACGCACTTAGATGAGCTTGCAAAGTCTCTCGACGGATATTTCCCTACAAGAGAGTCATATCCAGCATGGGTGAGACAGCCGTTCACGTTTGCTGTTGAAACAGCAGATGTCAATGATGAATTCCTCGACGAAATAATTGAAATTCAGCAGAGCCAGGTTCAACAGCAACTCTTCAGAACAACAACGCTCTCAACGTGTTGGTGTCGACAAATGAACAAGTATCCAGTTATTGCTAAGAAAGCCCTGGATTTTTTTATGCCATTTGTTACAACATATCTTTGTGAGCAATCCTTTTCGAGGATGCTGGACATAAAAACGAAGAAAAGGAACAGACTTTGCTGTGAAAATGACATGAGAGTGGCACTTACCAAGGTGAAGCCACGCATATCTGAACTGATCTCTCAAAGGCAACAGCAGAAGTCACATTGATTTCCAGGTATGTAATTTGTTGTGAGTTTATGCATTGTGTTGGTTTTATTCTTTGAACAAGGTAATGTTCATGCACGGCTCATTTTGTGTACCAGTAAAAAACATATCTATGTCTTGAATTTGAAAAAAATCACATTTTATTTTTCACTAAAGAGGGGTTCGGTGAATGCGCATATGAAACTGGTGGGGTTCGGTACCTCCAACAAGGTTAAGAACCACTGTTCTAGGTGTTCTTTAATAAGTACTGGAGCTTCTGTAGGTCAGATATCACCTCGTTAATATCCTCATTCCAAATAATAGCTACCAAATCAAAGTCACTTGGGAATTCCCATGGGGTTACATTCCGAAATATTTCTATCATTTCGTTGAAGTAAACCAAAATAATATCGAGTAACCTTATACTGCAGTCACGAAAGCTTTAAATCAAAATTTAAAATCGAGTAACCTGTTAGGTTTTCTACATACTTACAGTGGAATAAAAATGTACATACAGCGTGAAAGTATGAATGGGTATTAATGGATGTATACATTGCTTACAAAAGAATAAATCATATAGTAATTATACGCATGGAACGTTGATGCGTTAATGTTCAAAAAGACAATTCATGAAAATGGGTAATTTTATATTTTCAACATCTCCATTCGCTTCACCCTACCTTTGACATTGAGAACTGCAGAGGTGTGGTCATCTCCAGTGTCACAGTCATATTTCCCTGCATCTCCAGGTTCCACATCATGAATGATGAGCTTCGCTATTTTTCCTTCCTGCTTTATCTCATATTTATCGCTGGGATGGAGTAGATTCGGGTCCTTTTTCCACACGACTTCCACAGCAGGTTTGGAAAGCTGACAAGTAAGAGTGGCACTTCCAAACTCATCGGCTTCCTGGTCCACCAGGCCTTCTGATATTTTAACAGGGGCTTCTGTTGGTATACATTTGAAAAGTAAAGTGTTTAATTATTTCAAAATGAAACTTCACACATTTGTGGTTTGTACATGGATGAAAAAATATATCCATGTTTACCTTTGACTTTGAGAACTGCACAAGTGTGGTCATCTCCAGTGTCACAAACATATCCCGCTGCATCTCCAGGTTCCACATCATGAATGATGAGCTTCGCTATTTTTCCTTCCTGCTTTATCTCATATTTATCGCTGGGATGGAGTAAAGTGGAGTCCTTTTTCCAAGCGACTTCCACAGCCGGTTTGGAAAGCTGACAAGTAAGAGTGGCACTTTCAAACTCATTAGCTTCCTGATCTTCTAGGTGTTCTTTAATAAGTACTGGAGCTTCTGTAGGTCAGATATCACCTCGTTAATATCCTCATCCCAAATAATAGCTACCAAATCAAAGTCACTTGGGAATTCCCATGGGGTTACATTCCGAAATATTTCTATCATTTCGTTGAAGTAAACCAAAATAATATCGAGTAACCTGTTAGGTTTTCTAAACATTTACAGTGGAATAAAAATGTATATACAGCGTGAAAGTATGAATGGGTATTAATGGATGTATACATTGCTTACAACGAATACAATCATATAGTAATTATACGCATGGAACGCTGATGCGTGAATGTTCAAAAATGCAATTCATGAAAATGGGTAATTTTATATTTTCAACATCTCCATTCGCTTCACATTACCTTTGACATTGAGAACTGCACTGGTGTGGTCATCTCCAGTGTCACAGTCATATTTCCCTGCATCTCCAGGTTCCACATCATGAATGATGAGCTTCGCTATTTTTCCTTCCTGCTTTATCTCATATTTATCGCTGGGCTGGAGTAAAGTGGAGTCCTTTTTCCAAGCGACTTCCACAGCAGGTTTGGAAAGCTGACAAGTAAGAGTGGCACTTCCAAACTCATCGGCTTCCTGGTCCACCAGGCCTTCTGATATTTTAACAGGGGCTTCTGTTGGAATACATTTGAAAAGTAAATTGTTTAATTATTTCAAAAAAAAAACTTCACGTATTTATGGTTTGTATATGGATGAAAAATATATCCATGTTTACCTTTGACTTTGAGAACTGCACAAGTGTGGTCATCTCTAGTTTCACACCCATATTCCCCTGCATCTCCAGGTTCCACATCATGAATGATGAGCTTCGCTATTTTTCCTTCCTGCTTTATTTCATATTTATCGCTGGGATGGAGTAAAGTGGAGTCCTTTTTCCAAGCGACTTCCACAGCAGGTTTGGAAAGCTGACAAGTAAGAGTGGCACTTCCAAACTCATCGGCTTCCTGGTCCACCAGGCCTTCTGATATTTTAACAGGGGCTTCTGTTGGAATACATTTGAAAAGTAACTTGTTTAATTATTTCAAAATGAAACTTCACGTATTTGTGGTTTGTATATGGATGAAAATATATATCCATGTTTACCTTTGACTTTGAGAACTGCACAAGTGTGGTCATCTCCAGTGTCACAACCATATCCCCCTGCATCTCCAGGTTCCACATCATGAATGGTGAGTGTCGCTATTTTTCCTTCCTGCTTTATCTCATATTTATCGCTAGGATGGAGGAAAGTGGAGTCCTTTTTCCAAAGGACTTCCACAGCCGGTTTGGAAAGCTGACAAGTAAGAGTGGCACTTCCAAACTCATGAGCTTCCTGATCTTCTAGGTGTTCTTTAATAAGTACTGGAGCTTCTGTAGGTCAGATATCACCTCGTAAATATCCTCATTCCAAATAATAGCTACCAAATCAAAGTCACTTAGGAATTCCCAAGGGGTTCCATTCTAAAATATTTCTATCATTTCGTTAAAGTAAACCAAAATAATATATCTAGCAACCTGTTAGGTTTTCTAAACATTTACAGTGGTTTAAAAAGTTAATATACAGCGTAAAAGTATGAATGGGTATTAATGGATGTATACATTGCTTACAAACGAATACAATCATATAGTAATTATACGCATGGAACGCTGATGCGTTAATGTTCAAAAAGACAATTCATGAAAATGGGTAATTTTATATTTTCAACATCTCCATTCGCTTCACCTTACCTTTGACATTGAGAACTGCAGAGGTGTGGTCATCTCCAGTGTCACAGTCATATTTCCCTGCATCTCCAGGTTCCACATCATGAATGATGAGCTTCGCTATTTTTCCTTCCTGCTTTATCTCATATTTATCGCTGGGATGGATTAGATTCGAGTCCTTTTTCCAAGCGACTTCCACAGCAGGTTTGGAAAGCTGACAAGTAAGAGTGGCACTTCCAAACTCATCGGCTTCCTGGTCCACCAGGCCTTCTGATATTTTAACAGGGGCTTCTGTTGGAATACATTTGAAAAGGAAATTGTTTAATTATTTCAAAATGAAACTTCACGAATTTATGGTTTGTATATGGATGAAAAAATATATCCATGTTTACCTTTGATTTTGAGAACTGCAAAAGTGTGGTCATCTCCAGTGTCACAACCATATTCCCCTGCATCTCCAGGTTCCACATCATGAATGATGAGTGTCGCTATTTTTCCTTCCTGCTTTATCTCATGTTTATCGCTGGGATGGAGTAAAGTGGAGTCCTTTTTCCACACGACTTCCACAGCAGGTTTGCAAAGCTGACAAGTAAGAGTGGCACTTCCAAACTCATCGGCTTCCTGATCTTCTAGGTGTTCTTTAATAAGTACTGGAGCTTCTGTAGGTCAGATATCACCTCGTAAATATCCTCATTCCAAATAATAGCTACCAAATCAAAGTCACTTGGGAATTCCCAAGGGGTTCCATTCTGAAATATTTCTATCATTTCGTTAAAGTAAACCAAAATAATATATCTAGCAACCTGTTAGGTTTTCTAAACATTTACAGTGGTTTAAAAATTAATATACAGCGTAAAAGTGTGAATGGGTATTAATGGATGTATACATTGCTTACAAACGAATACAATCATATAGTAATTATACGCATGGAACGCTGATGTGTTAATGTTCAAAAAGACAATTCATGAAAATGGGTAATTTTATATTTTCAACATCTCCATTCGCTTCACCTTACCTTTGACATTGAGAACTGCAGAGGTGTAGTCATCTCTAGTGTCACAGTCATATTTCCCTGCATCTCCAGGTTCCACATCATGAATGATGAGCTTCGCTATTTTTCCTTCCTGCTTTATCTCATATTTATCGCTGGGCTGGAGTAAAGTGGAGTCCTTTTTCCAAGCGACTTCCACAGCAGGTTTGGAAAGCTGACAAGTAAGAGTGGCACTTCCAAACTCATCGGCTTCCTGGTCCACCAGGCCTTCTGATATTTTAATAGGGGCTTCTGTTGGAATACATTTGAAAAGTAAATTGTTTAATTATTTTAAAAAAACTTCACGTATTTATGGTTTGTATATGGATGAAAAAATATATCCATGATTACCTTTGACTTTGAGAACTGCACAAGTGTGGTCATCTCTAGTTTCACAACCATATTCCCCTGCATCTCCAAGTTCCACATCATGAATGACGAGCTTCGCTATTTTTCCTTCCTGCTTTATTTCATATTTATTGCTGGGATGGAGTAAAGTGGAGTCCTTTTTCCAAGCGACTTCCACAGCAGGTTTGGAAAGCTGACAAGTAAGAGTGGCACTTCCAAACTCATGAGCTTCCTGATCTTCTAGGTGTTCTTTAATAAGTACTGGAGCTTCTGTAGGTCAGATATCACCTCGTAAATATCCTCATTCCAAATAATAGCTACCAAATCAAAGTCATTTGGGAATTCCCAAGGGGTTCCATTCTGAAATATTTCTATCATTTCGTTAAAGTAAACCAAAATAATATATCTAGCAACCTGTTAGGTTTTCTAAACATTTACAGTGGTTTAAAAATTAATATACAGCGTAAAAGTATGAATGGGTATTAATGGATGTATACATTGCTTACAAACGAATACAATCATATAGTAATAATACGCATGGAACGCTGATGCGTTAATGTTCAAAAAGACAATTCATGAAAATGGGTAATTTTATATTTTCAACATCTCTATTCGCTTCACCTTACCTTTGACATTGAGAACTGCAGAGGTGTGGTCATCTCTAGTGTCACAGTCATATTTCCCTGCATCTCCAGGTTCCACATCATGAATGATGAGCTTCGCTATTTTTCCTTCCTGCTTTATCTCATATTTATCGCTGGGATGGAGTAGATTCGAGTCCTTTTTCCAAGCGACTTCCACAGCAGGTTTGGAAAGCTGACAAGTAAGAGTGGCACTTCCAAACTCATCGGCTTCCTGGTCCACCAGGCCTTCTGATATTTTAACAGGGGCTTCTGTTGGAATACATTTGAAAAGGAAATTGTTTAATTATTAAAAAAAAAACTTCACGCATTCATGGTTTGTATATGGATGAAAAAATATATCCATGATTACCTTTGACTTTGAGAACTGCACAAGTGTGGTCATCTCCAGTGTCACAACCATATTCCCCTGCATCTCCAGGTTCCACATCCTGAATGATGAGTGTCGCTATTTTTCCTTCCTGCTTTATCTCATATTTATCGCTGGGATGGAGTAAAGTGGATTCCTTTTTCCAAAGGACTTCCACAGCCGGTTTGGAAAGCTGACAAGTAAGAGTGGCACTTCCAAACTCATGAGCTTCCTGATCTTCTAGGTGTTCTTTAATAAGTACTGGAGCTTCTGTAGGTCAGATATCACCTCGTAAATATCCTCATTCCAAATAATAGCTACCAAATCAAAGTCACTTGGGAATTCCCAAGGGTTTCCATTCTGAAATATTTCTATCATTTCGTTAAAGTAAACCAAAATAATATATCTAGCAACCTGTTATGTTTTCTAAACATTTACAGTGGTTTAAAAATTAATATACAGCGTAAAAGTATGAATGGGTATTAATGGATGTATACATTGCTTACAAACGAATACAATCATATAGTAATTATACGCATGGAACGCTGATGTGTAAATGTTCAAAAAGACAATTCATGAAAATGGGTAATTTTATATTTTCAACATCTCCATACGCTTCACATTACCTTTGACATTGAGAACTGCAGAGGTGTGGTCATCTCTAGTGTCACAGTCATATTTCCCTGCATCTCCAGGTTCCACATCATGAATGATGAGCTTCGCTATTTTTCCTTCCTGCTTTATCTCATGTTTATCGCTGGGCTGGAGTAAAGTGGAGTCCTTTTTCCAAGCGACTTCCACAGCAGGTTTGGAAAGCTGACAAGTAAGAGTGGCACTTCCAAACTCATCGGCTTCCTGGTCCACCAGGCCTTCTGATATTTTAACAGGGGCTTCTGTTGGTATACATTTGAAAAGTAAAGAGTTTAATTATTTCAAAATGAAACTTCACGTATTTGTGGTTTGTATATGGATTAAAAAATATATCCATGTTTACCTTTGACTTTGAGAACTGCACAAGTGTGGTCATCTCTAGTTTCACAACCATATTCCCCTGCATCTCCAGGTTCCACATCATGAATGATGAGCTTCGCTATTTTTCCTTCCTGCTTTATCTCATATTTATCGCTGGGATGGAGTAAAGTGGAGTCCTTTTTCCACACGACTTCCACAGCAGGTTTGGAAAGCTGACAAGTAAGAGTGGCACTTCCAAACTCATCGGCTTCCTGATCTTCTAGGTGTTCTTTAATAAGTACTGGAGCTTCTGTAGGTCAGATATCACCTCGTAAATATCCTCATTCCAAATAATAGCTACCAAATCAAAGTCACTTGGGAATTCCCAAGGGGTTCCATTCCGAAAAATTTATATCATTTCGTTGAAGTAAACCAAAATAATATCGAGTACCCTGTTAGGTTTTCTAATCATTTACAGTGGAATAAAAATGTATATACAGCATAAAAGTATGATTGGGTATTAATGGATGTATACATTGCTTACAAACGAATACAATCAAATAGTAATTATACGCATGGAACGCTGATGTGTTAATGTTCAAAAAGACAATTCATGAAAATGGGTAATTTTATATTTTCAAAATCTCCATACGCTTCACCCTACCTTTGACATTGAGAACTGCAGAGGTGTGGTCATCTCTAGTGTCACAGTCATATTTCCCTGCATCTCCAGGTTCCACATCATGAATGATGAGCTTCGCTATTTTTCCTTCCTGCTTTATCTCATATTTATCGCTGGGCTGGAGTAAAGTGGAGTCCTTTTTCCAAGCGACTTCCACAGCAGGTTTGGAAAGCTGACAAGTAAGAGTGGCACTTCCAAACTCATCGGCTTCCTGGTCCACCAGGCCTTCTGATATTTTAACAGGGGCTTCTGTTGGAATACATTTGAAAAGTAAATTGTTTAATTATTTTAAAAAAACTTCACGTATTTATGGTTTGTATATGGATGAAAAAATATATCCATGATTACCTTTGACTTTGAGAACTGCACAAGTGTGGTCATCTCTAGTTTCACAACCATATTCCCCTGCATCTCCAAGTTCCACATCATGAATGACGAGCTTCGCTATTTTTCCTTCCTGCTTTATTTCATATTTATTGCTGGGATGGAGTAAAGTGGAGTCCTTTTTCCAAGCGACTTCCACAGCAGGTTTGGAAAGCTGACAAGTAAGAGTGGCACTTCCAAACTCATGAGCTTCCTGATCTTCTAGGTGTTCTTTAATAAGTACTGGAGCTTCTGTAGGTCAGATATCACCTCGTAAATATCCTCATTCCAAATAATAGCTACCAAATCAAAGTCACTTGGGAATTCCCAAGGGGTTCCATTCTGAAATATTTCTATCATTTCGTTAAAGTAAACCAAAATAATATATCTAGCAACCTGTTAGGTTTTCTAAACATTTACAGTGGTTTAAAAATTAATATACAGCGTAAAAGTATGAATGGGTATTAATGGATGTATACATTGCTTACAAACGAATACAATCATATAGTAATAATACGCATGGAACGCTGATGCGTTAATGTTCAAAAAGACAATTCATGAAAATGGGTAATTTTATATTTTCAACATCTCTATTCGCTTCACCTTACCTTTGACATTGAGAACTGCAGAGGTGTGGTCATCTCTAGTGTCACAGTCATATTTCCCTGCATCTCCAGGTTCCACATCATGAATGATGAGCTTCGCTATTTTTCCTTCCTGCTTTATCTCATATTTATCGCTGGGATGGAGTAGATTCGAGTCCTTTTTCCAAGCGACTTCCACAGCAGGTTTGGAAAGCTGACAAGTAAGAGTGGCACTTCCAAACTCATCGGCTTCCTGGTCCACCAGGCCTTCTGATATTTTAACAGGGGCTTCTGTTGGAATACATTTGAAAAGGAAATTGTTTAATTATTTAAAAAAAAAACTTCACGCATTCATGGTTTGTATATGGATGAAAAAATATATCCATGATTACCTTTGACTTTGAGAACTGCACAAGTGTGGTCATCTCCAGTGTCACAACCATATTCCCCTGCATCTCCAGGTTCCACATCATGAATGATGAGTGTCGCTATTTTTCCTTCCTGCTTTATCTCATATTTATCGCTGGGATGGAGTAAAGTGGATTCCTTTTTCCAAAGGACTTCCACAGCCGGTTTGGAAAGCTGACAAGTAAGAGTGGCACTTCCAAACTCATGAGCTTCCTGATCTTCTAGGTGTTCTTTAATAAGTACTGGAGCTTCTGTAGGTCAGATATCACCTCGTAAATATCCTCATTCCAAATAATAGCTACCAAATCAAAGTCACTTGGGAATTCCCAAGGGGTTCCATTCTGAAATATTTCTATCATTTCGTTAAAGTAAACCAAAATAATATATCTAGCAACCTGTTATGTTTTCTAAACATTTACAGTGGTTTAAAAATTAATATACAGCGTAAAAGTATGAATGGGTATTAATGGATGTATACATTGCTTACAAACGAATACAATCATATAGTAATTATACGCATGGAACGCTGATGTGTTAATGTTCAAAAAGACAATTCATGAAAATGGGTAATTTTATATTTTCAACATCTCCATACGCTTCACATTACCTTTGACATTGAGAACTGCAGAGGTGTGGTCATCTCTAGTGTCACAGTCATATTTCCCTGCATCTCCAGGTTCCACATCATGAATGATGAGCTTCGCTATTTTTCCTTCCTGCTTTATCTCATGTTTATCGCTGGGCTGGAGTAAAGTGGAGTCCTTTTTCCAAGCGACTTCCACAGCAGGTTTGGAAAGCTGACAAGTAAGAGTGGCACTTCCAAACTCATCGGCTTCCTGGTCCACCAGGCCTTCTGATATTTTAACAGGGGCTTCTGTTGGTATACATTTGAAAAGTAAAGAGTTTAATTATTTCAAAATGAAACTTCACGTATTTGTGGTTTGTATATGGATTAAAAAATATATCCATGTTTACCTTTGACTTTGAGAACTGCACAAGTGTGGTCATCTCTAGTTTCACAACCATATTCCCCTGCATCTCCAGGTTGCACATCATGAATGATGAGCTTCGCTATTTTTCCTTCCTGCTTTATCTCATATTTATCGCTGGGATGGAGTAAAGTGGAGTCCTTTTTCCACACGACTTCCACAGCAGGTTTGGAAAGCTGACAAGTAAGAGTGGCACTTCCAAACTCATCGGCTTCCTGATCTTCTAGGTGTTCTTTAATAAGTACTGGAGCTTCTGTAGGTCAGATATCACCTCGTAAATATCCTTATTCCAAATAATAGCTACCAAATCAAAGTCACTTGGGAATTCCCAAGGGGTTCCATTCTGAAATATTTCTATCATTTCGTTAAAGTAAACCAAAATAATATATCTAGCAACCTGTTAGGTTTTCTAATCATTTACAGTGGAATAAAAATGTATATACAGCATAAAAGTATGAATGGGTATTAATGGATTTATACATTGCTTACAAACGAATACAATCAAATAGTAATTATACGCATGGAACGCTGATGTGTTAATGTTCAAAAAGACAATTCATGAAAATGGGTAATTTTATATTTTCAACATCTCCATACGCTTCACCCTACCTTTGACATTGAGAACTGCAGAGGTGTGGTCATCTCTAGTGTCACAGTCATATTTCCCTGCATCTCCAGGTTCCACATCATGAATGATGAGCTTCGCTATTTTTCCTTCCTGCTTTATCTCATATTTATCGCTGGGCTGGAGTAAAGTGGAGTCCTTTTTCCAAGCGACTTCCACAGCAGGTTTGGAAAGCTGACAAGTAAGAGTGGCACTTCCAAACTCATCGGCTTCCTGGTCCACCAGGCCTTCTGATATTTTAACAGGGGCTTCTGTTGGAATACATTTGAAAAGTAAATTGTTTAATTATTTTAAAAAAAACTTCACGTATTTATGGTTTGTATATGGATGAAAAAATATATCCATGATTACCTTTGACTTTGAGAACTGCACAAGTGTGGTCATCTCTAGTTTCACAACCATATTCCCCTGCATCTCCAAGTTCCACATCATGAATGACGAGCTTCGCTATTTTTCCTTCCTGCTTTATTTCATATTTATTGCTGGGATGGAGTAAAGTGGAGTCCTTTTTCCAAGCGACTTCCACAGCAGGTTTGGAAAGCTGACAAGTAAGAGTGGCACTTCCAAACTCATGAGCTTCCTGATCTTCTAGGTGTTCTTTAATAAGTACTGGAGCTTCTGTAGGTCAGATATCACCTCGTAAATATCCTCATTCCAAATAATAGCTACCAAATCAAAGTCACTTGGGAATTCCCAAGGGGTTCCATTCTGAAATATTTCTATCATTTCGTTAAAGTAAACCAAAATAATATATCTAGCAACCTGTTAGGTTTTCTAAACATTTACAGTGGTTTAAAAATTAATATACAGCGTAAAAGTATGAATGGGTATTAATGGATGTATACATTGCTTACAAACGAATACAATCATATAGTAATAATACGCATGGAACGCTGATGCGTTAATGTTCAAAAAGACAATTCATGAAAATGGGTAATTTTATATTTTCAACATCTCTATTCGCTTCACCTTACCTTTGACATTGAGAACTGCAGAGGTGTGGTCATCTCTAGTGTCACAGTCATATTTCCCTGCATCTCCAGGTTCCACATCATGAATGATGAGCTTCGCTATTTTTCCTTCCTGCTTTATCTCATATTTATCGCTGGGATGGAGTAGATTCGAGTCCTTTTTCCAAGCGACTTCCACAGCAGGTTTGGAAAGCTGACAAGTAAGAGTGGCACTTCCAAACTCATCGGCTTCCTGGTCCACCAGGCCTTCTGATATTTTAACAGGGGCCTCTGTTGGAATACATTTGAAAAGGAAATTGTTTAATTATTAAAAAAAAAAACTTCACGCATTCATGGTTTGTATATGGATGAAAAAATATATCCATGATTACCTTTGACTTTGAGAACTGCACAAGTGTGGTCATCTCCAGTGTCACAACCATATTCCCCTGCATCTCCAGGTTCCACATCATGAATGATGAGTGTCGCTATTTTTCCTTCCTGTTTTATCTCATATTTATCGCTGGGATGGAGTAAAGTGGATTCCTTTTTCCAAAGGACTTCCACAGCCGGTTTGGAAAGCTGACAAGTAAGAGTGGCACTTCCAAACTCATGAGCTTCCTGATCTTCTAGGTGTTCTTTAATAAGTACTGGAGCTTCTGTAGGTCAGATATCACCTCGTAAATATCCTCATTCCAAATAATAGCTACCAAATCAAAGTCACTTGGGAATTCCCAAGGGGTTCCATTCTGAAATATTTCTATCATTTCGTTAAAGTAAACCAAAATAATATATCTAGCAACCTGTTATGTTTTCTAAACATTTACAGTGGTTTAAAAATTAATATACAGCGTAAAAGTATGAATGGGTATTAATGGATGTATATATTGCTTACAAACGAATACAATCATATAGTAATTATACGCATGGAACGCTGATGTGTTAATGTTCAAAAAGACAATTCATGAAAATGGGTAATTTTATATTTTCAACATCTCCATACGCTTCACATTACCTTTGACATTGAGAACTGCAGAGGTGTGGTCATCTCTAGTGTCACAGTCATATTTCCCTGCATCTCCAGGTTCCACATCATGAATGATGAGCTTCGCTATTTTTCCTTCCTGCTTTATCTCATGTTTATCGCTGGGCTGGAGTAAAGTGGAGTCCTTTTTCCAAGCGACTTCCACAGCAGGTTTGGAAAGCTGACAAGTAAGAGTGGCACTTCCAAACTCATCGGCTTCCTGGTCCACCAGGCCTTCTGATATTTTAACAGGGGTTTCTGTTGGTATACATTTGAAAAGTAAAGAGTTTAATTATTTCAAAATGAAACTTCACGTATTTGTGGTTTGTATATGGATTAAAAAATATATCCATGTTTACCTTTGACTTTGAGAACTGCACAAGTGTGGTCATCTCTAGTTTCACAACCATATTCCCCTGCATCTCCAGGTTCAACATCATGAATGATGAGCTTCGCTATTTTTCCTTCCTGCTTTATCTCATATTTATTGCTGGGATGGAGTAAAGTGGAGTCCTTTTTCCACACGACTTCCACAGCAGGTTTGGAAAGCTGACAAGTAAGAGTGGCACTTCCAAACTCATCGGCTTCCTGATCTTCTAGGTGTTCTTTAATAAGTACTGGAGCTTCTGTAGGTCAGATATCACCTCGTAAATATCCTTATTCCAAATAATAGCTACCAAATCAAAGTCACTTGGGAATTCCCAAGGGGTTCCATTCCGAAATATTTCTATCATTTCGTTGAAGTAAACCAAAATAATATCGAGTACCCTGTTAGGTTTTATAATCATTTACAGTGGAATAAAAATGTATATACAGCATAAAAATATGATTGGGTATTAATGGATGTATACATTGCTTACAAACGAATACAATCAAATAGTAATTATACGCATGGAACGCTGATGTGTTAATGTTCAAAAAGACAATTCATGAAAATGGGTAATTTTATATTTTCAAAATCTCCATACGCTTCACCCTACCTTTGACATTGAGAACTGCAGAGGTGTGGTCATCTCTAGTGTCACAGTCATATTTCCCTGCATCTCCAGGTTCCACATCATGAATGATGAGCTTCGCTATTTTTCCTTCCTGCTTTATCTCATATTTATCGCTGGGCTGGAGTAAAGTGGAGTCCTTTTTCCAAGCGACTTCCACAGCAGGTTTGGAAAGCTGACAAGTAAGAGTGGCACTTCCAAACTCATCGGCTTCCTGGTCCACCAGGCCTTCTGATATTTTAACAGGGGCTTCTGTTGGAATACATTTGAAAAGGAAATTGTTTAATTATTTAAAAAAAAACTTCACGCATTCATGGTTTGTATATGGATGAAAAAATATATCCATGATTACCTTTGACTTTGAGAACTGCACAAGTGTGGTCATCTCTAGTGTCACAGTCATATTTCCCTGCATCTCCAGGTTCCACATCATGAATGATGAGCTTCGCTATTTTTCCTTCCTGCTTTATCTCATATTTATCGCTGGGCTGGAGTAAAGTGGAGTCCTTTTTCCAAGCGACTTCCACAGCAGGTTTGGAAAGCTGACAAGTAAGAGTGGCACTTCCAAACTCATCGGCTTCCTGGTCCACCAGGCCTTCTGATATTTTAACAGGGGCGTCTGTTGGAATACATTTGAAAAGTAAAGAGTTCAATTATTTCAAAATGAAACATCACGTATTTGTGGTTTGTATATGGATGAAAAAATATATCCATGTTTACCTTTGACTTTGAGAACTGCACAAGAGTGGTCATCTCCAGTGTCACAACCATATTCCCCTGCATCTCCAGGTTCCACATCATGAATGATGAGTGTCGCTATTTTTCCTTCCTGCATAATCTCATATTTATCGCTGGGATGGAGTAAAGTGGAGTCCTTTTTCCACACGACTTCCACAGCAGGTTTGGAAAGCTGACAAGTAAGAGTGGCACTTCCAAACTCATCGGCTTCCTGATCTTCTAGGTGTTCTTTAATAAGTACTGGAGCTTCTGTAGGTCAGATATCACCTCGTAAATATCCTCATTCCAAATAATAGCTACCAAATCAAAGTCACTTGGGAAATCCCAAGGGGTTCCATTCCGAAATATTTCTATCATTTCGTTGAAGTAAACCAAAATAATATCGAGTACCCTGTTAGGTTTTCTAATCATTTACAGTGGAATAAAAATGTAAATACAGCATAAAAGTATGATTGGGTATTAATGGATGTATATATTGCTTACAAACGAATACAATCATATAGTAATTATACGCATGGAACGCTGATGTGTTAATGTTCAAAAAGACAATTCATGAAAATGGGTAATTTTATATTTTCAACATCTCCATACGCTTCACATTACCTTTGACATTGAGAACTGCAGAGGTGTGGTCATCTCTAGTGTCACAGTCATATTTCCCTGCATCTCCAGGTTCCACATCATGAATGATGAGCTTCGCTATTTTTCCTTCCTGCTTTATCTCATGTTTATCGCTGGGCTGGAGTAAAGTGGAGTCCTTTTTCCAAGCGACTTCCACAGCAGGTTTGGAAAGCTGACAAGTAAGAGTGGCACTTCCAAACTCATCGGCTTCCTGGTCCACCAGGCCTTCTGATATTTTAACAGGGGTTTCTGTTGGTATACATTTGAAAAGTAAAGAGTTTAATTATTTCAAAATGAAACTTCACGTATTTGTGGTTTGTATATGGATTAAAAAATATATCCATGTTTACCTTTGACTTTGAGAACTGCACAAGTGTGGTCATCTCTAGTTTCACAACCATATTCCCCTGCATCTCCAGGTTCAACATCATGAATGATGAGCTTCGCTATTTTTCCTTCCTGCTTTATCTCATATTTATTGCTGGGATGGAGTAAAGTGGAGTCCTTTTTCCACACGACTTCCACAGCAGGTTTGGAAAGCTGACAAGTAAGAGTGGCACTTCCAAACTCATCGGCTTCCTGATCTTCTAGGTGTTCTTTAATAAGTACTGGAGCTTCTGTAGGTCAGATATCACCTCGTAAATATCCTTATTCCAAATAATAGCTACCAAATCAAAGTCACTTGGGAATTCCCAAGGGGTTCCATTCCGAAATATTTCTATCATTTCGTTGAAGTAAACCAAAATAATATCGAGTACCCTGTTAGGTTTTATAATCATTTACAGTGGAATAAAAATGTATATACAGCATAAAAATATGATTGGGTATTAATGGATGTATACATTGCTTACAAACGAATACAATCAAATAGTAATTATACGCATGGAACGCTGATGTGTTAATGTTCAAAAAGACAATTCATGAAAATGGGTAATTTTATATTTTCAAAATCTCCATACGCTTCACCCTACCTTTGACATTGAGAACTGCAGAGGTGTGGTCATCTCTAGTGTCACAGTCATATTTCCCTGCATCTCCAGGTTCCACATCATGAATGATGAGCTTCGCTATTTTTCCTTCCTGCTTTATCTCATATTTATCGCTGGGCTGGAGTAAAGTGGAGTCCTTTTTCCAAGCGACTTCCACAGCAGGTTTGGAAAGCTGACAAGTAAGAGTGGCACTTCCAAACTCATCGGCTTCCTGGTCCACCAGGCCTTCTGATATTTTAACAGGGGCTTCTGTTGGAATACATTTGAAAAGGAAATTGTTTAATTATTTAAAAAAAAACTTCACGCATTCATGGTTTGTATATGGATGAAAAAATATATCCATGATTACCTTTGACTTTGAGAACTGCACAAGTGTGGTCATCTCTAGTGTCACAGTCATATTTCCCTGCATCTCCAGGTTCCACATCATGAATGATGAGCTTCGCTATTTTTCCTTCCTGCTTTATCTCATATTTATCGCTGGGCTGGAGTAAAGTGGAGTCCTTTTTCCAAGCGACTTCCACAGCAGGTTTGGAAAGCTGACAAGTAAGAGTGGCACTTCCAAACTCATCGGCTTCCTGGTCCACCAGGCCTTCTGATATTTTAACAGGGGCGTCTGTTGGAATACATTTGAAAAGTAAAGAGTTCAATTATTTCAAAATGAAACATCACGTATTTGTGGTTTGTATATGGATGAAAAAATATATCCATGTTTACCTTTGACTTTGAGAACTGCACAAGAGTGGTCATCTCCAGTGTCACAACCATATTCCCCTGCATCTCCAGGTTCCACATCATGAATGATGAGTGTCGCTATTTTTCCTTCCTGCATAATCTCATATTTATCGCTGGGATGGAGTAAAGTGGAGTCCTTTTTCCACACGACTTCCACAGCAGGTTTGGAAAGCTGACAAGTAAGAGTGGCACTTCCAAACTCATCGGCTTCCTGATCTTCTAGGTGTTCTTTAATAAGTACTGGAGCTTCTGTAGGTCAGATATCACCTCGTAAATATCCTCATTCCAAATAATAGCTACCAAATCAAAGTCACTTGGGAAATCCCAAGGGGTTCCATTCCGAAATATTTCTATCATTTCGTTGAAGTAAACCAAAATAATATCGAGTACCCTGTTAGGTTTTCTAATCATTTACAGTGGAATAAAAATGTAAATACAGCATAAAAGTATGATTGGGTATTAATGGATGTATACATTGCTTACAAACGAATACAATCATATAGTAATTATACGCATGGAACGCTGATGTGTTAATGTTCAAAAAGACAATTCATGAAAATGGGTAATTTTATATTTTCAACATCTCCATACGCTTCACCCTACCTTTGACATTGAGAACTGCACAAGTGTGGTCATCTCTAGTTTCACAACCATATTCCCCTGCATCTCCAGGTTCCACATCATGAATGATGAGCTTCGCTATTTTTCCTTCCTGCTTTATCTCATATTTATCGCTGGGCTGGAGTAAAGTGCAGTCCTTTTTCCAAGCGACTTCCACAGCAGGTTTGGAAAGCTGACAAGTAAGAGTGGCACTTCCAAACTGATCGGCTTCCTGGTCCACCAGGCCTTCTGATATTTTAACAGGGGCTTCTGTTGGAATACATTTGAAAAGTAAATTGTTTAATTATTTCAAAATGAAACTTCACGTATTTGTGGTTTGTATATGGATGAAAAAATATATCCATGTTTACCTTTGACTTTGAGAACTGCACAAGTGTGGTCATCTCCAGTGTCACAACCATATTCCCCTGCATCTCCAGGTTCCACATCATGAATGATGAGTGTCACTATTTTTCCTTCCTGCTTTATCTCATATTTATCGCTGGGATGGAGTAAAGTGGAGTCCTTTTTCCACACGACTTCCACAGCAGGTTTGGAAAGCTGACAAGTAAGAGTGGCACTTCCAAACTCATCGGCTTCCTGATCTTCTAGGTGTTCTTTAATAAGTACTGGAGCTTCTGTAGGTCAGATATCACCTCGTAAATATCCTCATTCCAAATAATAGCTACCAAATCAAAGTCACTTGGGAAATCCCAAGGGGTTCCATTCCGAAATATTTCTATCATTTCGTTGAAGTAAACCAAAATAATATCGAGTACCCTGTTAGGTTTTCTAATCATTTACAGTGGAATAAAAATGTAAATACAGCATAAAAGTATGATTGGGTATTAATGGATGTATACATTGCTTACAAACGAATACAATCATATGGTAATTATACGCATGGAACGCTGATGTGTTAATGTTCAAAAAGACAATTCATGAAAATGGGTAATTTTATATTTTCAACATCTCCATACGCTTCACCCTACCTTTGACATTGAGAACTGCACAAGTGTGGTCATCTCTAGTTTCACAACCATATTCCCCTGCATCTCCAGGTTCCACATCATGAATGATGAGCTTCGCTATTTTTCCTTCCTGCTTTATCTCATATTTATCGCTGGGCTGGAGTAAAGTGCAGTCCTTTTTCCAAGCGACTTCCACAGCAGGTTTGGAAAGCTGACAAGTAAGAGTGGCACTTCCAAACTCATCGGCTTCCTGGTCCACCAGGCCTTCTGATATTTTAACAGGGGCTTCTGTTGGAATACATTTGAAAAGTAAATTGTTTAATTATTTCAAAATGAAACTTCACGTATTTGTGGTTTGTATATGGATGAAAAAATATATCCATGTTTACCTTTGACTTTGAGAACTGCACAAGTGTGGTCATCTCCAGTGTCACAACCATATTCCCCTGCATCTCCAGGTTCCACATCATGAATGATGAGTGTCGCTATTTTTCCTTCCTGCTTTATCTCATATTTATCGCTGGGATGGAGTAAAGTGGAGTCCTTTTTCCACACGACTTCCACAGTAGGTTTGGAAAGCTGACAAGTAAGAGTGGCACTTCCAAACTCATCGGCTTCCTGATCTTCTAGGTGTTCTTTAATAAGTACTGGAGCTTCTGTAGGTCAGATATCACCTCGTAAATATCCTCATTCCAAATAATAGCTACCAAAGCAAAGTCACTTGGGAAATCCCAAGGGGTTCCATTCCGAAATATTTCTATCATTTCGTTGAAGTAAACCAAAATAATATCGAGTACCCTGTTAGGTTTTCTAAACATTTACAGTGGAATAAAAATGTAAATACAGCATAAAAGTATGATTGGGTATTAATGGATGTATACATTGCTTACAAACGAATATAATCATATAGTAATTATACGCATGGAACGCTGATGTGTTAATGTTCAAAAAGACAATTCATGAAAATGGGTAATTTTATATTTTCAACATCTCCTTACGCTTCACATTACCTTTGACATTGAGAACTGCAGAGGTGTGGTCATCTCTAGTCTCACAGTCATATTTCCCTGCATCTCCAGGTTGCACATCATGAATGATGAGCTTCGCTATTTTTCCTTCCTGCTTTATCTCATGTTTATCGCTGGGCTGGAGTAAAGTGGAGTCCTTTTTCCAAGCGACTTCCACAGCAGGTTTGGAAAGCTGACAAGTAAGAGTGGCACTTCCAAACTCATCGGCTTCCTGGTCCACCAGGCCTTCTGATATTTTAACAGGGGCTTCTGTTGGTATACATTTGAAAAGTAAAGAGTTCAATTATTTCAAAATGAAACTTCACGTATTTGTGGTTTGTATATGGATGAAAAAATATATCCATGATTACCTTTGACTTTGAGAACTGCACAAGTGTGGTCATCTCCAGTGTCACAACCATATTCCCCTGCATCTCCAGGTTCCACATCATGAATGATGAGCTTCGCTATTTTTCCTTCCTGCTTTATCTCATATTTATCGCTGGGATGGAGTAAAGTGGAGTCCTTTTTCCACACGACTTCCACAGCAGGTTTGGAAAGCTGACAAGTAAGAGTGGCACTTCCAAACTCATCGGCTTCCTGATCTTCTAGGTGTTCTTTAATAAGTACTGGAGCTTCTGTAGGTCAGATATCACCTCGTAAATATCCTCATTCCAAATAATAGCTACCAAATCAAAGTCACTTGGGAATTCCCAAGGGGTTCCATTCCGAAATATTTCTATCATTTCGTTGAAGTAAACCAAAATAATATCGAGTACCCTGTTAGGTTTTCTAATCATTTACAGTGGAATAAAAATGTATATACAGCATAAAAGTATGATTGGGTATTAATGGATGTATACATTGCTTACAAACGAATACAATCAAATAGTAATTATACGCATGGAACGCTGATGTGTTAATGTTCAAAAAGACAATTCATGAAAATGGGTAATTTTATATTTTCAACATCTCCATACGCTTCACCCAACCTTTGACATTGAGAACTGCAGAGGTGTGGTCATCTCTAGTGTCACAGTCATATTTCCCTGCATCTCCAGGTTCCACATCATGAATGATGAGCTTCGCTATTTTTCCTTCCTGCTTTATCTCATATTTATCGCTGGGCTGGAGTAAAGTGGAGTCCTTTTTCCAAGCGACTTCCACAGCAGGTTTGGAAAGCTGACAAGTAAGAGTGGCACTTCCAAACTCATCGGCTTCCTGGTCCACCAGGCCTTCTGATATTTTAACAGGGGCTTCTGTTGGAATACATTTGAAAAGTAAATTGTTTAATCATTTCAAAATGAAACTTCACGTATTTGTGGTTTGTATATGGATGAAAAAATATATCCATGATTACCTTTGACTTTGAGAACTGCACAAGTGTGGTCATCTCCAGTGTCACAACCATATTCCCCTGCATCTCCAGGTTCCACATCATGAATGATGAGCTTCGCTATTTTTCCTTCCTGCTTTATCTCATATTTATCGCTGGGATGGAGTAAAGTGGAGTCCTTTTTCCACACGACTTCCACAGCAGGTTTGGAAAGCTGACAAGTAAGAGTGGCACTTCCAAACTCATCGGCTTCCTGATCTTCTAGGTGTTCTTTAATAAGTACTGGAGCTTCTGTAGGTCAGATATTACCTCGTAAATATCCTCATTCCAAATAATAGCTACCAAATCAAAGTCACTTGGGAATTCCCAAGGGGTTCCATTCCGAAATATTTCTATCATTTCGTTGAAGTAAACCAAAATAATATCGAGTACCCTGTTAGGTTTTCTAATCATTTACAGTGGAATAAAAATGTATATACAGCATAAAAGTATGATTGGGTATTAATGGATGTATACATTGCTTACAAACGAATACAATCAAATAGTAATTATACGCATGGAACGCTGATGTGTTAATGTTCAAAAAGACAATTCATGAAAATGGGTAATTTTATATTTTCAACATCTCCATACGCTTCACCCAACCTTTGACATTGAGAACTGCAGAGGTGTGGTCATCTCTAGTGTCACAGTCATATTTCCCTGCATCTCCAGGTTCCACATCATGAATGATGAGCTTCGCTATTTTTCCTTCCTGCTTTATCTCATATTTATCGCTGGGCTGGAGTAAAGTGGAGTCCTTTTTCCAAGCGACTTCCACAGCAGGTTTGGAAAGCTGACAAGTAAGAGTGGCACTTCCAAACTCATCGGCTTCCTGATCTTCTAGGTGTTCTTTAATAAGTACTGGAGCTTCTGTAGGTCAGATATCACCTCGTAAATATCCTCATTCCAAATAATAGCTACCAAATCAAAGTCACTTGGGAATTCCCAAGGGGTTCCATTCCGAAATATTTCTATCATTTCGTTGAAGTAAACCAAAATAATATCGAGTACCCTGTTAGGTTTTCTAATCATTTACAGTGGAATAAAAATGTATATACAGCATAAAAGTATGATTGGGTATTAATGGATGTATACATTGCTTACAAACGAATACAATCAAATAGTAATTATACGCATGGAACGCTGATGTGTTAATGTTCAAAAAGACAATTCATGAAAATGGGTAATTTTATATTTTCAACATCTCCATACGCTTCACCCAACCTTTGACATTGAGAACTGCAGAGGTGTGGTCATCTCTAGTGTCACAGTCATATTTCCCTGCATCTCCAGGTTCCACATCATGAATGATGAGCTTCGCTATTTTTCCTTCCTGCTTTATCTCATATTTATCGCTGGGCTGGAGTAAAGTGGAGTCCTTTTTCCAAGCGACTTCCACAGCAGGTTTGGAAAGCTGACAAGTAAGAGTGGCACTTCCAAACTCATCGGCTTCCTGGTCCACCAGGCCTTCTGATATTTTAACAGGGGCTTCTGTTGGAATACATTTGAAAAGTAAATTGTTTAATCATTTCAAAATGAAACTTCACGTATTTGTGGTTTGTATATGGATGAAAAAATATATCCATGATTACCTTTGACTTTGAGAACTGCACAAGTGTGGTCATCTCCAGTGTCACAACCATATTCCCCTGCATCTCCAGGTTCCACATCATGAATGATGAGCTTCGCTATTTTTCCTTCCTGCTTTATCTCATATTTATCGCTGGGATGGAGTAAAGTGGAGTCCTTTTTCCACACGACTTCCACAGCAGGTTTGGAAAGCTGACAAGTAAGAGTGGCACTTCCAAACTCATCGGCTTCCTGATCTTCTAGGTGTTCTTTAATAAGTACTGGAGCTTCTGTAGGTCAGATATTACCTCGTAAATATCCTCATTCCAAATAATAGCTACCAAATCAAAGTCACTTGGGAATTCCCAAGGGGTTCCATTCCGAAATATTTCTATCATTTCGTTGAAGTAAACCAAAATAATATCGAGTACCCTGTTAGGTTTTCTAATCATTTACAGTGGAATAAAAATGTATATACAGCATAAAAGTATGATTGGGTATTAATGGATGTATACATTGCTTACAAACGAATACAATCAAATAGTAATTATACGCATGGAACGCTGATGTGTTAATGTTCAAAAAGACAATTCATGAAAATGGGTAATTTTATATTTTCAACATCTCCATACGCTTCACCCAACCTTTGACATTGAGAACTGCAGAGGTGTGGTCATCTCTAGTGTCACAGTCATATTTCCCTGCATCTCCAGGTTCCACATCATGAATGATGAGCTTCGCTATTTTTCCTTCCTGCTTTATCTCATATTTATCGCTGGGCTGGAGTAAAGTGGAGTCCTTTTTCCAAGCGACTTCCACAGCAGGTTTGGAAAGCTGACAAGTAAGAGTGGCACTTCCAAACTCATCGGCTTCCTGGTCCACCAGGCCTTCTGATATTTTAACAGGGGCTTCTGTTGGAATACATTTGAAAAATAAATTGTTTAATCATTTCAAAATGAAACTTCACGTATTTGTGGTTTGTATATGGATGCAAAAATATATCCATGTTTACCTTTGACTTTGAGAACTGCACAAGTGTGGTCATCTCCAGTGTCACAACCATATTTCCCTGCATCTCCAGGTTCCACATCATGAATGATGAGTGTCGCTATTTTTCCTTCCTGCTTTATCTCATATTTATCGCTGAAATGGAGTAAAGTGGAGTCCTTTTTCCACACGACTTCCACAGCAGGTTTGGAAAGCTGACAAGTAAGAGTGGCACTTCCAAACTCATCGGCTTCCTGATCTTCTAGGTGTTCTTTAATAAGTACTGGAGCTTCTGTAGGTCAGATATCACCTCGTAAATATCCTCATTCCAAATAATAGCTACCAAATCAAAGTCACTTGGGAAATCTCAAGGGGTTCCATTCCGAAATATTTCTATCATTTCGTTGAAGTAAACCAAAATAATATCGAGTACCCTGTTAGGTTTTCTAATCATTTACAGTGGAATAAAAATGTAAATACAGCATAAAAGTATGATTGGGTATTAATGGATGTATACATTGATTACAAACGAATACAATCATATAGTAATTATACGCATGGAACGCTGATGTGTTAATGTTCAAAAAGACAATTCATGAAAATGGGTAATTTTATATTTTCAACATCTCCATACGCTTCACCCTACCTTTGACATTGAGAACTGCACAAGTGTGGTCATCTCTAGTTTCACAACCATATTCCCCTGCATCTCCAGGTTCCACATCATGAATGATGAGCCTCGCTATTTTTCCTTCCTGCTTTATCTCATATTTAACGCTGGGCTGGAGTAAAGTGGAGTACTTTTTCCAAGCGACTTCCACAGCAGGTTTGGAAAGCTGACAAGTAAGAGTGGCACTTCCAAACTCATCGGCTTCCTGGTCCACCAGGCCTTCTGATATTTTAACAGGGGCTTCTGTTGGAATACATTTGAAAAGTAAATTGTTTAATTATTTCAAAATGAAACTTCACGTATTTGTGGTTTGTATATGGATGAAAAAATATATCCATGTTTACCTTTGACTTTGAGAACTGCACAAGTGTGGTCATCTCCAGTGTCACAACCATATTCCCCTGCATCTCCAGGTTCCACATCATGAATGATGAGTGTCGCTATTTTTCCTTCCTGCTTTATGTCATATTTATCGCTGGGATGGAGTAAAGTGGAGTCCTTTTTCCACACGACTTCCACAGCAGGTTTGGAAAGCTGACAAGTAAGAGTGGTACTTCCAAACTCATCGGCTTCCTGATCTTCTAGGTGTTCTTTAATAACTACTGGAGCTTCTGTAGGTGAGATATCACCTCGTAAATATCCTCATTCCAAATAATAGCTACCAAATCAAAGTCACTTGGGAATTCCCAAGGGGTTCCATTCTGAAATATTTCTATCATTTCGTTAAAGTAAACCAAAATAATATATCTAGCAACCTGTTAGGTTTTCTAAACATTTACAGTGGTTTAAAAATTAATATACAGCGTAAAAGTATGAATGGGTATTAATGGATGTATACATTGCTTACAAACGAATACAATCATATAGTAATTATACGCATGGAACGCTGATGCGTTAATGTTCAAAAAGACAATTCATGAAAATGGGTAATTTTATATTTTCAACATCTCCATTCGCTTCACCCTACCTTTGACATTGAGGACTGCAGAGGTGTGGTCATCTCCAATGTCACAGTCATATTTCCCTGCATCTCCAGGTTCCACATCATGAATGATGAGCTTCGCTATTTTTCCTTCCTGCTTTATCTCATATTTATCGCTGGGATGGAGTAGATTCGAGTCCTTTTTCCACACGACTTCCACAGCAGGTTTGGAAAGCTGACAAGTAAGAGTGGCACTTCCAAACTCATCGGCTTCCTGGTCCACCAGGCCTTCTGATATTTTAACAGGTGCTTCTGTTGGTATACATTTGAAAAGTAAAGAGTTTAATTATTTCAAAATCAAACTTCACGAATTTGTGGTTTGTATATGGATGAAAAAATATATCCATGTTTACCTTTGACTTTGAGAACTGCACAAGTGTGGTCATCTCCAGTGTCACAACCATATTCCCCTGCATCTCCAGGTTCCACATCATGAATGATGAGTGTCGCTATTTTTCCTTCCTGCTTTATCTCATATTTATTGCTGGGATGGAGTAAAGTGGAGTCCTTTTTCCAAGCGACTTCCACAGCAGGTTTGGAAAGCTGACAAGTAAGAGTGGCACTTCCAAACTCATCGGCTTCCTGATCTTCTAGGTGTTCTTTAATAAGTACTGGAGCTTCTGTAGGTCAGATATCACCTCGTAAATATCCTCATTCCAAATAATAGCTACCAAATCAAAGTCACTTGGGAAATCCCAAGGGGTTCCATTCCGAAATATTTCTATCATTTCGTTGAAGTAAACCAAAATAATATCGAGTACCCTGTTAGGTTTTCTAATCATTTACAGTGGAATAAAAATGTAAATACAGCATAAAAGTATGATTGGGTATTAATGGATGTATACATTGCTTACAAACGAATACAATCATATAGTAATTATACGCATGGAACGCTGATGTGTTAATGTTCAAAAAGACAATTCATGAAAATGGGTAATTTTATATTTTCAACATCTCCATACGCTTCACAATACCTTTGACATTGAGAACTGCACAAGTGTGGTCATCTCTAGTTTCACAACCATATTCCCCTGCATCTCCAAGTTCCACATCATGAATGATGAGCTTCGCTATTTTTCCTTCCTGCTTTATCTCATATTTATCGCTGGGCTGGAGTAAAGTGGAGTCCTTTTTCCAAACGACTTCCACAGCAGGTTTGGAAAGCTGACAAGTAAGAGTGGCACTTCCAAACTCATCGGCTTCCTGGTCCACCAGGCCTTCTGATATTTTAACAGGGGCTTCTGTTGGAATACATTTGAAAAGTAAATTGTTTAATTATTTCAAAATGAAACTTCACGTATTTGTGGTTTGTATATGGATGAAAAAATATATCCATGTTTACCTTTGACTTTGAGAACTGCACAAGTGTGGTCATCTCCAGTGTCACAACCATATTCCCCTGCATCTCCAGGTTCCACATCATGAATGATGAGTGTCGCTATTTTTCCTTCCTGCTTTATCTCATATTTATCGCTGGGATGGAGTAAAGTGGAGTCCTTTTTCCACACGACTTCCACAGCAGGTTTGGAAAGCTGACAAGTAAGAGTGGTACTTCCAAACTCATCGGCTTCCTGATCTTCTAGGTGTTCTTTAATAACTACTGGAGCTTCTGTAGGTCAGATATCACCTCGTAAATATCCTCATTCCAAATAATAGCTACCAAATCAAGGTCACTTGGGAATTCCCAAGGGGTTCCATTCTGAAATATTTCTATCATTTCGTTAAAGTAAACCAAAATAATAGATCTAGCAACCTGTTAGGTTTTCTAAACATTTACAGTGGTTTAAAAATTAATATACAGCGTAAAAGTATGATTGGGTTTTAATGGATGTATACATTGCTTACAAACGAATACAATCATATAGTAATTATACGCATGGAACGCTGATGTGTTAATGTTCAAAAAGACAATTCATGAAAATGGGTAATTTTATATTTTCAACATCTCCATTCGCTTCACCCTACCTTTGACATTGAGAACTGCAGAGGTGTGGTCATCTCCAGTGTCACAGTCATATTTCCCTGCATCTCCAGGTTCCACATCATGAATGATGAGCTTCGCTATTTTTCCTTCCTGCTTTATCTCATATTTATCGCTGGGATGGAGTAGATTCGAGTCCTTTTTCCACACGACTTCCACAGCAGGTTTGGAAAGCTGACAAGTAAGAGTGGCACTTCCAAACTCATCGGCTTCCTGGTCCACCAGGCCTTCTGATATTTTAACAGGGGCTTCTGTTGGTATACATTTGAAAAGTAAAGAGTTTAATTATTTCAAAATGAAACTTCACGAATTTGTGGTTTGTATATGGATGAAAAAATATATCCATGTTTACCTTTGACTTTGAGAACTGCACAAGTGTGGTCATCTCCAGTGTCACAACCATATTCCCCTGCATCTCCAGGTTCCACATCATGAATGATGAGCTTCGCTATTTTTCCTTCCTGCTTTATTTCATATTTATCGCTGGGATGGAGTAAAGTGGAGTCCTTTTTCCAAGCGACTTCCACAGCAGGTTTGGAAAGCTGACAAGTAAGAGTGGTACTTCCAAACTCATTAGCTTCCTGATCTTCTAGGTGTTCTTTAATAAGTACTGGAGCTTCTGTAGGTCAGATATCACCTCGTAAATATCCTCATTCCAAATAATAGCTACCAAATCAAAGTCACTTGGGAATTCCCAAGGGGTTCCATTCCGAAATATTTCTATCATTTCGTTGAAGTAAACCAAAGTAATATCGAGTACCCTGTTAGGTTTTCTAATCATTTACAGTGGAATAAAAATGTAAATACAGCATAAAAGTATGATTGGGTATTAATGGATGTATACATTGCTTACAAACGAATACAATCATATAGTAATTATACGCATGGAACGCTGATGTGTTAATGTTCAAAAAGACAATTCATGAAAATGGGTAATTTTATATTTTCAACATCTCCATACGCTTCACAATACCTTTGACATTGAGAACTGCACAAGTGTGGTCATCTCTAGTTTCACAACCATATTCCCCTGCATCTCCAAGTTCCACATCATGAATGATGAGCTTCGCTATTTTTCCTTCCTGCTTTATCTCATATTTATCGCTGGGCTGGAGTAAAGTGGAGTCCTTTTTCCAAACGACTTCCACAGCAGGTTTGGAAAGCTGACAAGTAAGAGTGGCACTTCCAAACTCATCGGCTTCCTGGTCCACCAGGCCTTCTGATATTTTAACAGGGGCTTCTGTTGGAATACATTTGAAAAGTAAATTGTTTAATTATTTCAAAATGAAACTTCACGTATTTGTGGTTTGTATATGGATGAAAAAATATATCCATGTTTACATTTGACTTTGAGAACTGCACAAGTGTGGTCATCTCCAGTGTCACAACCATATTCCCCTGCATCTCCAGGTTCCACATCATGAATGATGAGTGTCGCTATTTTTCCTTCCTGCTTTATCTCATATTTATCGCTGGGATGGAGTAAAGTGGAGTCTTTTTTCCAAAGGACTTCCACAGCCGGTTTGGAAAGCTGACAAGTAAGAGTGGTACTTCCAAACTCATCGGCTTCGTGATCTTCTAGGTGTTCTTTAATAATTACTGGAGCTTCTGTAGGTCAGATATCACCTTGTAAATATCCTCATTCCAAATAATAGCTACCAAATCAAAGTCACTTGGGAATTCCCAAGGGGTTCCATTCCGAAATATTTCTATCATTTCGTTGAAGTAAACCAATATAATATCGAGTACCCTCTCAGGTTTTCTAAACATTTACAGTGGAATAAAAATGTATATACAGCGTAAAAGTATGATTGGGTATTAATGGATGTATACATTGCTTACAAACGAATGCAATCATATAGTAATAATACGCATGGAACGCTGATGTGTTAATGTTCAAAAAGACAATTCATGAAAATGGGTAATTTTATATTTTCAACATCTCCATACGCTTCACCCTACCTTTGACATAGAGAACTGCAGAGGTGTGGTCATCTCCAATGTCACAGTCATATTTCCCTGCATCTCCAAGTTCCACATCATGAATGATGAGCTTCGCTATTTTTCCTTCCTGCTTTATCTCATATTTATCGCTGGGCTGGAGTAAAGTGGAGTCCTTTTTCCAAGCGACTTCCACAGCAGGTTTGGAAAGCTGACAAGTAAGAGTGGCACTTCCAAACTCATCGGCTTCCTGGTCCACCAGGCCTTCTGATATTTTAACAGGGGCTTCTGTTGGTATACATTTGAAAAGTAAAGAGTTTAATTATTTCAAAATGAAACTTCACGTATTTGTGGTTTGTATATGGATGAAAAAATATATCCATGTTTACCTTTGACTTTGAGAACTGCACAAGTGTGGTCATCTCCAGTGTCACAACCATATTCCCCTGCATCTCCAGGTTCCACATCATGAATGATGAGCTTCGCTATTTTTCCTTCCTGCTTTATTTCATATTTATCGCTGGGATGGAGTAAAGTGGAGTCCTTTTTCCAAGCGACTTCCACAGCAGGTTTGGAAAGCTGACAAGTAAGAGTGGTACTTCCAAACTCATTAGCTTCCTGATCTTCTAGGTGTTCTTTAATATGTACTGGAGCTTCTGTAGGTCAGATATCACCTCGTAAATATCCTCATTCCAAATAATAGCTACCAAATCAAAGTCACTTGGGAATTCCCAAGGGGTTCCATTCCGAAATATTTCTATCATTTCGTTGAAGTAAACCAAAGTAATATCGAGTACCCTGTTAGGTTTTCTAATCATTTACAGTGGAATAAAAATGTATATACAGCATAAAAGTATGATTGGGTTTTAATGGATGTATACATTGCTTACAAACGAATACAATCATATAGTAATTATACGCATGGAACGCTGATGTGTTAATGTTCAAAAAGACAATACATGAAAATGGGTAATTTTATATTGTGAACATCTCCATACACTTCACCCTACCTTTGACTTTGAGAACTGCACAAGTGTGGTCATCTCTAGTTTCACAACCATATTCCCCTGCATCTCCAGGTACCACATCATGAATGATGAGCTTCGCTATTTTTCCTTCCTGCTTCATTTCATATTTATCGCTGGGATGGAGTAGATTCGAGTCCTTTTTCCACACGACTTCCACAGCAGGTTTGGAAAGCTGACAAGTAAGAGTGGCACTTCCAAACTCATCGGCTTCCTGGTCCACCAGGCCTTCTGATATTTTAACAGGGGCTTCTGTTGGAATACATTTGAAAAGTAAATTGTTTAATTATTTCAAAATGAAACTTCACGTATTTGTGGTTTGTATATGGATGAAAAAATATATCCATGTTTACCTTTGACTTTGAGAACTGCACAAGTGTGGTCATCTCCAGTGTCACAACCATATTCCCCTGCATCTCCAGGTTCCACATCATGAATGATGAGTGTCGCTATTTTTCCTTCCTGCTTTATCTCATATTTATCGCTGGGATGGAGTAAAGTGGAGTCTTTTTTCCACACGACTTCCACAGCCGGTTTGGAAAGCTGACAAGTAAGAGTGGCACTTCCAAACTCATTAGCTTCCTGATCTTCTAGGTGTTCTTTAATAATTACTGGAGCTTCTGTAGGTCAGATATCACCTTGTAAATATCCTCATTCCAAATAATAGCTACCAAATCAAAGTCACTTGGGAATTCCCAAGGGGTTCCATTCCGAAATATTTCTATCATTTCGTTGAAGTAAACCAATATAATATCGAGTACCCTCTCAGGTTTTCTAAACATTTACAGTGGAATAAAAATGTATATACAGCGTAAAAGTATGATTGGGTATTAATGGATGTATACATTGCTTACAAACGAATGCAATCATATAGTAATAATACGCATGGAACGCTGATGTGTTAATGTTCAAAAAGACAATTCATGAAAATGGGTAATTTTATATTTTCAACATCTCCATACGCTTCACCCTACCTTTGACATAGAGAACTGCAGAGGTGTGGTCATCTCCAATGTCACAGTCATATTTCCCTGCATCTCCAAGTTCCACATCATGAATGATGAGCTTCGCTATTTTTCCTTCCTGCTTTATCTCATATTTATCGCTGGGCTGGAGTAAAGTGGAGTCCTTTTTCCAAGCGACTTCCACAGCAGGTTTGGAAAGCTGACAAGTAAGAGTGGCACTTCCAAACTCATCGGCTTCCTGGTCCACCAGGCCTTCTGATATTTTAACAGGGGCTTCTGTTGGTATACATTTGAAAAGTAAAGAGTTTAATTATTTCAAAATGAAACTTCACGTATTTGTGGTTTGTATATGGATGAAAAAATATATCCATGTTTACCTTTGACTTTGAGAACTGCACAAGTGTGGTCATCTCCAGTGTCACAACCATATCCCCCTGCATCTCCAGGGTCCACATCATGAATGATGAGGGTCGCTATTTTTCCTTCCTGCTTTATCTCATATTTATCGCTGGGATGGAGTAAAGTGGAGTCCTTTTTCCACACGACTTCCACAGCAGTTTTGGAAAGCTGACAAGTAAGAGTGGCACTTCCAAGCTCATTAGCTTCCTGATCTTCTAGGTGTTCTTTAATAAGTACTGGAGCTTCTGTAGGTCAGATATCACCTTGTAAATATCCTCATTCCAAATAATAGCTACCAAATCAAAGTCACTTGGGAATTCCCAAGGGGTTCCATTCCGAAATATTTCTATCATTTCGTTGAAGTAAACAAAAATAATATCGAGTACCCTGTTAGGTTTTTTAAACATTTACAGTGGAATAAAAATGTACATACAGCGTAAAAGTATGATTGGGTGTTAATGGATGTATACATTGCTTACAAACGAATACAATCATATAGTAATTATACGAATGGAACGCTGATGTGTTAATGTTCAAAATGACAATTCATGAAAATGGGTAATTTCATATTTTCAACATCTCCATATGCTTCACCCTACCTTTGACATTGAGAACTGAAGAGGTGTGGTCATCTCCAGTGTCACAGTCATATTTCCCTGCATCTCCAGGTTCCACATCATGAATGATGAGCTTCGCTATTTTTCCTTCCTGCTTTATTTCATATTTATCGCTGGGATGGAGTAAAGTGGAGTCCTTTTTCCAAGCGACTTCCACAGCAGGTTTGGAAAGCTGACAAGTAAGAGTGGCACTTCCAAACTCATCGGCTTCCTGGTCCACCAGGCCTTCTGATATTTTAACAGGGGCTTCTGTTGGAATACATTTGAAAAGTAAAGAGTTTAATTATTTCAAAATGAAACTTCACGTATTTGTGGTTTGTATACGGATGAAAAAATATATCCATGTTTACCTTTGACTTTGAGAACTGCACAAGTGTGGTCATCTCCAGTGTCACAACCATATTCCCCTGCATCTCCAGGTTCCACATCATGAATGATGAGTATCGCTATTTTTCCTTCCTGCTTTATCTCATATTTATCGCTGGGATGGAGTAAAGTGGAGTCCTTTTTCCACACGACTTCCACAGCCGGTTTGGAAAGCTGACAAGTAAGAGTGGCACTTCCAAACTCATTAGCTTCCTGATCTTCTAGGTGTTCTTTAATAAGTACTGGAGCTTCTGTAGGTCAGATATCACCTCGTAAATATCCTCATTCCAAATAATAGCTACCAAATCAAAGTCACTTGGGAATTCCCAAGGAGTTCCATTCTGAAATATTTCTATCATTTCGTTAAAGTAAACCAAAATAATATATCTAGCAACCTGTTAGGTTTTCTAAACATTTACAGTGGTTTAAAAATTAATATACAGCGTAAAAGTATGAATGGGTATTAATGGATGTATACATTGCTTACAAACGAATACAATCATATAGTAATTATACGCATGGAACGCTGATGCGTTAATGTTCAAAAAGACAATTCATGAAAATGGGTAATTTTATATTTTCAACATCTCCATACGCTTCACCTTACCTTTGACATTGAGAACTGCAGAGGTGTGGTCATCTCCAGTGTCACAGTCATATTTCCCTGCATCTCCAAGTTCCACATCATGAATGATGAGCTTCGCTATTTTTCCTTCCTGCTTTATCTCATATTTATCGCTGGGCTGGAGTAGATTCGAGTCCTTTTTCCACACGACTTCCACAGCAGGTTTGGAAAGCTGACAAGTAAGAGTGGCACTTCCAAACTCATCGGCTTCCTGGTCCACCAGGCCTTCTGATATTTTAACAGGGGCTTCTGTTGGTATACATTTGAAAAGTAAAGAGTTTAATTATTTCAATATGAAACTTCACGTATTTGTGGTTTGTATATGGATGAAAAAATATATCCATGTTTACCTTTGACTTTGAGAACTGCACAAGTGTGGTCATCTCCAGTGTCACAACCATATTCCCCTGCATCTCCAGGTTCCACATCATGAATGATGAGTGTCGCTATTTTTCCTTCCTGCTTTATCTCATATTTATCGCTGGGATGGAGTAAAGTGGAGTCCTTTTTCCACACGACTTCCACAGCCGGTTTGGAAAGCTGACAAGTAAGAGTGGCACTTCCAAACTCATTAGCTTCCTGATCTTCTAGGTGTTCTTTAATAAGTACTGGAGCTTCTGTAGGTCAGATATCACCTCGTAAATATCCTCATTCCAAATAATAGCTACCAAATCAAAGTCACTTGGGAATTCCTAAGGAGTTCCATTCTGAAATATTTCTATCATTTCGTTAAAGTAAACCAAAATAATATATCTAGCAACCTGTTAGGTTTTCTAAACATTTACAGTGGTTTAAAAATTAATATACAGCGTAAAAGTATGAATGGGTATTAATGGATGTATAGCATTGCTTACAAACGAATACAATCATATAGTAATTATACGCATGGAACGCTGATGCGTTAATGTTCAAAAAGACAATTCATGAAAATGGGTAATTTTATATTTTCAACATCTCCATACGCTTCACCTTACCTTTGACATTGAGAACTGCAGAGGTGTGGTCATCTCCAGTGTCACAGTCATATTTCCCTGCATCTCCAAGTTCCACATCATGAATGATGAGCTTCGCTATTTTTCCTTCCTGCTTTATCTCATATTTATCGCTGGGCTGGAGTAGATTCGAGTCCTTTTTCCACACGACTTCCACAGCAGGTTTGGAAAGCTGACAAGTAAGAGTGGCACTTCCAAACTCATCGGCTTCCTGGTCCACCAGGCCTTCTGATATTTTAACAGGGGCTTCTGTTGGAATACATTTGAAAAGTAAAGAGTTTAATTATTTCAAAATGAAACTTCACGTATTTGTGGTTTGTATACGGATGAAAAAATATATCCATGTTTACCTTTGACTTTGAGAACTGCACAAGTGTGGTCATCTCCAGTGTCACAACCATATTCCCCTGCATCTCCAGGTTCCACATCATGAATGATGAGTATCGCTATTTTTCCTTCCTGCTTTATCTCATATTTATCGCTGGGATGGAGTAAAGTGGAGTCCTTTTTCCACACGACTTCCACAGCCGGTTTGGAAAGCTGACAAGTAAGAGTGGCACTTCCAAACTCATTAGCTTCCTGATCTTCTAGGTGTTCTTTAATAAGTACTGGAGCTTCTGTAGGTCAGATATCACCTCGTAAATATCCTCATTCCAAATAATAGCTACCAAATCAAAGTCACTTGGGAATTCCCAAGGAGTTCCATTCTGAAGTATTTCTATCATTTCGTTAAAGTAAACCAAAATAATATATCTAGCAACCTGTTAGGTTTTCTAAACATTTACAGTGGTTTAAAAATTAATATACAGCGTAAAAGTATGAATGGGTATTAATGGATGTATACATTGCTTACAAACGAATACAATCATATAGTAATTATACGCATGGAACGCTGATGCGTTAATGTTCAAAAAGACAATTCATGAAAATGGGTAATTTTATATTTTCAACATCTCCATACGCTTCACCTTACCTTTGACATTGAGAACTGCAGAGGTGTGGTCATCTCCAGTGTCACAGTCATATTTCCCTGCATCTCCAAGTTCCACATCATGAATGATGAGCTTCGCTATTTTTCCTTCCTGCTTTATCTCATATTTATCGCTGGGCTGGAGTAGATTCGAGTCCTTTTTCCACACGACTTCCACAGCAGGTTTGGAAAGCTGACAAGTAAGAGTGGCACTTCCAAACTCATCGGCTTCCTGGTCCACCAGGCCTTCTGATATTTTAACAGGGGCTTCTGTTGGTATACATTTGAAAAGTAAAGAGTTTAATTATTTCAATATGAAACTTCACGTATTTGTGGTTTGTATATGGATGAAAAAATATATCCATGTTTACCTTTGACTTTGAGAACTGCACAAGTGTGGTCATCTCCAGTGTCACAACCATATTCCCCTGCATCTCCAGGTTCCACATCATGAATGATGAGTGTCGCTATTTTTCCTTCCTGCTTTATCTCATATTTATCGCTGGGATGGAGTAAAGTGGAGTCCTTTTTCCACACGACTTCCACAGCCGGTTTGGAAAGCTGACAAGTAAGAGTGGCACTTCCAAACTCATTAGCTTCCTGATCTTCTAGGTGTTCTTTAATAAGTACTGGAGCTTCTGTAGGTCAGATATCACCTCGTAAATATCCTCATTCCAAATAATAGCTACCAAATCAAAGTCACTTGGGAATTCCTAAGGAGTTCCATTCTGAAATATTTCTATCATTTCGTTAAAGTAAACCAAAATAATATATCTAGCAACCTGTTAGGTTTTCTAAACATTTACAGTGGTTTAAAAATTAATATACAGCGTAAAAGTATGAATGGGTATTAATGGATGTATACATTGCTTACAAACGAATACAATCATATAGTAATTATACGCATGGAACGCTGATGCGTTAATGTTCAAAAAGACAATTCATGAAAATGGGTAATTTTATATTTTCAACATCTCCATACGCTTCACCTTACCTTTGACATTGAGAACTGCAGAGGTGTGGTCATCTCCAGTGTCACAGTCATATTTCCCTGCATCTCCAAGTTCCACATCATGAATGATGAGCTTCGCTATTTTTCCTTCCTGCTTTATCTCATATTTATCGCTGGGCTGGAGTAGATTCGAGTCCTTTTTCCACACGACTTCCACAGCAGGTTTGGAAAGCTGACAAGTAAGAGTGGCACTTCCAAACTCATCGGCTTCCTGGTCCACCAGGCCTTCTGATATTTTAACAGGGGCTTCTGTTGGTATACATTTGAAAAGTAAAGAGTTTAATTATTTCAAAATGACACTTCACGTATTTGTGGTTTGTATATGGATGAAAAAATATATCCATGTTTACCTTTGACTTTGAGAACTGCACAAGTGTGGTCATCTCCAGTGTCACAACCATATCCCCCTGCATCTCCAGGGTCCACATCATGAATGATGAGGGTCGCTATTTTTCCTTCCTGCTTTATCTCATATTTATCGCTGGGATGGAGTAAAGTGGAGTCCTTTTTCCACACGACTTCCACAGCAGTTTTGGAAAGCTGACAAGTAAGAGTGGCACTTCCAAGCTCATTAGCTTCCTGATCTTCTAGGTGTTCTTTAATAAGTACTGGAGCTTCTGTAGGTCAGATATCACCTTGTAAATATCCTAATTCCAAATAATAGCTACCAAATCAAAGTCACTTGGGAATTCCCAAGGGGTTCCATTCCGAAATATTTCTATCATTTCGTTGAAGTAAACAAAAATAATATCGAGTACCCTTTTAGGTTTTCTAAACATTTACAGTGGAATAAAAATGTACATACAGCGTAAAAGTATGATTGGGTGTTAATGGATGTATACATTGCTTACAAACGAATACAATCATATAGTAATTATACGAATGGAACGCTGATGTGTTAATGTTCAAAAAGACAATTCATGAAAATGGGTAATTTTATATTTTCAACATCTCCATTCGCTTCACCTTACCTTTGACATTGAGAACTGCAGAGGTGTGGTCATCTCTAGTGTCACAGTCATATTTCCCTGCATCTCCAGGTTCCACATCATGAATGATGAGCTTCGCTATTTTTCCTTCCTGCTTTATCTCATATTTAACGCTGGGATGGAGTAAAGTGGAGTCCTTTTTCCACACGACTTCCACAGCAGGTTTGGAAAGCTGACAAGTAAGAGTGGCACTTCCAAACTCATCGGCTTCCTGGTCCACCAAGCCTTCTGATATTTTAACAGGGGCTTCTGTTGGTATACATTTGAAAAGTAAATTGTTTAATTATTTCAAAATGAAATATCACGTATTTGTGGTTTGTATATGGATGAAAAAATATATCCATGTTTACCTTTGACTTTGAGAACTGCACAAGTGTGGTCATCTCCAGTGTCACAACCATATCCCCCTGCATCTCCAGGTTCCACATCATGAATGATGAGCTTCGCTATTTTTCCTTCCTGCTTTATCTCATATTTATCGCTGGGCTGGAGTAAAGTGGAGTCCTTTTTCCAAGCGACTTCCACAGCAGGTTTGGAAAGCTGACAAGTAAGAGTGGTACTTCCAAACTCATCGGCTTCCTGGTCCACCAAGCCTTCTGATATTTTAACAGGGGCTTCTGTTGGTATACATTGGAAAAGTAAAGTGTTTAATTATTTCAAAATGAAACTTCACGTATTTGTGGTTTGTATATGGATAAAAAAAATATATCCATGTTTACCTTTGACTTTGAGAACTGCACAAGTGTGGTCATCTCTAGTGTCACAACCATATTCCCCTGCATCTCCAGGTTCCACATCATGAATGATGAGCTTCGCTATTTTGCCTTCCTGCTTTATCTCATATTTATCACTGGGATGGAGTAAAGTGGAGTCCTTTTTCCAAATCACTTCCACAGCCGGTTTGGAAAGCTGACAAGTAAGAGTGGCACTTCCAAACTCATCAGCTTCCTGATCTTCTAGGTGTTCTTTAATAAGTACTGGAGCTTCTGTAGGTCAGATATCACCTCGTAAATATCCCCATTCCAAATAATAGCTACCAAATCAAAGTCACTTTGGAATTCCCATGGGTTTCCATTCCGAAATATTTCTATCATTTCGTTGAAGTAAACCAAAATAATATTGAGTAACCTATTAGGTTTTCTAAACATTAACAGTGGAATAAAGCTGTATATACAGCATAACAGTATGATGGGTATTAATGGATGGATACATTGTTTACAAACGAATACAATCATATAGTAATAATATGCATGGAACGATGATGCGTTAATGTTCAAAAAGACAATTCATGAAAATGGGTAATTTTATATTTTCAACATCTCCATTCGCTTCACATTACCTTTGACATTGACAACTGCACTGGTGTGGTCATCTCCAGTGTCACAGTCATATTTCCCTGCATCTCCAGGTTCCACATCATGAATGATGAGCGTCGCTATTTTTCCTTCCTGCTTTATCTCAGATTTGTCGCTCGGATGGAGTAACGTGGAGTCCTTTTTCCAAACGACTTCCACAGCCGGTTTGGAAAGCTGACAAGTAAGAGTGGCACTTCCAAACTCATTAGCTTCCTGATCTTCTAGGTGTTCTTTAATAAGTACTGGAGCTTCTGTAGGTCAGATATCACCTCGTAAATATCCTCATTCCAAATAATAGCTCCCAAATCAAAGTCACTTGGGAATTCCCATGGGGTTCCATTCCGAAATATTTCTATCATTTCGTTGAAGAAAACCAAAATAATATCGAGTACCCTGTTAGGTTTTCTAAACATTTACAGTGGACTAAAAATGTATATAAAGCGTAAAAGTATGATTGGGTATTAATGGATGTATACATTGCTTACAAACGAATACAATCATATAGTAATAATATGTATGGAACGATGATGCATTAATGTTCAAAAAGACAATTCATGAAAATGGGTAATTTTATATTTTCTACATCTCCATTCGCTTCACATTACCTTTGACTTTGAGAACTGCACAAGTGTGGTCATCTCCAGTGTCACAGTCATATTTCCCTGCATCTCCAGGTTCCACATCATGAATGATGAGCTTCGCTATTTTTCCTTCCTGCTTTATCTCATATTTATCGCTGGGATGGAGTAAAGTGGAGTCCTTTTTCCACACAACTTCCACAGCAGGTTTGGAAAGCTGACAAGTAAGAGTGGCACTTCCAAACTCATCGGCTTCTTGGTCCACCAGGCCTTCAGACATTTTAACAGGGGCTTCTGTTGGTATACATTTGAAAAGTAAATTGTTTATTATTTGAAAATGAGACTTCACGTATTTGTGGTTTGTATATGGATGAAATAATATATCCATATTTACCTTTGACTTTGAGAACTGCACAAGTGTGGTCATCTCTAGTGTCACAACCATATTCCCCTGCATCTCCAGGCTCCACATCATGAATGATGAGCTTCGCTATTTTTCCTTCCTGCTTTATCTTATATTTATCGCTGGGATGGAGTAAAGTGGAGTCCTTTTTCCAAACGACTTCCACGGCCGGTTTGGAAAGCTGACAAGTAAGAGTGGCACTTCCAAACTCATTAGCTTCCTGATCTTCTAGGTGTTCTTTAATAAGTACTGGAGCTTCTGTACATCAGATATCACCTCGTAAATATCCTCATTCCAAATAATAGCTACCAAATCAAAGTCACTTGGGAATTCCCATGGGGTTCCATTCCGAAATATTTCTATCATTTCGTTGAAATAAACCAAAATAATATCGAGTAACCTGTTATGTTTTCTAAATATTTACAGTGGAATCAAAATGTATATACAGCGTAAAAGTATGAATGGGTATTAATGGATGGATACATTGTTTACCATCGAATACAATCATATAGTAAAAATACGCATGGAACGATGATGCGTTAATGTTCAAAAAGACAATTCATGAAAATGGGTAATTTTATATTTTCAACATCTCCATTCGCTTCACATTACCTTTGACATTGAGAACTGCACTGGTGTGGTCATCTCCAGTGTCACAGTGATATTTCCCTGCATCTCCAGGTTCCACATCATGAATGATGAGCTTCGCTATTTTTCCTTCCTGCTTTATCTCATATTTATCGCTGGGATGGAGTAAAGTGGAGTCCTTTTTCCAAGCGACTTCCACAGCAGGTTTGGAAAGCTGACAAGTAAGAGTGGCACTTCCAAACTCATGAGCTTCCTGATCTTCTAGGTGTTCTTTCATAAGTACTGGAGCTTCTGTAGGTCAGATATCTCCTCGTAAATATCCTGATTACAAATAATAGCTACTAAATGAAAGTCACTGGGAATACCCATGGGGTTTCATTCTGAAATATTTATATCACTTCGTTGAAGTAAACCAAAATAATATCTACCAACCTGTTAGGTTTTCTAAACATTTACAGTGGAATAAAAATTTAATATACAGTGTAAAAGTATGAATGGGTATTAATGGATGGACACATTGCTTACAAACGAATACAATCATATAGTAATTACGCGCATGGAATGCTGATGCGTTAATGGTCAAAAAGACAATTCATGAAAATCGGTCATTTTATATTTTCAACATTCCATATGCTTAACCTTACCTTTGACTTTGAGAACTGCACAAGTGTGGTCATCTCCAGTGTCACAGTCATATTTCCCTGCATCTCCAGGTTCCACATCATGAACGATGAGCTTCGCTATTTTTCCTTCCTGCTTTATCTCATATTTATCGCTGGGCTGGAGTAAAGTGGAGTCCTTTTTCCAAGCGACTTCCACAGCCGGTTTGGAAAGCTGACAAGTAAGAGTGGCACTTCCAAACTCATCAGCTTCCTGATCTTTTACGTGTTCTTTAATAAGTACTGGAGCTTCTGTAGGTCAGATATCACATTGTAAATATCCTGATTACAAATAATAGCTATTAACTTAAAGTCTTGATTTGAAGCTTTCGTGATAGCAGGAATCCATACTCTTTGGTTCTTTCGGTAAAGTCACGTAGGTATAAAATAAAATAAATCACGACGTTTCGATCGCAACACAAGCGGTCCTCCTCAGGTGGAAAAAATATAATCCAGCAGTGGAACTGCTGAACCAGCGAGAGAGCTGTTACAACAAGGAGGTTATATATGTGGCGTTGGGCAAGCAAGCGGGGTCTGAGCTGGAAAGTAATTCCATTCACGGACCCAAGCACGTCAGTTGTGTTAATGGGGGAGATTAGGGAGAGAGAGATTAGGGAGGGAGATTAGCATGAATGAGCTTCCTTCACCGCATAAGAGTATAATGCCCGCATATGCACACAACAGCAGTGTTAATGAGACATTAGCACCATGAGAATGCAATCCAAAGGACGTGAACATGAGAGTGCAATCCAAAGGACATGTGAGCATGAGAGTGGAATCCAAAAGACATGTGAGCACGAGAGGTGCAATCCAAAGGACACGTGAGCATGAGAGTGCAATCCAAAGGACATCTGAGCATAAGAGTGCAATCCAAATGACATGTGAGCATGAGAGTACAATCCAAAGAAACGTCGTGATTTATTTTATTTTATACCTACGTGACTTCACCGAAAGAACCAAAGAGTATAAATTAAAGTCACTGGGAATACCCATGGGGTTCCATTCTGAAAGATTTATATCATTTCGTTGAAGTTAACCAAAATAATATCCAGCAACCTGTTAGGTTTTCGAAAAATGTACAGTGGAATCAAAATTAATATACAGCGTAAAAGTATGAAGGGATATTAATGGATGGATACATTGTTTACAAACTAATACAATCATATATTAATTATACGCATGGAACGCTGATGCGTGAATGTTCACAAACGACAATTCATTAAAATGGGTAATTTTATATTTTCAACATCTCCATTCGCTTCACCTTACCTTTGACACTGAGAACTGCAGAGGTGTGGTCATCTCCAGTGTCACAGTCATATTTCCCTGCATCTCCAGGTTCCACATCATGAATGATGAGCTTCGCTATTTTTCCTTCCTGCTTTATCTCATATTTATCGCTTGGCTGGAGTAAAGTGGAGTCCTTTTTCCAAGCGACTTCCACAGCAGGTTTGGAAAGCTGACAAGTAAGAGTGGCACTTCCAAACTCATCGGCTTCCTGGTCCACCAGGCCTTCCTTGATCAGGACCGGGGCTTCTGTTGATAAAGTTGTAACCAAGCTGAACAAAATATTGTAATACAAGCCTCATCAAAACCTTGCATATATAACCGTTATTGTATATGTAAACACACACATGATAAAAAAAAAAATATATTGAAAAAATCTATCCTCTCTCGTGTTGGGACTGTGTCCTGCGTACGAGCTTTGACTATATGCCTACTTTAACACGTACGTTTCCAGCACGTTAGCACACATTTTCACAATGGGTGTAACAAATCTGGATGGTCTGTTGCTCGGTCTTCTTCCTCTGATTTCTTTCGCCTTGTTGTGGTGTGCAGTGTGTGCGCACGTGGGTTGAATTCTCGATACTCTTTCAGTCTCTGTATTTGATAGATGTAAATAACACATCATTATCTTTTCCCCCTTTCATGTGAGCACTGCTGAGGTCTTGTCATCTCCAGTGTCACATCCATACTCTCCTGCATCACCAGGGTTCAACTTGTGGATTGCAAGCGTCGCCAAAAACCCCTCTCGGCTGATGGAATATTTTGGACCGGGGAAAATAATGCAACTGCCCTTCCTCCAATCAACGTTTCCCAACAGCTTTGAAAGCTGAGAGCTGAGAATAGACCTTCTGGTCTTCCAGGGCAGTACATACCCACACCGGCACTTCTGTCGTCAAACTACAATTTTAAATTACATTTCATAACATTGAATGCTTTCGAATATTGTCTAACTTCACACTATTATGGTTACCGAAGTGCTAGAGATCACGTTAAAATTGGCCTAATTGGGCTTCCAAGGTGCCTGCCCAGCGTGGACGAGTAGACCAACGTGCTCCCTAGAGGCTCTCCCTAGAGCTCTCTCCAGTGGAGATCCTTCTGTGCAGCAGTGGCGTGTGCGAGCATTTGCAGGGCTGCACCTTTATCTTTGCGCTTCACCTCTCAATTTTGGCTTCCACTATTCTAACTCGCAGCGCATTCAAGAACTGCCAAAATTCGTGCAATAAACTGCGCTGCGTCTCTGGCCAGGGCCATTACCTTTGATGGTGAGCCTCGCTGACGAGGAGATAGTCCTGGCCACAAATCTGACGTCGCCACTCTCCTCTGGTATGAGGTTCTTGAGGAGCAGGGTGTTGCTCCTCCCCCTGCAACCGATCTCTGCCCGTCCTCCTGGCAGCAGCTCCGAGCCGTTGAGCAGCCAGCGGCAGCCGTCGATGGCCTCGTGCGAGAGCTCGCACACGAACAGGGCGCTCTCCTCCTCCATCACCTCTTGGCTTTCCAACTCCCTGGTTATCGTCAGCTTCAATTCTATGAAGACAAAAAAACGCATACAAGACCCTGAATCGATTTTAATGATAGCGCAAGCGCTCTGAGTAATGAAATGACGTTGCTGTTCATTATAAGGCAAAGGTCAGTGCTTTTCGGTGGTGATTAAGTTGAGTACTAATGAGTTGCATTCACCGTATTCAATGCCACTTACATTGATGACACATTGTACAGTGAGGTCGTGATGTGACTTGGATACGAATTCTCGCTCGAGATCCAAAGTGGTCCAAAAGACACAAGTAGCTCATGAACTGCACCTCGATGAGCACAGTTGGCTATGTACGGTGGGAAAGAAGTTCAATATACATACAACACAAATTCCCATATGATAATGCAGATCGTGATGTGACACATCGAGAATAATGATGGAGTGGCAGCCACTGGGGAGATGGAGCGATGAAATTGGCTGGAAGACCGCATCGCGAAAGACGGCGGCAGCGTGGGGAGGCCTTCATCCAGCAGTGGATTGACCACGGCAGACAACGACGATCACAATATCGGACGCGGCGCAATCCCCGTAACGCTCTGACCGCACCTTGCACGCGCAGGGTCGCGGTCGTGCTGGCGTCCCCCGCGCGGCACGAGTAGGAGCCCGCATCCTCGCAGCGCAGGGCGCGCACCAGCAGGCACAACGAGCGCCCGGCGTGCACCACCTCGTACTTGTCGGACGACACGAGCGGCCGGGAGAAGCGACCTCCGCGCCACTCCACGCCGACGCCAGGCGGCGCGTCGCGTGACAGCGAGCACCGCAGCTCCGCCGTGCCCTGCTCTTCCCCAAGCACGTCCTGCAGTTCTTGCTCGAATGCCAAGGGTTCCTCTGCAGGCGGGGGGGGGAGGTGTTGACAGTAAATAGATTCGTTAGCATGGCCCGAGGTGCGGATTTTTATTTTGAACATGCAATGGGACACTCGGCTAGCCGACCACACGTGTTACGGCGTGAGATATCCTACCCGGTGCCTGCCAAAAGATGGCAGATGCCGCTCGCAACTTCATTCCGTCCTGTACGTTGACCGACTTACTGGTGACTGCAGTGCATCTGCTGACGATACGCATTAACCATAGCGTCCACGTGGAACACTAAGAGTGTTTTTTCAGCCCAAACCTCATGGACGGTGATTTTCATGGACATAGACCCGTGTTGGGTTGCCATCTCTCCCAGAATGATAAAAGTGCCGTTTTTTTCAGTTCAAAAACACCAACCAAGGAAATGTATTTACGTCACGTTCTCCCCTCTTCCGGGATCGTGAGATCTTCTTCTTCTCCTCATGATATCTTAGCAGCTGTTTTTGTAACTCAGAGGTCGCAACCTTTAGACCCGGGGCAGCCGCGTCCACAGCGCTCCGATCCAACTGAAAGCTCACCCTTCACGTGCAACTGGGCCGTCTGTTCGACGCCCTCTGCCCGGAAGGTGATGGTGCCAGCGTCCTCCGTCGTGAGGTTGCTCAGCTTGAGCGCGTGGCAGCGCCCGTCCCGCGAGATCTCCGTGGCCTCGCCCGGCACGAGCTGCACGTCGTTCAGGAGCCACTCAGCGTCGTCCGCGTCACCGCGGGAGAGCTCACAGCGGAACACCGCGGTGCCCTTCTCCTCCGCGTCAACATCTCCCATGGCCCGGGTCACTCGCACGTCGCGCCCTGATTCGCGGGGAAACAGAGGGCATCTCCTGTAAACCTCGTGGCCGCACAGCGAGGCGGCGGGTTCCGTTACCTCTCTCGGTATTCGCGAGGAGGGAGACGTTCTAGAGATGCGCGTGAATCGGAAATTTCGCGGATAATGAATTACCTTAAATGAATAAGTTATTAAATACATGAAAATTATCATCACACCATTTTTTTGTATTGCTTATAATAAATATAAAGTAAATAAAAATGAATATTAAAGTATTCAATAATTATTTATCAATGAACTTACCTCATCCCACCGCTTTATCTCATCACTTTATCTCATCACTTAAACTCGCATCACTTTCTCGCATCACATTCTCTCTCATCGCTTTATGTCATCACTCTCTCTCGATGCAGCCGTGCATCGGGTCCCAGGTTACGAATTCGCGGATCGCCACAAATCGCGGGTGGCAAGTTCGCGAACGATGAGGGAGCACCGCGCTCCACGAACGCCTGCGGGCACGACACGCGCGGGCGGCCCGGTGCCCCACCTCGCACGGTTAGGACGGCGGCGGTGCTGGTCCCGCCGGCCCGGCACGAATACTCCCCCGCGTCGTCTTGGTGCACTCGGCGGATCGTGAGGCACGCTCTGCCGGCCTCCTGCACCATGTGATGCTTGCTCGAGGGGTTCAGGGCAACGCGGCCGTGGAACCAGGTGACGGAGGGGAGCGGGGCGGTGTTGGCTCGATGGAACGCGCAGGAGATCGTCACGTCTTCTCTTTCCGTCACTTCCGTGTCCGCAAGTCCGCTCGACACCTCCAAAGGTGCCTCTGCGGGGTCACAAAAGATTGGAGAACTGATGAACAAAAACCATCGCTGAAATATTGTTAACATTGCCTGTATGTACAAATATACAGTATGATATGAATACGTTCATTATAAGATTGTACAATCTACCTCAATGGAACCAATAAAACTCGATTTAACGATCAACCTCTTTTTTTAACTTGAACAACAACAAAAAACGCCGCTTATACCACACCGCGTTCGTTCAATTTCAAACTCATACGGAATGATCACCATGGCCAATTTTGACAATAATAAGGAAAAGGCATGAAGCCAAGCGGCGCGTGGAGGTCAAGCGGCGTGTGCGGACCGCGCCTGCACGGCCGCCCCTGCCGGCGACGGTGTCCGTACCGTGTACCGTGAGCACCGCGGCCGTCGATGCCTTCCCGGCGCGGAAGGTGACGGTGCCGGACATGGAGGGGCACGCGACGGGGATGACGACGCGGTGCACGCGGCCGTCCCGCTCCACCGTGGCGAGCCCCGGGAACGCCGCGCTCAGCTCCACGCCGTTCAGCGTCCACCGCGCCGCCTTCACCCGCTCGGCCGATACCTCGCACTCGAGCGTAACGCCCCCCGGCTCGGTCGCCTCCACGTCGTGCAGCGGCCGCACCACGCGGATCTCGGGCTCTGCTCGTCACGCGCCACACCAGGCCGGAGAATTAGCGGCTCGGCGATGAGGGGAGAGACATGCTGGGCAATAATAACGGCGAGCATCCAGTTGAGTCCATTCGACCCTCCTCACCATGAATCAATCAGCTAGGAAGGACGTGCATTTTTTAAGCACAATAGCCTTGGTCATTTATTTCCTGCACCTCCAATCAGCACGGTTGGCTACTTAAGGTGTGGAAGAAGTTCAACATACATATCCTTTGGTGCTCTACAATGCACCTAACTTTTAAAAACACCGACACGGATAACAAGAGTGGTGTTTTTGACGATTTCGACGATAGAGGCACAACACCGTCGCGACATATTCACTGATGCATCATGTGTCCGCATTCTAAGTCTACACAGACAGCCATTTTGTCAATCCACTGCTCGGCGAGGGCCTCTACACCGCGTGGATCGTGGCGTTTATTTGACCATACTTCACCACACTGGTCAGCGTGGGTCGGTGAAATCAAAGAGCACAGACGCAGAGTACAACAATGGGTGTTGCCGCGCCGCAACGTTAGCCCCTGCGTGTCAACAGAACGACGCTTGGTCCGCGCATCGACAAGCGCTGACGAAGCCTCGGCCTATTACCCTCGACGAGGAGGCTCGCCGAAGTCCTGTCGTCCGCGGCGTCGCACGTGTAGCGGCCTTCGTCGGAGAAGCGAGAGTCTTGCACGACGAGCCGCCGGTAGCAGCCGTCGGCGACCGCCCGGACGCGAGGCGCCTCGTCTCCCGCCTCGTCTCCCGTGTCCCCATCGTCGAGAATCAGCTCCTCGTCACCGCGCAACCACCGCACGGCGGCGCTCGCGCGGGACACCTGGCACTCCAGCACCACTCGGTGGCCCTCCATGGCGACCTTTTCCCGGAGGCCTTTCACGAACCGCACCGGCAGCTCTGCGTGGAACGACCGGGACACGGGGGAGTTTGTAGCACGGCCCGATAATGTATGTGTATGTATGTATGTTGAACTTCTTTCGCACCATTTGTAGCCAACCGTGCTAATCGGAGGTGTGGGAAAGATTTCTGCTTCGATTATATTTGTTAAAGTGAAGTTACCTTTTACTTTCAACGTCGCCGTGGACGCTGCATTCTCTGCGGTGAATGTTATGTCTCCTGCGTCGTCTGTCGTCACGTTACTCAGCAGAAGCGTGTAAGTTCTCGCTGCCAAAACAAATCACGCCTCACTTTGTGCAACATTCAACAAATGCACTTCGTGCAAAACAAACTTGTGCCCACATCCAGTGAATTAAAATTAAAAAAATAAAATCAATTACCGAGGAAGCAAACCGGGGCGTCTCGTACGTTTCACGCTGCGTTACCTTCCCGACGCATCTTGATCCGTGGATCGGCACGGAAAGGCTTTCCATCTCGGAGCCAGCAGCCGTCCACCTCGTCGTGCGAAACCTCGCACGTGAAGGCGGCGTCCTCCTTCTCGCGCACCTCCACGCTCGCCAGCGGACGCACGAACTGCACGTCGCGCGCTGCGGCGCGAGAGAGGGCGCGCGTCAGGGGACAAACGACCCGGCGGAACGACGCCCCGCGGGAACCCGCGCTCGTGCTCGACCTCGCTCGTGGCATTACCGTGGACCGCGAGAGTGGCGGCGGTGACTTGGTCGCCGGCCCGGCATGCGTACGAGCCGCTGTCTCCGATCTCGGCGCGTGGCACCACGAGGCTGCGCTTGCGGCCCTGTGCAAGGATGCGGTGCCTCTTGCCGGGCTTCAGCTCCGCGTCGTCCTGGACACACGCAGACGTCCATTTGATAACTAATGGACATCACCGTGATTGTGTGGGGACGAACCGGAACGTGACTTTTGCGGTCGCCAATGTAAAAAAAAACCACGCCGTCCTTCGGTGGCTCTGCCTTTGCAATGTAGAGAATCCAAAAGTTACGTTCTAAGTTTAGGCTGACGCGCGACACCGCTTTACCTTGAACCATTTGACCTCGGCATTGGCCTTGGAGACTTCGCACTCCAAACTGGCGCTGCTCTTCTCCGGACAGCGCACGTCGAGCAGCTGCCTGGTGAACGTCACCGCGGGTTCTGCATACCGCGCATTCGCGCCGTCGGGGCGAGGGTAGGGGGGCATTCCGCGGCGCTAAGTCATCGGCGCTAATTCGCCCTTCGCGCTGCAAAAAAAATCCACGTCGTACGAACCCCGCTACCGTCGTCAGGGACGTCGTGGTGAGGTGTTGACTGCCTCGCCTGGTATACAGGAGGTCGTGGGCTCGATCTGTACCCTGACGCCTGCTGCTGTATATTTGGAGTTTGCGAGTCTCTTTCTCCACGGTCGTGTGGATTTTTCTCAGGGTCCTCCACTTTTTCCCTCCACATTTAGAATCAACATCACGCGTTTAAGATTATTCGGCCACCATAAATTTCCACGTAAACCACTGCGGGAGATCTATATAGTTAAAGTGGGGCCTCACCTGATAAAATAAAAAATAGCTCGTCGTTTTAGTTTATAGTCTCACCCGTGACGGTGAGCCTGGCCGAGGAGCGGATCCCCTCCGCCTCGAAGGCGACGATGCCGGAGTCGTCGAGGCGCAGCGCCGACAGCGTGAGGGTGTGAGTCTTGCCGGCGACGGCCGGGCGGCACCGGGCGCTCGGCTTGAGCTCGGTGCGATCGCGCCACCAGCGCGCCGCCACGTCGGCGTGCGACAGCTCCAGCTGGAAGGTGGCGGCCTCCGTGGCCGTCGCCGTCGCCGGCTCCAGGCCCCGCACGATCCGCACATCACGGGCTGAGCCGGCAGAGGAGCACGAGGTTATTATTATTATTACTGTTCACAGTAAACATTTTCAGCACTCAAATCCACTGCTGAATCACGGCATCCCTACTTTGTCGGTCATGGGGGTTGTTAGGCCATCCTTCACCATGACTGATTGAGAAATCACTCGCCACTGATATCAGTCGCGGCTGGGAATCTAACTCAGGCAGCCGGATTCATAGCGCAGTGCGCTAACCACTGTGCCACAGCACACCCACAATATTATTTTTAAAAACCTCACTCACATCACACATCATTTACAGTCCACGCAGTTGTTAACATAGCTTACAACTAATTATAATTACAACATTTGACTGCAATGGTGCTTTTTAAGAGAGGCTATTGAAAGGCATTGAATGTCCAAAAAGTATCACACTTAAAATCTAAAACCGCTAATATTTTAACCCAAATCATAACCATACGGCATACATTTTTAACTGCAACAATATCGGCGTAAACACACACACACACCGCCAAATGAATCTGGGGATTCTCAAAATCCGAACGCGCAGGGGACTCTCGACAGAGCGACAGCGCGGGGGGCGCTCGCTGGCACGGGCGGCCCGCCGCAGTGGCACTCACGTTCCACGCGCAGCCTGGCCTGGCTCTTGTCGTGCAGCGTCTCGCAGGAGTAGAGGCCGCCGTCGGCCGCGCGGACGCCCGCGATGAGGAGGGAGCGGCGGGGCCCCTGGGCGTCGAGGCGCACGCGCTCGTCCGCGTTGAGCACCACGCCGTTGCGCATCCAGCGCACCTCGGCCTCGGCGGAGGAGACCTCCACCTCCAGCGCCGCGTCGGCTCTCTCCTCCACCACGAGCGGCTCCAGCCCGCGCACAAACCGCACCGTCGCCTCTGCGCGTGCACGTGGTGTGTGTGTGTGTGTAGTGCGGTGTGTGGTGTGTAGTGTGTGGTGTGTGCAGTGTGTGTGGTGTGCATGTGTGGCGTGCACGTGTGTGTATGTGGGGTGTGTGTGGTGTGTAGCATGTGTGGTATATGTGTAGTGTGTGTGTGTGCGTGTGCGGATACACGTACGAATAAGCTAATTTAAGCCACAATCTGGGCAACTACACTCTGCATATTACTCAATTTGGCATGGCTGACAGAACCCTTGCGTAGAGTTTTTATCAAAGTGAGGGTCAAGTGAAGTGCCCAGAGCAACTCCAAGCTGGTGGTCCTGAAACCTAATTGCTGTACTGCCTCCTGCCCTGCAGTGTCTCATGCCCACGAAGATTCCATCTCTGCGTTATCACGTTAACACCTAGAAGTAGTAACGACGCATCCAGTCGTTGACGAGGGCCCGTCCGTTGCGTGGGAATGGAGCGATGAAAACTGCTTGCGGTGCAGACGCCAGATGGGCTGTGACATCGCAAGACCCTTAGAGGCGGCGACAGCTTGAGGAGGCCTTGGTCCATCAGTGGATAGATCGTGGCTGATGATGATATCATTCTATGTGGCTGATGATGATGTCATTGTATGTGGCTGATGATGATGTCATTGTATGTGGCTGTTTCAGGTGATCCTGGCTGCCATTAGAGCTTACATCCATTCCAAACTGGTGAAGAAGAATCACGACAACGCACTGCACTCTAACGAGTCATTCACTCTGGGAGGAGGCAGGAAGGGGGTGAATATAACAGGGTGGTGATACAGGGCATGGGCATTAATGGCATTAATATTAATGATGAATTGTGATTGGACGCGGGAGTGAACAGCGTTCGCTGGGGAGGAGCGGCCGGGTAACGAGCGTGGCTCTCAGCGTAGGTGACGGTGAGCGTGGCTCTCAGCGTGGGTGACGGTGAGCGTGGCTCTCAGCGTGGGTGACGGTGAGCGTGGCTCTCAGCGTGGGTGACGGTGAGCGTGGCTCTCAGCGTGGGTGACGGTGAGCGTGGCTCTCAGCGTGGGTGACGGTGAGCGTGGCTCTCAGCGTGGGTGACGGTGAGCGTGGCTCTCAGCGTGGGTGACGGTGAGCGTGGCTCTCAGCATGGGTGACGGTGAGCGTGGCTCTCAGCGTGGGTGACGGTGAGCGTGGCTCTCAGCGTGGGTGACGGTGAGCGTGGCTCTCAGCGTGGGTAACGGTGAGCGTGGCTCTCAGCGTGGGTGACGGTGAGCGTGACTCTCAGCGTGGGTCCCGTGGCTGTCACCGACGATGCCGCCGAGTGGTTTACGAAGCGGCCACATGCCAACACGAGCAGCTGCCCCTCCTATTTTCGTCGCATTACAACTCTGGCAGTAATGCGATGATGAGCATCCAGGCTCAGGGGGACAGGAGGCAGAAGAAGCATCGTCTACAAAGGCGCTTTAACAGGTTCCCCGAGACGGGCGTTAGCTCGGGTGTTCAATCCTCCAGTGGTGAACGCACGCTCACTTCTGTTGCCAAATTTATCGTTGGACGTGAAACCCAAAGTACTCACCGTTGAGTTACGTCTGCAGGGCTCGTACGATAAATGTGTTTTCATTTACGTGCGCAGTGACGGATTTATTCATTAATAAGATTTGTAATGTGCGCAAAAAGGACATTCAGGTGCAAAAAATACAAAAAACGTGTGGTGTCAGATAATGTTTTAGAGAATATCTTTCACACTAAAGCGAAATAATCTCAGTAAAGTTCGATCACATCCTCCGCGAGAAGTAAGACCAAGGTGTCCGTGTGTTGCCTAAACTCGTGATGAATTCCCCTCCCAGGATGCCAAGTTCGATGGCTGTACTCTCTGAGCATTGCACTCTCCGTTGAACTAAAGTGGTCAAATCTCTGCGTTTTAATATTCCCCGTGCCTCGTTAACGGCATGCACGGAGAAGGAGGAAACTCTGGAGGGGCCGACAGTACAAAGGTAGTCACGCAAACAAAGCGACCGTCCCACGAGGTCAAGTGCCGACCTTGAACGTGCAGTCGGGCAGTGGAGCGGACCCTCCCGTCGGCGAGCGCGCAGATCTCTCCGGAGTCGACCAGCTGGAGGGGCCGGAAGGCCACGCTGTGCCAGGGCGGCTCGCTCGAGATGAAGACGCGGGGGCCCGGCCGCAGCGGCGTCGCCCCGCGCAGCCACTCGACGGGGACGTCGGGCGGCGACACGCAGCACTTGAACGTCGCCTCCTCGCCCTCCAGCGCCGTGAGGCTCTTGAGGTCCGTGATGAAGGAGACCGCGCGCGGCGCTGCCGGTCGCGCACGGAGACACCGGCGGCTTGAACCTCGATGACTGTGATAGCACTGAGGTGTTAAAAGAGCTGGCGGAGTAATATGAAAATGTAAAAACTTAATTGAGGGTACCATCAGTTGTGACCTTGATGTCCTCAGGGGGGCGTGAGCTCATCTCCGTCTTGCTCAACTTAGTTGCAATCTCTGGAGAAAAGTAAAACAAAGGAGGGACGATCACACGCGTTCTATTCGCAGGTTAGGAGTGCACGTGCATGCGCTGAAGGGAAGCCGCACGACTCCGCGTCCTACGGATGCCGCACGGATGGCGACGCCAGAATGCGGTGACTGCGGCCATCCAGAATGGACCATGGATCATAGACCGACTCAATGCCCCATTCACAAACACGAAGCAGGAGGCGTCATCACAGCGATGCCCTCCGCTACTCGTGACGTAATAATCTGGATCAACCACCTCGATGTTACATCGCAGTTCTTTCAACATCAGCCACGTGAAGAAGACTTCAGAAACTCGTTCTATTTCTTTAAATCTACTTCATACCTTACTGTACGTGTTATTTTATTGGCAGCCAATGCACCAACCTCAGAAGAGCAACGACAAAATAATTCCGTTTACTCTGCACAGTAAACACGTGGACGTATAATGCACTACAGCGAATATCCTGTGATCCGTGACCCTATTATATGTTATTCCTAATATTTTGTGCATCAAAAAGAACCACGATGCTGTAAGTGCAGATATGTGTTGAGTGGGTGATGAGCCGCACCTTGGACGGTGACGGTGGCGCGGGTAGCCCCGTCGGGCGTCTCACACGAGTACTCTCCGCCGTCCTCCGGCCCCGCGCCAGCGATGGTGAGCGTGCGCGCCGCTCCGTCAGACGCGAAGCGGTGCCTCTTGCCGGGCCGCACCTTCACCCCGTCCTTCTTCCACTCCACGTCGCCCGCCTCCCGGCTCAGCCTGCAGCGCAGCACCAGAGGCTCCCCCGCCGTGCCCCGCACGTCCGTCAGCGGCGTCGAGAACAGCAGCGGGGGCTCTGTGTCCACGGGGGGGAAGGGCGGGGGGAGACGCACGCTCGGCGAGGGGGCAGCGGCGCAAGCAAAGGCGGAGGCGGCGCTCGGCGACGAGTCCCGCGGGCTGGCGGGCAGCGGTGGCGCGGCCTCACCCTTGACGCTGACGCTGAAGCCCACGGCGTCCCCGTCCGTGCGGCAGCCGTAGGACGCGGAGTCGTGCGGCTGGGCCTGCTGGATGACCAGGCGCCTCGCCAGCCCGTCGCTCTCCAGCCTCACGCCCCTGGCCGGCGCCGCCAGCTCCTGCCCGTCCCTCAGCCACGTGACCGCGGCGTCCGCTCGGGACACCTCGCAGCTCAGCACCACCCGCTCCCCGGGGGCCACGTGCCACTCCGTCTGGGCGTCCGGGCGCCTGTGGAATGTGGCTGGCGGCTCTAGGGGATCAACAATACAACATGTATGACCACATTGAATTGTAAAAAAATATATCAAAACTACATAGTGCCTTTTGCAAAATGAGCAAAATGTATTTCGTAACATTCGGTTTTGTCTTCACAAATGATTGCTATGAATGCGATTCTGTAGTTGGCAGAGGGGCATTTAGCCTGGTGTACCACCCTGCTTATGCAGTGTTTCTACCATTTCCAAGACAGAGTGCTCCATTCAGCTTAAATGTCTCTCATACTCTTTGGTTTTATTCTGTAAAGTCACGTAGATAAAGTAAAACAAAATAAAACAATTAAATCACGACATTTCGGAGGCAACACAAGCTTCCGTCTTCAGGTGGAAAAGTCAACGCAGAATATCTGTGTCAGGAGCACAGTTCAGAGACGACCTTGGATTATGTATAGGTTAAGGGAGGGGGGAGGAGTCAGTAAGGGGGCGTGGGTGGGTGGGAGGGCTGGGCTAAGCAGCCTTTTGATAGAATGCTGTGGGTAACACCCACTTCTCAAAGCTCACATCAAAGGGCCCCTCGATGTGGGCTCACATCAAAGGGTCCCCCGGTGCGAGCTCACATCAAAGGGCTCCCCGATGCGAGCTCTCTGTGAACGCGATCAAAGGGCACTATGATATACAACCACTGAGGAATGACTGTACAAAAAATTGAAAGGCAGCTAACGTTTCACTTGATTTAAAACATCTTTCCAGTGATTACTCAATTTGAAACCATCCTCTCGGTTGAAGTTGTGTCTATGTTTGTAAATCTGGATGGCCTCGTGGACAAACCTCTGATAATAGCCTGTAGGTTTGCAGAGCACCTTGGTGTCGGAGAAGACAATATCATGATCACCCACAGCGTTGTAACAATGATTAGCTACGGCAGAGTAATTCGTTCTGCCGTGTTTCAAATCTGATTTGTGCTCGCGGATTCGGTCAGAGATATGTCATTTTGTCTCCCCGATATAACAGTCCCCGCAGGTACAACTCAATTTGTAAACACCGGGGTATTGTAGGTCAGGAATCACATCCTTTACTGACGGGATCAGATCGCGGATTTTGTGCACTGTGTTGAACCGGACCTGGATCTTTTGTTTGTTTAGAATTTTGGAAATCTTTTTAGCAACGCCTGATGTGAGCCTTTTGATGTGAGCTCGCATCGGGGGACCCTTTGGTGTGGGAGCACATCGAGAGGCCCTTTGATGTGAGCCCTTTGATGTGAGCTCGCACCGGGGGACCCTTTGATGTGAGCCCACATCGGGGGGCCCTTTGATGTGAGCTTTGAGAAGTGGGTGTTACCCGCAGCATTCTATCAGAAGGCTGCTTACCCCAGCCCTCCCACCCACTCACTCCTGTTACTGACTCCTCCTCCCTCCCTTAACCTGTATATAATCCAAGGTGGTCTCTGAAATGTGCTCCTGACACAGATATTCTGCGTTGACTTTTCCACCTGAAGACGGAAGCTTGTGTTGCCTCCGAAACGTCGTGATTTCATTGTTTTATTTTGGTTTATTTTATCTACGTGACTTTACCGAATAAAACCAAAGAGTATGAATCCTTGCAGTCACGAAAGCTTCAAATCTAGAATTAAATGTCTCTCCCCTACCATGTGAATAACTCCCAGCATCTGTAAGTTCTCCCTACCAGATACCCTATTGCATAGGCTGCAAGTAAGTGCACCATGCTCAGAGCAGATGTGACAAGACAAGGGCAGTGACATGGCCTAGCAGTGTTCAACGCTCTTTGCTGAAGTTTGCAGCTCAAATGTGTAGTGAGTACAATTGAGTCGCAGACGTTATTCTTTAGAGGCACCACATTTATTGTAACACGTATATACAAAGGGGTAACTGCCCCTTTACCAGATACAGCCTGGGGTGGTGACCACCCAGCTAACTACACTATACATAGGAGTTACAGCTACGAAGGGTCAGACCCTCACTCGGGTCCCCGGCCACGTGTTGATGCCTCATAGGACGTAAAACTTCCAGCTTGTAGACGGGGAGCTTCCAGCTTGTAGAATGAAGAGACCCCGGTCCCTCTCAGGGACCCACCTTATATCCTCCCGGGTCAGGGCCGGCTCCGCCCTCGGCCCCGCCCGCCTTCTCGAGCATTCTAGCTCCCTCTCGATCTCTTTTGAGAGCTCTCCCTGGACACGTGATCACCCCCTAGCCCCCCCACCTAGGGCCTTCTCTGTGGACACTCCGGATCACGTGTCTACGGGTTCAACCAGAATGCCATGGCCAGGGGCAACCCTGTCCCTGGGCTAACACTCTCCCGCTCCCCATGGTGGGAGCCCGCACTACACGCTATGCGTGGTGCCCGCGCAATCCCAGCGCTCACCAAGCCCCACAAAGGGCTGGTACTACACCCCCCTACGGGATGTACGTGATGACGGTGCATTGCACTGTGCTGTGCTAGAGCTGGCCTTACACAGCAACCCATACGGTGCTGTCCGCGACGTAAGGACATCACACGCCACGGCCCTCCCGGGCCGGCACCATACAGTGACATCCCTGATGTCACTACAAATGTAGCAGGTTGCCCTGGTTAATGCTGCCACATGTATAAGCGATGATAAAGAATACTACTCGACCACCTGATTCACAGTGTATCATAGAGATCACGTGATGTTATTTATGGTGGGAATTTGCTGATTTAAAAAAGTAACTCGCAAATAACTTGATTGTCAAACACACGACAATCCTCGCTCCGCTAGTCTGAAAAATTTACGGGACTGCCCTCAAAGAAGTCTTGAAACTCAGTGAGGCTCTCTTGGATAAACAAATGAAAAAACAATGCTAATGATAATTACTCAGATTTGATCTGAAAAATACACATGCGTCTTGATTGCAATTTAACGAGTATTTTTGTTTTTGCATGTGAGAAAAAGAGACTAAGACACATTAGCAATAACCAGTCCAACATATTTAATTCATTTAAATCAAAATGCCATGATGCTCAACCCACAGAAACCCTGTAAGTGCCGGCATCTTCTGAGTGGGTGATGAGCCGCACCTTGGACGGTGACGGTGGCACGGGTGGCCCCGTCGGGCGTCTCACACGAGTACTCTCCGCCGTCCTCCGGCCCCGCGCCAGCGATGGTGAGCGTGCGCGCCGCTCCTTCAGACACGAAGCGGTGCCTCTTGCCGGGCCGCACCTTCACCCCGTCCTTCTTCCACTCCACGTCGCCCGCCTCCCGGCTCAGCCTGCAGCGCAGCACCAGAGGCTCCCCCGCCGTGCCCCGCACGTCCGTCAGCGGCGCCGAGAACAGCAACGGGGGCTCTGTGTCCACGGGGGGGAAGGGCGGGGGGAGACGCACGCTCGGCGAGGGGGCAGCGGCGCAAGCAAAGGGGGAGGCGGCGCTCGGCGACGAGTCCCGCGGGCTGGCGGGCAGCGGCGGCGCGGCCTCACCCTTGACGCTGACGCTGAAGCCCACGGCGTCCCCGTCTGTGCGGCAGCCGTAGGACGCGGAGTCGTGCGGCCGGGCCTGCTGGATGACCAGGCGCCTCGCCAGCCCGTCGCTCTCCAGCCTCACGCCGCTGGCCGGCGCCGCCAGCTCCTGCCCGTCCCTCAGCCACGTGACGGCGGCGTCCGCTCGGGACACCTCGCAGCTCAGCACCACCCGCTCCCCGGGGGCCACGTGCCACTCCGTCTGGGCGTCCGGGCGCCTGCGGAACGTGGCTGGCGGCTCTAGGGGATCAACAATACAATATGTATGACCACGTTGAATTGTAAAACAACATATCAAAACTATATAGTGCCTTTTGCAAAATGAGCAAAATGTATTTCATGACATTCGGTTTTGTCTTCACAAATTTTTGCTATGAATGTCATTCTATAGTTGGCAGAGGGGCATTTAGCCTGGTGTACGACACTGCTTATGCAGTTTTTCTACCATTTCCAAGACAGAGTGCTCCGTACAGCTTAAATGTCTCTCCCCTACCATGTGAATAACACCCAGCATCTGTAAGGTCCCCCTACGAGATAGCCTATTGCATAGGCTGCAAGTAAGTGCACCATGCTCAGAGCAGATGTGACAAGACAAGGACAGTGACGTGGCCTAGCAGTGTTCAACGCTCTTTGCTGATGTTTGTAGCTCAAACGTGTAGTGAGTCCAATTGAGTCGCAGACGTTATTCTTCAGAGGCAGCACATTTATTGTTACACGTATATACAAAGGGATAACTGCCCCTTTACCAGATACAGCCTGGGGTGGTGACCACCCTTTGAGAGCTCTCCCTGGACACGTAATCACCCCCTAGCCCCCCCACCTGGGGCCATCTCTGTGGACACTCCAAATTACGTGTCTACGGGGTCAACCAGAATGCCATGGCCTGGGGCAACCCTGTCCCTGGGCTGACACTCTCCCGCTCCCCATGGTGGGAGCCCGCACTACACGCTATGCTTGGTGCCCATGCTATCTCAGCGCTCACCAAGCCCCACAAAGGGCTGGTACTACACCCCCCTACGGGGTGTACGCGATGACGGTGCATTGCGCGCCGTGCTGTGCTAGAGCTGGCCTCACGCAGCAACCCACCCGGTGCTGTCCGCGACATAAGGACATCGCACGCCACGGCCCTCCCGGGCCGGCACCATACAGTGACATCCCTGATGTCACTACAAATGTAGCAGGTTGCCCTGGTTAATGCTGCCGCATGTATTAGCGATGATAAAGAATACTACTCCACCACCTGATTCACAGTGTATCATAGAGATCACGTGACGTTATTTAAAGAAGGGTAGGCCATTGTACGCCGGCGTTATGGTGCGAATTTGCTGATTTCAAAAAAGTAACTCGCAAATAACTTGATTGTCAAGCACACGACAATCCTCGCTCCGCTAGTCTGAAAAATTTACGGGACTGCCCTCAAAGAAGATTTGAAACTCAGTGAGGCTCTCTTGGATAAGCAAATGAAAAAACAAGAATACGAATAATAATTACTCAGATTTGATCTGAAAAATACACATGCATCTTGATTGCAATTTAACGAGCATTTTTGTTTTTGCATGTGAGAAAAAGAGACTAAGACACATTAGCAATAACCAGTCCAACATATTTAATCCATTGAAATCAAAATGCCAAGATGCTTGACCCACAGAAACCCTGTAAGTGCCGGATTCTTCTGAGTGGGTAATGAGCCGCACCTTGAACGGTGACGGTGGCGCGGGTGGCCCCGTCGGGCGTCTCACACGAGTACTCTCCGCCGTCCTCCGGCCCCGCGCCAGCGATGGTGAGCGTGCGCGCCGCTCCGTCAGACGCGAAGTGGTGCCTCTTGCCGGGCCGCACCTTCACCCCGTCCTTCTTCCACTCCACGTCGCCCGCCTCCCGGCTCAGCCTGCAGCGCAGCACCAGAGGCTCCCCCGCCGTGCCCCGCACGTCCGTCAGCGGCGCCGAGAACAGCAACGGGGGCTCTGTGTCCACGGGGGGGAAGGGCGGGGGGAGACGCACGCTCGGCGAGGGGGCAGCGGCGCAAGCAAAGGCGGAGGCGGCGCTCGGCGACGAGTCCCGCGGGCTGGCGGGCAGCGGTGGCGCGGCCTCACCCTTGACGCTGACGCTGAAGCCCACGGCGTCCCCGTCCGTGCGGCAGCCGTAGGACGCGGAGTCGTGCGGCCGGGCCTGCTGGATGACCAGGCGCCTCGCCAGCCCGTCGCTCTCCAGCCTCACGCCCCTGGCCGGCGCCGCCAGCTCCTGCCCGTCCCTCAGCCACGTGACGGCGGCGTCCGCTCGGGACACCTCGCAGCTCAGCACCACCCGCTCCCCGGGGGCCACGTGCCACTCCGTCTGGGCGTCCGGGCGCCTGCGGAATGTGGCTGGCGGCTCTAGGGGATCAACAATACAACATGCATGACCACATTGAATTGTAAAAAAACATATCAAAACTACATAGTGCCTTTTGCAAAATGAGCAAAATGTATTTCGTAGCATTCGGTTTTGTCTTCACAAATTATTGCTATGAATGTGATTCTATAGTTGGCAAAGGGGCATTTAGCCTGGTGTACCACCGTGCTTATGCAGTGTTTCTACCATTTCCAAGAGAGAGTGCTCCATCAAGCTTAAATGTCTTTCGCCTACCATGTGAATAACACCCAGCATCTGTAAGTTCTCCCTTCCAGATACCTTGTTGCAAAGGCTGCAAGTAAGTGCACCATGCTCAGAGCAGATGTGACAAGACAAGGGCAGTGACGTGGCCTAGCAGTGTTCAACGCTCTTTGCTGAAGTTTGTAGCTTGAACGTGTAGTGAGTCCAACTGAGTCACAGACGTTATTCTTCAGAGGCAGCACATTTATTGTTATACGTATATACAAAGGGGTAACTGCCCCTTTACCAGATACAGCCTGGAGTGGTGACCACCCAGCTAACTACACTATACATAGGAGTTACAGCTACGAAGGGTCGGACCCTCACTCGGGTCCCCGGCCACGTGTTGATGCCTCGTAGGACGTAGAACTTCCAGCTTGTAGACGTAGAGTTTCCAGCTGGTAGACGTAGAGCTTCCAGCTTGTAGAACAAAAAGACCCCGGTCCCTCTCAGGGACCCACCTTATATTCTCCCGGGTCGGGGCCGGCTCCGCCCTCGGCCCCGACCGCCTTCTCGAGCGTTCTAGCTCCTTCTCGATCCCTCTCGAGAGCTCTCCCTGGACACGTGATCACCCTCTAGCCCCTCCACCTGGAGCCATATCTGTGGACACTCCAAATTACGTGTCTACGGGGTCAACCAGAATGCCATGGCCAGGGGCAACCCTGTCCCTGGACTGACACTCTCCCGCTCCCCCTTGTGGGAGCCCGCACTACACGCTATGCGTGGTGCCTGCGCTATCCCAGCGCTCACCAAGCCCCACAAAGGGCTGGTACTACACCCCCCTACGGGGTGTACGCGATGACGGTGCATTGCACTGTGCTGTGCTAGAGCTGGCCTCACACAGCAACCCACCCGGTGCTGCCCGCGACGTAAGGACATCGCACGCCGCGGCCCTCCCGGGCCGGCACCATACAGTGACATCCCTGATGTCACTACCAATGTAGCAGGTTGCCCTGGTTAATGCTGCCGCGTGTATTAGCGATGATAAAGAATACTACTCGACCACCTGATTCACAGTGTATCATAGAGATCACGTGATGTTATTTAAAGAAGAGCAGGCCATTGTACGCCGGCGTTATGGTGCAAATTTGCTGATTTAAAAAAAGTAACTCGCAAATAACTTGATTGTCAAGCACACGACAATCCTCGCTGCGCTAGTCTGAAAAATTTACGGGACTGCCCTAAAAGAAGTTTTGAAACTCAGTGAGGCTCTCTTGGATAAGCAAATGAAAAAACAAGAATACTAATAATAATTACTCAGATTTGATCTGAAAAATACACATGCATCTTGATTGTAATTTAACGAGCATTTTTTTTTGCATGTGAGAAAAAGAGACTAAGACACATTAGCAATAACCAGTCCAACATATTTAATCCATTGAAATCAAAATGCCATTATGTTCGACCCACAAAAACCCTGTAAGTGCCGGATTCTTCTGAGTGGGTAATGAGCCGCACCTTGAACGGTGACGGTGGCGCGGGTGGCCCCGTCGGGCGTCTCACACGAGTACTCTCCGCCGTCCTCCGGCCCCGCGCCAGCGATGGTGAGCGTGCGCGCCGCTCCGTCAGACGCGAAGTGGTGCCTCTTGCCGGGCCGCACCTTCACCCCGTCCTTCTTCCACTCCACGTCGCCCGCCTCCCGGCTCAGCCTGCAGCGCAGCACCAGAGGCTCCCCCGCCGTGCCCCGCACGTCCGTCAGCGGCGCCGAGAACAGCAGCGGGGGCTCTGTGTCCACGGGGGGGAAGGGCGGGGGGAGACGCACGCTCGGCGAGGGGGCAGCGGCGCAAGCAAAGGCGGAGGCGGCGCTCGGCGACGAGTCCCGCGGGCTGGCGGGCAGCGGCGGCGCGGCCTCACCCTTGACGCTGACGCTGAAGCCCACGGCGTCCCCGTCCGTGCGGCAGCCGTAGGACGCGGAGTCGTGCGGCTGGGCCTGCTGGATGACCAGGCGCCTCGCCAGCCCGTCGCTCTCCAGCCTCACGCCGCTGGCCGGCGCCGCCAGCTCCTGCCCGTCCCTCAGCCACGTGACGGCGGCGTCCGCTCGGGACACCTCGCAGCTCAGCACCACCCGCTCCCCGGGGGCCACGTGCCACTCCGTCTGGGCGTCCGGGCGCCTGCGGAATGTGGCTGGCGGCTCTAGGGGATCAACAAAACAACATTTAAGACCACATTTGTTATATTCACTCTTGCCATCGGTTCATTTTACTCAGTGCTTTTCGCATGCATTCATAATTGTGCTCCATTCCAGAAGAGAACAAGCAGCCAGTTCAACTGCCTATGATGAGGAAGGAAAAAAAGTGGCTGATGTTTTTGGGGAACCTTGAATATGGCGCTTTTTTCATACATTTTGAATGACGCTTTGTTTCTTTCTCTTATACAGATTCTTTAGGAAGACTGCTCAAACAAACTCTTTGACAATTTCTACTTCGCGGCGACGACGTCCGCTCACACGCGGGCTGCCCACTTCGGCTGCGTGAGTCGCCCCCAACCGCCCCCTGACCTTTGACGATGAGCTTCATCTGGGCGCGGACGGGACCCGACACGAACTGGACGCTGGCGCCGCTCTCGCCCGGGCGTGCCGCGCGGATCATCAGCGTGTGAGTGTTCCGCGTGCGCTGCACCGCGTGCCGCCCGCTCGCCCGCACCGCCTCGCCGTCGACGGACCAGCTCCCCGCCGCGCCGCCCGACAGCTCCACTACGAAGACGGCGTCTTCGCCAGCGAGCACCTCCACGTCCCGCGGCACGGACGCCAACGACAGGCGGCTCTCCGGCACTGCGGCACGCGGACGACGCGCCGGGTAAATGCCGATCGATGCCGGACGCGCCATGCGAGGGACGTGCGGCGATGGGGCGAGGTTTGTTTAGCGATCCCTTAGCGAGTTTCCGACACGCCTGCTGTGATGTCCACAGTGTTGTCATGTCGGGACATTTTACGACCAAAATTAGCCTGGTAATTTTGAGCCTGGTCAGCATCGGATGCCAGGTGCGGTAGGCGTTTGGGGTGAGAGGTGAACACGAAATGTCAGTGCCGAGCAGGACCCCCCCACGTCCACACGAGGCCAAACGCCTGTTCGTGAGATTGGCCGCACGTCCCAATGCGGCGGCGGCAGCGTCGTCATACTCACCGATGTAGTAGGTGCCCGGGACCTCCACGCAGAGGCTGCGGCCGGCTTTGTTGATGGCCGAGATGCGGAAGAGGTAGTCGCCCTCCTCAGGGAGGTTGCCCACGCGCAACTCCGTGCCGGGCACGTTGGCCGAGTCGTGGCAGCGGCCCCATGCGGAGTTCCCCAGGAGGCAGTACTCCACCACGAAGGCCTCGTCCGCCTCCGCCGCCACCGCCTTACCCTTCTTGGGCCCCGGTTTCCAGGCCAGCATGACCCAGTTCTCCGATTGTGAGGTCACCTTGGGGTCAGTTGGAGCACCAGGTGGAGCCAGGCGTGGGGCTAATGCACGGGACGTAGGTCACACATGGACACGCACACAGACACCACAATCTTCAAAAATCTACAGATTTTTCCTTATTGGTAATCCTCAATATCTAAAAAATGACGAGCCAAATTAGCAAACGTGACATTTCCACGATGTTAACTCTTCATCTTGTACGTATGAATATTGAACTTCTTTTGCTTGATGAACTTGCTGAACACTATTCAACTTTATCGGTTACAAGCCATGTACAACTAGACACGTGGGTAAACCAATTCTAACACTCTCTGTAAATGTATGAATGTTGAACTTAGTTCGCACTGTACTAAGCCTACCGTGCTAATCGGAGGTGCGGGAGAAGAACAACAACCTAAACATAAAACGAATTTTGAAACAAATGAGTTTTCAATTTAAATGTGCATAGGTCCAGTGGCTTCCTAATATCGGAAAAAAGCATTCCAGACAGCCGCAGAAGTGCATCTGAAAGCGTGCGACGTGTTAACCATCTTCCTAGAGACCTGTGACGATGAGCTGTGACGACGTCTTCGAGTCTCCGCAGACAAAGCTGACCTCGCCCGCGTCCGCCTGGGTTACTCCCGCCAGCGTGAGCGAGTGACTCTTCCCGTCCACCTTAACCACCGCCCGGGCTCCCGCGTCGATCTCCTCGCCGTTCCTCAGCCACTGGCCGCCAACCCCCTCCTGGTCCAGCTCCACCAGGAAGTATGCCACCTCCTTCTCTCGGACTTCGGTGCGTCGGGGAAGCTTCTGGACAATGGCACCTGCAATAGCAGTATCAATAATAATTATAACAAAGGGTAAAGTTAAAGGCGCATCCCTACAATTGGCCGCCGAGGTGGCGAGATGTTCACTACCTCGCCTGGCATGCAGGACGTCGTGGGTTCAATCCCGACCCCGACGCCTGCTGCATATTTTGAGTCTGTATGTTCTCCCCGCCGTCGCATGGATTTTTCTCCGGGTTCTCCGGTTTTTCCCTCAAGATTTAGAGTATTTAGCTGCTATACATTTACAGATGAAAAGCCACTTCGTTGAGCTATCATTTGTGGCCAGGTCGCTTCTGAAAAAGAAGCTAATAGCTCAATGGGTCCTACCTGGTAAAATAGAAATGGTTTATAGTTCAGTTTCAATTGCTCGATTACACCACCACGGCCAGAAGTGCCTCCACTTGGGGAAGCCCTAGATGGCCCCTGCAGAGCGCATTAATAATGTATTTGATATATTCTGGAAGGCCTCGTTATGACTCAAGACTCTTTTCAAGAGGGTCTAACATTGAGATGTCTGGAAAATTGCACACGCGACGAAATCCCGCGGCGCGTATCAGGAGAGAACGCCGAATAACGAAGCTTCAAACTTGCGTTGGGCAGTCTGGGACGCACAGTCAATGTTTGCAGCTACAAGATAAGAAACACTTGGCTTTATCTTTAACCGGCGAATAATATTTGAAGTAAAATGCGAGCCCGGTACAGCACGCCACGTGGCTCGCATAACCGTGAAGGCAGGGAGGTCAAATGTGGCGAAAGGGGAACGCGTGAACATCGGCAACCATGGAAGCGAGGCGAGCGCGTCCGCCGTCACCTTTCACGGAGAGCTCGGCGACGGTGCGGTTCCCCTCGGGCATCTCGCACACGTACACCGCCTCGTCGTCCGCTGTCACGTTGCAGATGGTGAGGCGCCGCATCGTGCCCTCCTCCTCCATCACGTACTTGTCGGCCTTCGGCGCCAGCGGCGTCTCCTCCATGAACCAGCTGGCGCGCGCCGACTCGGCCGGCACCTCGCACTGCAGCGTCGCCGTCTGCCGCTCCATCACCTCCACGTCACGCAGCCGCTCCTTGAAGGGCACCAGCGGCTCTGCGCACGATAACGCCGCCACCGCCGCGCACCTCCGATTAGCACGGTTGGCTATGACGGTGCGAAATAAGTTCAACGTGCAGCGCACGCGTGCATAGATCCCACGGTAGTGACTCACCGTTGACGATGAGCTGCACGGGACTGTACGTCTTGCCCACCACGTTGGTGGCCGTGCAGGTGTACAGCCCCCTGTCGCTCTGCTTGCAGAAGAGGACCTTCAGGATGTAGTAGCCCTCGTCGTCCTCGTAGATCATGTGCCGGCGCCCTGGGGAGATCACCTCGTCATCCTTTTTCCACACGATTTCGGGCTTGGGCTTTCCCGTCACGTAGCAGCTGAGCCGGGCGTGCTTGCCCTCCCTCACCTGTGGCCCAGGGGATCACGGACACGAAACGGGAATCGAGGAAACTTGCCGTGGCGGTTCACGGTTCGGGGGCCGGTGGGGCCAGGCACTCCCTCATGAAAAAAGAATACATTTAAAACGACCTTAACAATGTTTATCTGATTTAATTTTGATTTAAAGCTTTCGTGACTGCAGTAATTCATATTCTTAGTTTTTTCGGTAAAGTCACGTTGAAGGGAAACAACAAAATAATAAAATATATATAAAACAATAACAACAAAATAATAAAATATATATAAAACAATAATATTTTTTATTGTTTTATATATATTTTATTATTTTGTTGTTTCCCTTCAACGTGACTTTACCGAAAAAACTAAGAATATGAAAATGTTTATCTGTTCATCATAAATATAATAAACCACAGACACGCCCCTCCCCCTACTCCCCCTACCCCACCCTCACAGACTTCCATGCCCCGGCAATATATTTACCCACCAGCTGCCACAAATGGACCACAATATCTCGCTGATCTCGCCAAGGAGCATAAACCACCATCACGCGAACTCCGTCCGGTCATCCTCGCAGCAGCAGCAGCGGCTTTTGGCTCACCATCGAACAAAGGCGGCGGTCACGGCATCGTGTGCTTTCAGATGCGCTTCTGCGGCCGTCTGGAACGCTCTTCCGATATTAGGAAGCCGCTGGAGCTATATAAACGTTTAATTCATCATCTAGATTGACAAACTAATTTCCTTATAATTGCTTTTTGTGTGTAATTTGTTGTCCTTCCCCCGCACCTCCGATCAGCACGGTTGCCTAAATATTTTTACAGAGAGTGTTAGAATTGGTTGACCCACGTGTCTGCTTGTACGTGACTTGCAACCAATAAAGTGGAGTAGTGTTCAGCAAGTTGAGCGGAGGGAACCACCGAGACCCAACACCTTCCTGTTCATGACATCTCTCCCTCTCGTGCTCATGGTTCAAGCTCCCCAAATTCCAACACCTCTCTTCACTACCACGCAACACAACACCACACAACCCAACACCACCCAACACAATGCTACACAACACCACACAACGCCACGCAACACAACAACACGCCACGCAACACAACAACACGCAACACAACAGTGGTCACGAGAGGTCGAGAGCTATGGCCAGCAAAGGGCAGTCGAGGTGTGGCTCCCCTCTTGCCTTCCTCAACAGTGACTCTTAGGCAGCCACCACCGCTGTGTGCAGATGAACGTCGGACACCCAGCATCGTCAGTAAGCACACGGCATGGCCTGACGCTAGCGGGGTTTTTTTTAAGTAAAAAAGAGAGTTGCCAACTTTCTCGACAGGAATTTTTTTTTTCTTTAACAGATTTATGTTTGTGCAGAAGTTTGACGTATCCTGTGCCGGTATTGTTTTTGCTCTGATTCATATTAGGTGGATTTTAATTGCTTCTATTAAAGTTGAACTTTTTTTTATTGCTTCTGTCATTTTGGTGACAACCCAGATCACTCTTGCAAACAAGACTCATCCTGGTGTCTTGACTTTTCTCCTGGTTAAACAAAATAAATTTGAACCATGCTGATACCGAGGTTCATTATACAATCTTTATGAAATACACCCACCTGTAACAGTCATGAGAATGAGAAGCAGAACAGTGCAATATCATGACCGACCGTAGGTCCCACTGGACTGCAACCTCCATGTGCCAGCGATGGAACAGGAAGCCAGTAATTGTGTTTATCTTGGTACTTTGGCATGACATTGCACCCTCGGCCCACCCATTGCGGCGTTGAAAAACCCAACGCGTTTGTCAATAACACTGTGGCCTTAAAAGGAAAAGTGTATACAAAGAGCAAATAATCGGCCCTTCTTCTTCTTCGTCCATGTGCTATGGAGAAGGTTCATTGCCCGCTACATATTACATATTTTATTATATATTTCATTTTCCTTTGAAGGCCACAGCGTTTTTGACCCCGTGACCTTAATGTCGTTGCGTTTTTTTTTGGAAGTTTTTTTTTTATATTTTGCTCATGCACCACCGCCAACGCAGCGTCGGCGAACGATTGTGCTTCAACGATTGTGCTTCAACGATTTTGCTTCAACGCGGCAGTGTCGGTGTCGTCAAGAGAGGTCCGTGAGCGGCACGGGGCAGGCGGCGTGCCCTGCTGAGGACCCCCACGACGTACCTTGAAAGTTTTCGTCAAGTTCTTGTCGGCGTTGTTCTCCTCCATTCGCACGGGCGAGCGCGACGGGCTGTACCCCTACAAGCAGAGACGCGCGGTCAGCGGAGGGTCACCACTCACCCGTTGACACTTCAGGGACAGGTTATGAATCGTGACGGTATTTGTAACAGGGTTTACTTCGTCAATGTGTAGCGGGGTTTCTCAATTACGCTTGTCGAGTGCCTCCCGTGTAGAGCTGTCCATGTTTACCATCAGGTGCGTGCAGTGTGCAGTGTCTTAGATCGCATTTGAATATAAGATACTGACATGACAATATGAACAAATTCAGGGTGATTTTTTCACAGGCAAACGTGAATTGCTGCGTGTCTGTTGTGATGCTGCGTGTCTGCTGTGATGCTGTGTGTCTGCTGTGATGCTGCGTGTCTGCTGTGATGCTGCGTGTCTGCTGTGGCGCTGCGTGTCTGCTGTGACGATGCATGCCTGCTGTGACGATGCGTGTCTGCTGTGATGCTGCGTGTCTGCTGTGGCGCTGCGTGTCTGCTGTGACGATGCCTGTCTGTTGTGATGCTGTGTGTCTGCTGTGATGCTGCGTGTCTGCTGTGATGCTGCGTGTCTGCTGTGGCGCTGCGTGTCTGCTGTGATGCTGTGTGTCTGCTGTGATGCTGTATGTCTGCTGTGATGCTGCGTGTCTGCTGTGACGATGCCTGTCTGTTGTGATGCTGCGTGTCTGCTGTGATGCTGTGTGTCTGCTGTGATGCTGTGTGTCTGTTGTGATGCTGCGTGTCTGCTGTGACGATGCCTGTCTGTTGTGATGCTGTGTGTCTGCTGTGATGCTGCGTGTCTGCTGTGGCGCTGCGTGTCTGTTGTGATGCTGTGTGTCTGCTGTGACGATGCGTGTCTGCTGTGACGCTGCGTGTCTGTTGTGATGCTGCGTGTCTGTTGTGATGCTGTGTGTCTGCTGTGACGCTGCGTGTCTGTTGTGATGCTGTGTGTCTGCTGTGATGCTGCGTGTCTGCTGTGGCGCTGCGTGTCTGCTGTGACGCTGCGTGTCTGCTGTGATGCTGTGTGTCTGCTGTGACGATGCGTGTCTGTTGTGATGCTGCGTGTCTGCTGTGATGCTGTGTGTCTGCTGTGACGATGCCTGTTTGTTGTGATGCTGTGTGTCTGCTGTGATGCTGTGTGTCTGCTGTGATGCTGCGTGTCTGCTGTGACGATGCCTGTCTGTTGTGATGCTGCGTGTCTGCTGTGATGCTGTGTGTCTGCTGTGATGCTGTGTGTCTGCTGTGATGCTGTGTGTCTGCTGTGACGATGCCTGTCTGTTGTGACGCTGCGTGTCTGCTGTGACGCTGCGTGTCTGCTGTGATGCTGTGTGTCTGCTGTGACGCTGCGTGTCTGTTGTGATGCTGCGTGTCTGCTGTGATGCTGCGTGTCTGCTGTGATGCTGTGTGTCTGCTGTGATGCTGTGTGTCTGTTGTGATGCTGTGTGTCTGCTGCGACGCTGCAGTTTGCTACGTGTGGCACCACCGCGTGGCAGAGTGGACAGGACAGGTGTGAGGAGCAGTTCATCACTCGAAACCAAACTCGCTGCACCCGACCCGGATACATCTGGGAATGCGTTTTGCCTGTTAATGCAGTCGGGCGTATAATGCGGTCCAACAGTTGTATTAATCTTAGTGCTTTGAGCAAGACTACAATGGCCTTTCCATTCATTGAGGAGTGTATTTAGTCGTCCGCGCATACATATTTTTGGATAAACTGTACACCAATATTTCGATGCGGGATTCCCTACGGTGTCGAATAAATCGTCGTCAGACAGCACGATGGAATGTGTAGGAGACAATGTGCGGTGACACCGCTGTTGCCAGCTGACAAGAAAGAATGAGAATTTGCCAGAACTGAAAAGGTCATCTGGTGGAACGGGGAGGAAGGGGCAGGTGGGATGGGGCACACCTAGCCTCAAACTACGGCCCTGCCGCTACCCTGAACTTAGCAGCCACTAGCATAGTGCTACACTTACTCCTAATGTACACGAGCTAACCCCCGCTAGCCAACCGGCTATTCATACTACCGCTACCCCTAATCACACAAACTAATCAGTCGCTAGTATTATCCCTTACCTTCTGCGGCCGTCTGGAACGCTCTTCTTTACGATATTCGGAACTCACTGGAGCGATGCACTTTTAAATCATCGTCTACGTTGACAAGCTCATTTCTTTATAACTGCGTTTTGTGTTTAGTTTGTTGTTCCCCCACCTCCACGCACCTTCGATTAGCACGGCCGGCTACGTGCGGTTTGAAATAAGTTCAACATACACGCATACTGTACATACCTTGACCAAGTAGCCAAGCAGAAAGTGAACACGCACTCATCCCTACTGGCAGCCCCCCCACCGGCGCGAAGCACAGGCTTCTCCGATCCGCTAACTCGGCGCTTGCCACTGGCCAGGGTCCAGTCTCCAGGCTCTGTCGGCGCTTTGCTGCGCTTCGCTGCGCTTGTCCACAACTTGGCCCCCAAGTTAAAGCTACCAAATGTCCTGGTTTTGGGCCAGGTCAGCGCTCTTTTCAGAAACGCTACGCTGGTGTCTCGAAACGTTTGAGAAAATCGGCGTCTTGTCCCAAATGTAAATATTTTCTAGCCTCGTGCAAAGGGCAGGGGACTACCTCTGGGCACCGTGCACGGTTGGCAGAGGAGTGGGCGGGGCCAACGAACTTGTGTGAGAGGGGCTAGTTATTGAGTGGGCAGGGCTACGTGATAGCGGGCGGGGTTCAAGTAGGAACCAGCTGCCACTTTAAAAAAAATCGGTAGGCGTTAAGTTCAGCCAATCATCTCGCCGGGTTCCATAAAATAAGGGCCACTCTGGTTGAGGTGTGGATAAACGATGTGTGCCGGTTCAACGTTTTCCAGAACCAGAACTGTGGCAGCTTTACCGCGACCCTCACCGTGTAGAGGCTGGAGGTGGAGGAGGAGCTGGAGGTGTAGTCTCTGGTGAGGCGGTAGCTGTAGGAGGAGCGGCTGTGGTACTCGTCGACGTGTCCAGCCACAGGAGAATGAGTCCGGGACTGCAGTGACAACACAGCACATGTGCCTCTCAGCTACGCACGCACGCACGCCAGCGGGCGGTGCCTCTCATTTTCCTTCATTATCCAGGGAGTGTATCACCAAGTCAAGTTAAGGTCTTTATTCAGCAGTGCCCTCGAATAATCTCTGCGGCGTTTGGTGCCTGTCCAAAAATAAACACACGTTAGTTAATTTGTAAAAAAATCACTGCACGTTTTATTTTATTTTTATCACAATCGTTTCCCTTGCGTAACCTAGCAAAGCCACACCGACTCTCAACACTAATTCTCAGGAGGGTGCTCTGCATTTAGATATTTGGCCAATTCCATTGATGAGAATTTGGCTTCTCGTGGGAGGCTATACACACGCCGGGGCTCTACACACACGGACACATTACATTTGCCTCTGTACTGAAATTTTCTGGCCACCTTGCAGCTCAGCAGGACTGGGAGTTTCACGAATCGTCACGATACACCAAGTGTCACCTCCAAAGGTGCCGGATCACCGGTGTGTGCCACCATCACGACAGGTCTAATACTGTAGTAATAATAATCATAATTTCAACTTGTAATGTGCCGCACAGTATTCACTCCCTCTCAAAAAGCGTAAATGACTCAGATGCACAAAGAAACCCAGACAAGAGGGAAAAGCAGCCAGGTAGTGACCCGATGCCCCAAGTACTGTGGTCCTCTATATATGAGGGTGTTATAGCAGCCAATTATTGAGTGTTTACTGTACATGTGGGGGGAACCGGAACACCTGGAGAAAATCCACGCGTGCGAGGGGGAAACACTCTATCCCATGCAGAGGGAACAGGTGGAGTCCACATTTTCTGTACCAGCTTATCCTGGCAAGCAAAGGAATGGCACCTTGACACCCAATGGGAAGGAAGGCTGCACAATATTTATGCAATCCACCAACCCTCGCCTCCAACAAGTGCCAGATTAGCGGCGTGCGCCGCCACTATCGCCCGGCCGGTGCCAGGAGGAAGTCTGAACTCGGGCGAGCGCGGCGCCGCATACCGAGGGCGCGCTCCTCGACGGAGAAAGGTATCCGTCCGGGGCGGCCGTGGGCGACGTCGACCGCGACAGGGTCACGTGGGGCGCCCCCAGGAGCCGGGCGTCCCCACGCCGCGTGTAGGGGCTCAGGCGGGCGAGGCGCGCGTCGGCGCTCTGCCGCAGCAGCTCCAGCTTCTTGCGCTCGTGGTCGCGCGTCGTGTGCAGGTGCGAGCGTGGCAGCGACTTCGCCTCCTCGCTCCACCTGCTCGCGCGGGGGCACAGCGGTCGCACGCGGCCGTGAGACGAGGCTGTGCAAGAGTTGTATGGATTTTTTGGTTTTTCATATCGTGCAATGGAACATTGTGACCCCATAAGTGATTTAAATTGAATTACTGCTTAGTATAAAATCATTTTTTCTTTCTGTGGCGAGTTTTTTTAACTGATTTTATTCAGCATTTACTGCACCACCAAGGAGTTTTGTTTCATGCAGCAAAACCCATGTCTTTTAGCAGCAAACAGGGCCTCATGGTGAAGACAGAATCTTCTTGCTAATAATTTCTGGAAAGGCAGCAGTTTATTTTATTATCTAGCCTGGCAAGGCATTTGAGACGCAAACGGTCAAAACCTGTCCCAAAGTTTTCTTGATGAAACAATTGGGGCTGGTGGATCCAAACATTATTTATTTATATGTGCATAGTTGGAAGTGCGACATCAACTGCAACATCATATTTTCGATTTAAAGGCCAGTAACTTGGACACAACAGGCGAGTAATATACATAAAAAGACCAGTCACTTCCATGATAGCCCAATGATTTCTATACAGCAGGCCAGAAAGAAGTTCAACATACATAGTAATTTATCGAATAGGCCAGGAACGTTGATAGCACCCCAGTCATTCATATAAGATGCCAGTAATTTATATAAAAACAGGCCAGTGATGTCTATAACAGGCCAGTAATTTATATAAAAACAGGCCAGTAATTTATATAAAATCAGGCCAGTGATGTCTATAACAGGCCAGTAATTTATATAAAATCAGGCCAGTAATTTATATAAAATCAGGCCAGTAATTTATATAAAAACAGGCCAGTAATTTATATAAAAACATGCCAGTAATTTATATAAAAACAGGCCAGTAATTTATATAAAATCAGGCCAGTAATTTATATAAAATCAGGCCAGTAATTTATATAAAATCAGGCCAGTAATTTATATAAAATCAAGCCCGTGATGTCTATAACAGGCCAGTGATTTGTTCAGCAACCCGACCTGTACAGATGCAGCGAGTCCGAAGGCGGAGCCGCCAGCGAGACGCTGAGCACCGTGGAGGCGACGGCCTCCCCGGCACGGTTGCGCGCGTGGCACGAGTAGGTGCCCGCGTCCGTGGTGCGCGCTGCGCTCACGGTGAGCGAGTGCACGCCGTCACGGAACTCGGCGGCGAAGCGATGGCTGTCGGGCAGCGTGTCCACGTCCACGCCGTCCCGCTGCCAGGCGACCGCGGGGGGCGGCCTCCCCAAGATCCTGCAGCTGAAGGTCGCGTCGGCCCCCCTGGACACCTTCTGAGCGGACGGGCGCACCACGAAGGAGGGCTCCCGTGCGACGCCGCCGCCGCCGCCGTGGCCGCGGTCGCGCAGCCTGAGCGACCCCGAGAGCCGGAACGGCGCCGACTCGTCCACGTCGAGCGTGGCGCTCGCGACCGCCTCTCCCGCGCTGTTGCGCGCGCGGCACGTGTACTGGCCGGCGTCGTCGCCCCGAGCCTCGTACACCGTCAGGCTGTGCGCGCCGCGCTCCTCCGCCGACAGCTTGCGCCGCGCGTCCGGGCGCACGGGCCGGCGGTCCTTCTCCCACGCCACGTCGGGGCTGGGCTCCCCCGCGACCCAGCAGCTCAGGATGACGTCCCTGCCGGCGGCCACGGACGCGGACTTGGGTCGCGACACGAAGCGGGGAGCATCGCCGCCCCTGCGGTTCAACATCTCGCGGCGAGGCGGAGAGCGGGAAGGAGACTGCTCGGCCTGGAATTGGGAATAGGCAGAGAGAGGGGGAGAGTGTGAGAGAGACCGCTTGGCAGCGCTCGAATGGAGCTCGAGCATGAATGGGCGCGTGGGCGGGCGGGCGAGATGGTGGACAGACAGGTGTCGGCATTCTTTCCGTTTTGTCCCCGTGTAAGGGACATGCGGCGATGGAGTTAGGTTTGTTTAGGAGAAGCGCATGAGCGTGGCGACAGCGATCCCAGAGCGGTTTCCACCACCCGCTGCCAAGCTCCCAGTGTGGTCAGTTTTACTGTAAAGGACAGACGATGCTGCATGACATTTTTCAAATATCGTGGCATTTCACGAGGGAAATTTGCGACCTACGATTAAACGGTTTCATTGTACTACTCCTGCGTAAAGGATCAATTCCAGAACATGAAACCATAGCTCGTTATTTAATACATATCCTTTTGAACAAATCACCCGGAAAGAGCCCGATGACATTGGATTACTGAAGCTAATCAGGTCTGAACCTGCCTAATACTTGGATGGGTGACCACCAAGGCTTGCCTGGTGTTGTGGGTTTGAGGCTGCCAGATTTCCAGGAGGTGGCAGTGCTGAATGTGACCCCCATCCTATGCGTGGCATTTCTCGAGTCCTCCCCCCAGTTTTCTCCCAGACACTCGTAATCGGCAATGTCCGAACATCCCGAATGCACGACTGTCCTGCAAACAGTTTCCGAGACTCTTCCGGATAACAAAACTTTCCATTTTTAAATATCGATGATCTCTCCCCTTTGGTCATGGAAAGTGTTCTCTAATTGTGTTCTCTACTGATTACTGCTGGCCGCTCTCCGGATGACGTGATTGCTAAGCTACAGGGTGATTTCAACAAACTACAACATCAGCTAGTTGCTCTAAAACTAGTCCTGAATACCTCCAAAACTAAGGTGCTATGCTTCTCACCAGGACTAAAGCAGGAAGTTATTTTTCCACAATTACATTCCTTAAATAATGATCAAATAGAGCAAGTCAAGATCTATAAGTATCTTGGGGTCATCCTGGATTCAAAACTGAATTTTGAAGATCACATTTGATTATATTGGTAAAAAGACAAAAATAAAAATTGGTTTTCTGTATCGACACAAGCACTGCTTCCCCCCAATGTTCCGTTTGGAATTGATAAAAGCTACCATACTGCCTCTACTTGACTACTGTGACATCATGCATAAATCAGCCCCAAGTACTGTACTGAAGAAGCTTGATTCCATCTATCACTCGGCCTTAAGATTTACATTGAACTGCCCATATAGGACTCACCACTGTGATCTCTACATTGGGTCAAACTTAACATCTCTTAATGTTCGACGGCTTGTGCACCAGATCTTATTTATTCACGATGTACATACAAAAAAATCCGCAGACTACCTGCTGGATCTCCTCTCTGTTTCAAAGAACAAATTTGACCTCAGGTCTTCGCTCATTTACCAGCTTTACATTTTCTAGTGCCGTACAAAAACTGGAGGAAGGGCCTTTGCTATTGATGCCCCCAGGGTCTGGAATGCTATTGCCAATAAACTGCAACTTGAATCGCTACCAATGAGATATTCTCTCAAAACTGCTCTAGAGTTGTACACCCCTAGCTGCCACTGCTATTCATTGGCGAACATAAAATAAAATGTTTTCGCTCCGGATGATGCTGCAAAGTATTATTTGTATTTTTATTTAGCGTGTTGATCTTAAATGTGCATTGAAAAATGTGATACTCTGACTGATGCTTCTGTTGTTGTGGAGTAACTCATGCAGCCAGCTATGGCTCTAGGATTTGGTGTTACATGTTATTTATGTAGTTTATTGTAAAAATTCGGTCAGCCCCTATGATCACTGTTACGTTGCAATTATGGCTTTATTTTTTTTTATTTCGAAAAAGTTTTTTTGTTTGGACATGTTTGTTTTGTTGTAGTACGGAGTTAGACTGATGGCCTTAATCTAAGTTTTCGTGTGGTTGTTGTTGTTGTTGACTTGCATCCCACTGGGATTTTTTGCACACAGCGTTGGCGTACGGTGCTTTTTTCAGGAATATTTAGCTGTTTTTTTTCATGGATTTTCTGTTTGCACAGTCACATAGTCACTTTAAGATGTTTTTCTTGTTCGTGTTTTTGTTTGTTGTGGTAGCACCCGATTCAAGAGCCGAATGGCTCACAGGGCTATACCAAAATAAATAATCTGAAAAAAACTGAAAAAAAATTCTGTTGTCGTGTTTGTGCGGCTGTTTTGGATGAATGCACAGCGGTGTAATTGATATAAGCGGCTATACGGAATGAGTGGCACAGCGCGCGTGTGTGTGTGTACGAGTGCACGTGTACACTGCCAGGTTTATTTTTAAACGCTGCCAAGCCTGGCACGCGTTGAGTGGAATGCAATTCCCATTGTGCCCAATGTGTTACGTGGATTTCTTTGGCCATTGGCATGACAACAACAATAATAATAAAGCTTGCTGTGTTCGTGCGTTTCAATTGAAACTCGAACGAACTTTACAAGAGGGAGCCACCAACCACCACTACCGTCCCCATCAACACAACATAGCAGCACACATTGTATTGAACTCACACATTTACCACATGAAGTACGGTAACCTTACGATAACATTGTATTTATGATTTGTGCAGCCCCTATCTTTTAGAATATGAGTTATTTATTTGGAAGTTATAATAATTGACGGCCCTTTGTCAATCCACTGCTGGATGGAGACTTTCCCAGGCTGTCAGTCATGTGCTTTTTTACCATACTTCACCACGCCGGTCAGTGCTAGTTGGTGAGGAGGGGGCGTGAGTCATTGTTGTCATCTGTAAACATTGGCACATGTTTTCTCTGGATCCGATCATCGCCCATACATTTCACGTAAAAATAACAACATTCATTCACGCACGACCCTACGCATGCATATTTCATGATGAATCATCACCATCACAATCATCGTCACCACGTGCTAATAATTACAATAAGATTTCCAAAGTCTTGAGAGGATGATCTCGAAGCAGGAGAATGTCTCTGCGGCGTAGCGGGACTGTAGTAACCTTGGCCAGCGGCAGCTGTCACCCCACTTCAGCACGGTCTTCACCCGGGGCCGTCACGCCGCTATAAATACTACGGGGCCTGGGACGGGAGACAGCTCAACCAGGCCAGCCCCTCTTGCCTCCGGGGGGGGGGGGGGGGGGGATGCGCTCCACCACGCACTTACATTGTGTACGGGTACAGCCGCTCACACACGCAGAACTTTGATTTAACATGTAGGCTTTCGCGACCGATATCATCAATAAGAGAGGTTTTTTTTCGTGGTTACCAAATGTGGTCACCGCATCTACGCCTCTATATTAAGGAACGAAACAGGTGGACTTCTCCACAAATCTGGCTGTCGCCTGATGAAGCTAGTTGTAATCACTGGCGAAACGTCGTACTCAGATTGTAAATGCTTTGGCTTGGCGTTCCAACACGCCGGTGTGCTGTGCTACTGACGAATTAGCACGTTCTGTTAACGTGACAAACCTTACTAGTTGGCTGTGTCGGGTGGTGGCGGATTTAACGACACATTTATATTTACGCGATCTAATCCCAAAAACCCCCTGTATTATACACGTAACTATCTCTGTGAACACCGCAAACGAGCACCCGACAGAAACCCAACAAGCGACGCGTTGCAATGTGGAAGGAGGGAGCAAGAGCAGTGTGGGGTCGAGCTCACTAGCCAGCCTCATAGTAGCCTTAGTGCTTACACTTACCAACTAGTTAGTAGGCAACCAGCCACTGGAAAGAGCCCTTCAACTGGCCCCAGCCCTAATGACTAGTCAATCACCCATTGGCCATGACAAACTATCCAACTGGCTTCAGCTAACCTTCAAACTGGCCCAAACCATAATCGCTAACCCCTAAAAACTAGAAATCCAGCCACGACTAGTAGTCCTGCAACTTGCCCCAACCCTAACAACTGACAATAGCCCTAGCCAAGCAGCCGACCAGCTACTAGTAGCAGTGTTATCTCTAACGCTAACCATTGAGTCAACAAGTCACTATTACTAGCCCTTCCACTGGCCTTAACCCTACCTCTAATCGCACCTCCAGCACCTCGCAAGGTTCCTTTTTTATTGTTTAGCCGCCTTTCAGTGTTGCCGTTAACAGCGAAATGTGCGTACGAACTGTGGCTGAAACCGCTGTGCACCCCCCCCACCCCAGCTCACACTCGATTCAGATATTATGTTCCTCCCGCCTTGGCGAACCGCGGGGACCCTCAAAGCGTCTCCCTCCTCACGGGCTTGGGTGATTGCTCGTTTATCGGAGACGGTGCTGAAAAAAATCCGTGTTCCGCTCTGCACAACACACGAGCCATGTGACTAACACTCTATAGGTCGTAGACACTTTATCAGGCGCTGCAAATTGATATTTGTAGATCATCTCACTCACCCACAGTGGATACATATTAGAGTGAACTTTGGATGGGATTTGAACGTATGGTCTTACGAGTAAGGGGGGCTGTTCTTCCAATCAATGAACATTGTCAGCCTTCGCTAAGAATAGTCAAAGTCAAAAGGTCAAAGCGTCTCACTGCTGAAACAATTGTGGGCGGTACATGTGTCTTATTGGCAGCGCTGGGTATTCAAATATGCTCAAAATGTCCCCCCCTATATATTGCTATAAAATAGATTTCTGTTTACATGATTGTGGTTATGGTTGTACTTTATTAATCCCTAATCTCTGTCATTACATACAATGAAACAAGAAAAGGTAAAAAAGAAAAAACAGAGCAATGCAATACAATACACGATTAGACATTATTGTAAAACATACTAAAAAGTACATTCTATATGTTAGTGAATTTTTTTATATTTTAGGCAGGAAATTAGTTTTCAAATTGAGATTTTTTTTTTCTGGGGGACCCCCAGACCCTCTGGAAGATTTGGTCCCCCCCATTGTTGACTCCATGGCTACGGCCTTGGTATAATTTATTTTAGGCAACTTTTGTGT